AATTGTGCCCATTCATTTGTGTCAGTGGGGGGGGGGGGAATTATGCTTCACTGTTGGTATTAGTGTGGTAAAATACTGCCCCAAGGGCCAGATAAAAGCAAGCAAAGGGCCGCATCTGGCCCCTGGACCACAGTTTGGAGACCACTAATCCAGAGTATAGACACTCTAATACAGGAGGTGTAAAAAAAAAAAAAAAAACGAAAAAAGAAAACTAATGCAGCCACTAATGATTGATAAACTGCAATATATATTACATTTTTGGTTTTGGGTTTAATACCGCTTTAAGGGTTAAATCACTTCTAAAGGACACTGCAACTTTTCTCATCAGAATCCTAAATGTGCATCATCTGATTACAGGGGCGGACTGACAACTCATGGTGCCCCAGAGCAATAGGGGATCATGGGGCCCCTGTGTCCTTGCCCAAATTCAAAAAAGCCTATGAAAAAGGTACCAGGGGCATCTCATGGGGCCCCCTACTGAGCCCCCGGGCCCTCGGGCAGTGCCAGAGTTTCCAAATGGTCAGTCTGCCCCTGTCTAATTATAATAAATAAGTCGTTCCCATTCAGAATCACTGGGCTCAGGAAGCATCTTAGCACAGCTATTCATTCAGCACAGAAACAGGTAGGAATCTGTAAGAAAATTTGCTAAACTCCTTGGAAAGTACATTGATCACCTGGAGAGGATTGTTTTTTCTTTCCCCAACAAAGTGGAGTTGGTTTTTATTGATCCAATGTGCTTTGATTTTGTGTTTTAGTTTTTCTAATATCTCTCTCTCCTATGTACAAAGCTGGCAAGGACTGACAGTGACGGGGTGTGTGTGCTACAATGTAACCAGGTGAGCATGTTCTGATTTGTAAACTGGGTGTTGTTGGCACTGTCAGAGCATTGCACATAACCAGCCCCACCTATAGCAGCCCATGTATTCCTTTTTTGCAGTGCAGTGCAGGGCCATTTTTTTTACAAAGCACCTTGACACACTAATCAAACATGGATCCTTTGCACATGCGCACCATAGAGCACACCACAATGCACGGTAGTGCACTATAATGTGTTGTGCATTGCCAAAAATGGTGCATGTCATATTTATTACAGGTACTTATACAGTACTGTCGATTATACAGCACTTTACATACAGTACATATATTGTACATTCACATCAGTCCCTAACCCTCAAGGGGCATACAATCTAAGGTCCCTAACTCACATTCATACATACACATACTAGGGACAATTTAGACAGGAGCCAATTACCCTGCCAGCATGTCTTTGGAGTGTGGGAGGAAACTGGAGTACCTGAAGGAAACCCACGCAGGCACAGGGAGAACATGCAAACTCCAGGCAGGTGGTGCTGTGGTTGGGATTCGAAACAATGACCCTAGTACTGCCAGGTGGAAGTGCTAACCATTTAGGCACTGTGCTGCCCCATTTTTTTTTTCATGTTTTGGGGCACTGCCAGCTCATTCATTTGAATGTACGTTAGCATGAGAAGAAATGTGCTTTAGACCCCGGTCATACCGGTGTGACTTGTCATGCGATTTGATAGTTTCAAATCGCATGACAAGTCGCACCCTATTGTCCCCAATTGAAGCAGTTATATTGGTGCAATTCCAACTTTGTCGGAACAACTTTTTTGCAAGTCTAGGTGCACCTTACATAGACATTTGTGCATGAAGTCACCTTTACCTGAAGTTGCACTGACATCGGACTTATTTATTTATTACAGGTACTTATATAGCGCCGTCAATTTACGCAGCACTTTACATATATATTTTACATTCACATCAGTCCCTAACCCTCAAGGGGTGTACAATCTAAGGTCCCTAACTTACATTCATACACATACTAGGGCCAATTTAGACAGGAGCCAATTCACCTACCAGCATGTCTTTGGAGTGTGGGAGGAAACCAAGTACCTGGAACCTGGTACCTGGTAGTCACACAATTTCAAGGTCGGATTTGGTGTGACCCAGCTCTTCACACAGTCCACTAGGACACCAAGGTCTAAATAGGCCCTGAAAAAAAGCTTACAAAATTGAAACAGATTGTAAATGTTGGAGCAAAATGAAAAATAGAACATTTTACAAAGACCACAATTATGCAGCAATGACCAAGTCAAAAAAAACCTGACAAATATGTTTTGATATGTCTAATCAAGAAAAATGTTATTGTTTTAGATACAGTAGGTAGGAACACAATATCCCTCAATGCAATGTACCAAGCTCATTCTTTGCTGATTTCCCTGCAATGACATTGAGAAGAAGAAATACATTGTCTACTTTGAGGCTAGGTTCACACCTCTGCATGTTTGCGATTGATGCTTTTTTCCAGTTTTCCAGTTTAGCATTTTTGATCACACGTTTTTGCTCTGTTTTTGTTGTGTTTTGTGGGGTTTTTTAGCTATAGAAAAGTATTGACTTTGATGCGACTTTGGATGGGTACGACTTTGATGCTACTTGAGTGCCAGAGTGTAAAATTGAATGAAATTGGCACCAAAGTCAATACTTTCCTATTGGAAAAAAAAACCCAAAATGCAAAACTCACCAAAAACGAACTACATGCATTTCTGGCGCATGTCAATTGAACCAAAAATGCACCTTGTTGCATTTTAAAAAAGTCCCTGACCCTTTCCAAAAAGCAGCAGCTGATAAATGCATAGATGTGAACGTCCCTCATAGGAAACCATGTTAAATGGACTGTAGTGCCTTTCTGCACAATTCACAATAAAAAAAACACATTGGTGTAAACCAGGGCTTAAGGGCAGAGGAGAGATCTGGGGTCTAGCAGACCCCAGATGTCTCTGAAACAGACACTGTCAGTGCCCATGCTATCACAGGGGTTGTAGATCCTGTAACAGCAATAAAAGTGAAATGAAAGTGAGAAAAAAATTAAATGACAGTGGACAAAAAAAAATGTAAACAATAAAATAAAAATAATAACGTACCCCCTGCCCCCCCCCCCCCCCCCCATGCTCACATGCAAAGGTAATGCATCCCACATGCATATGTAGGAGATGTTCGCACCACACATGTGAGGTATCGCTGCGAACGTCAGAGCGAGACCAATAATTCTAGCACCAGGCCTCCTGTGTGACTCCAAACTGGCAATCTGTAAAGGCTTTAAAAGCATTGCCTATAGAAAGCTTTAAGTATTGTAGTTTATCGCCATTCCATGGGTGTATTCAATTACATGACATGTTAGGTATCCGTTTAATCGGTGTAACATCATCTTTTATATATTACTTAACAATTGGGTATTATATTGTGTTTTTGAGCATTAAAATTCATTAAAGTATTTTTTCCTAAGAATTTGTGTTTGCCAAAATTGCTGCCCAGATACCATGTCACATACAAATATGCAACACCTACTTCTCTAGGGCCTCTGCGTAAAAAATATATAATGTTTAGGGGTTTTAAGTAATTTTGTGTGTGTGTGCGTGTTCATCAACTGATTCTCCAGATTCTGGAAGATACAACCTTAATTTATTGATCGCATCTGTTTGCACCCTGAAATGTCATAATTCAATCAAATTTATAAACAAAGCATCTCAGTGCGGCATATCAAACGCAAATGATAACTTCCTATCCTGGACGACTGATAATAAAATGTACGATTGATTAAGCCCTGGTTCACACTGATGCGGTTTGCGGAATTCGCAGTGTTTTCTGTGCAAATTCCTCTCTGCGTCAGAATCGCACCTCATTCATGCGAACGTGTATGTTAAGTTAACAACACCCCGAAGGCGGTCCTCAAAACGTGGTGCGATGTGCAGAATCGGATCGCATAGGTGTGAATACCCATGCGATCTGATTCTAGCGCGGAGCCAAAAAAAGGGTCCTGCACGTTTTTGGTGGAGGTGTGTTTAGAGCCAAACCATATGTATGGCTCTGATCGCACTGCACACAAATCGCGTGTGATTTGCACAGGAATGCGGTGAAGTTCCTGTGCGAATCACATGCGATGTACCGTACCGCATATATGTAAACCCAGGCTAACCCTAGGTTCACATCTGTGCGGTTGGTGCCGCTGCGAATCCGTACAAATATCTGTGCAACCACACCGCCTGCACAGAGGAATGTGGACCCGCGGGCGGGTGCCATTCATTCTAATGGCACGCCACCCGCACTGGAAAATGCAACCGTATTGGGAACTGAGGTTCTGCGTTTTCCAGAGAAGCGCAGGGACTTCTTCTCTGCGTGTCACGGGCAGGGGAGTCCATTCAAATTAATGGACTCTGGTGCCCCTGCAAAACGTGCCCCACGCGGCCGCATAGATGTGAACCGAGGGTAAATGATCATTTTGATATATGTGTAGCCACCTAGGACTTGAAAAGTACAATGCTCCATGTAGATGTGTAATTTAGTAAGAAAGAAACAAAAAAACGTACTTTATACTTTTTTTTTATACTTTATTATACACATTTATACTTTTTAAATACTTTTTACATTTTTTTTATTCTCTTTTATACCTTTTTTTAAATACTTTTATACTTTTTTTTTTTTTATTTACAGGCATCGATTTCTTTTTATAGACTTTGCCATTTTGTACAGAGGGGTTAGTAGCCATCCCGCTGACCCCTGCACTGCTTGTACAGTTGTTTGCACTAAAATCCCAGTATCTCTTTTCCTTCCAGTCAAACCAGCTTCATTCTGTAAACTGGTCTGAAAGGAGTTAACAGTAGCTGATCCAGCCTCCAGGCTGACACAAGCCTCCATGAGATTGGTTCGGACACAGCCGGGGTTGTCACAGCCCTCCCAGAAGCCCTTGAGGCAGCCAGATTGCTGTGATAGGAGGGGAGGGAAAGGTGAACTTTTCTATTATATAAAACCGTGTGCTTTGTGTTCCAGAAATCTAATCGTCAATCTGAGATCAGAGTCCTGGCTGGGAGGGGTGGTTGAGCTAAGTGACAACCCTTCAGCCTCTCTGTGTGGCTGCTGACAGACAAGCTACATCTGTCCTCCTTGCAGGCTGTACACACAGGAGCGAAGCGTGACCGGTGACAATGGCCTGGTGGAAAGTCAGCTCTGCTGGGAAAGATATCAATCCTGACCTGGCCAGTGAGAGGGTGTCCCCTTCTTTCAATGTGGAGACTCTCACTAACATCCTGGATGGAGGGGCAGAGGAAACCCAACGTAGGAGATCAGTGGGTGAGCGATGATGTATGCTGGGTCTATGCATGGGGATTATTTTGGCAGGGTTCAATATATCTGCAGCATAGAACTGCGTATGCTAGCACGGGGGCATGCTGGTACTTGTAGTTCACCTACAGCTGCAGATACACTTCACTGAGCGCTGTTTGGTGCATAAAGTGGGAAAGGATTACGCATGTTCAAATCTACACTGATCCCTCTGTGTGCAAATTTTACATCCTTACTTGCAGATAAATGACTCCGCTCATAGTGCAATGTGGGGCCCCAGACAATTCGCTAAATACAAAATGAATTGTGGGTATAGCGAGCGCTCAGAAAAACCAGCCGCTGGAACACTTCAAGGGATCACTAGACCTCATAACAGAGACATTATACATATATATAGTGCAGCGCTGTAATGTGATAAAATTAGTATAAATTCGTTCATAGAGTCTTTCTTGCAATAATAAAACCAAATATGTGCAGGCCTTCTCCTCATTAGGTGACTGGAAAATAGCAAAAAATGCGCACTCACCGACCCGCACATTTTAAATGCGCCTGTGTATGACATTATCCAGAAGACCAGCCAGGTATGCAGCTCCGGAAACCACACGGATCCTCCCTCTCCAACACTGACATCCGCCTTGGGTGTAGCAATATCTCCAGATCCAGAGGCCCTCTCGCCCCAAATAATAGGTAGACAGGGATCCCCCTTCTGGTTCCAGGTACCCCAAGAATGGAAGATGTAAATCTGCAACCCTCCAACTTTCCAGAGAGTCAAGAAAAAAGGGGAACGCCAATAGTGTGGTAGTTTCAAAACTTTATTGGAGCAAAAATCATAATGCCTGGGTCATATATGCACATACACATACATATACCATTAGCCAATAACGGAAGGTAGGTATGAGATCAAAAAATTTTTGTACTAACCCGGCAATAGTATAGAACAAAGACCACTGGACCTCCTCGTGGTCTCAGTGGTCAGGAAGTCACACTTGCTACTGGCTCCTCCTGAGGCCTTTCGTGCAAAAAGCACTTCTGCAGAGGATGGACGCCACATGACCCTAAACGGCGGTCACATGACCCTAAATTTGCGTTCCCCGCCCCGCCTCCCGGCTTCTGAAACTCTTAAAGGGCCGGGCAGTGCCAGCGTGAAGGGGTTAAATAAGGTAGCCCGTGTGTGTAAGTGGAACCCATGACCTCAGAATTATGTTGTCTCATGTATTTAAAAAATGCGTGACTGTCACTGAGAATATAAACCAATTCTGTGTATGGGGGGCCCCCAAACCTGAAGTGCCCAGGGCCCCCCCAAGGTCTAAATCTGGCCCTGCCTCCTCCTTACTCAAATGCCCCCTCCAAGGGTAGATTTACACGTGTCTAATTCTCCCTTTATTCTACAGCCCTATCCATGTTTAGATCTCACTTCAGAGTCTACTGACAGGCAGCGAGGGAACGATGCAACGCCTCTTCACCATCGGTTTTAACCCCATTTTTGCCGATAATCACGCCACAACCACTTGCATTGCACATAGTTTCGGTGTTTACCCATTTACTACACTTTGTAGCATTTGGCAGGCTTACTTGGTCACTAAAATAGAGAGAGTTTGAATTTCTCCAGACAGTATAAACATATAACCTGCTCTATCCAAATAATATGTTTTTAAAGGCAAAAATGTCTTTTAACACAAGTCTTAAATTAGGCAAGGAAAAATTTAGTTCAATAACCCATAGCAACAGAAATAGTACTTCGCCTTGGTTGTGTGGATTTCCTCCCACAATCCTGATCCAATCAGGTTTGAAAGCAAGGGTCTTATGTGTTAAAGGATCAGTATCAAGAAGAATTTATTAGAAAATGATGGTTCAACTCTGTATGTTTGAATATAATTGGTTGCTAAAGTTGACAACTGTTTGATGAATTTGTTACTAAAACTGTCCTTAGTATGCGTGTGCTATCTGAGTTTTCAATATGGGTGATCAAACCAAGTACTCATAAAGTGTGGGTCGCTTTAACTTACAACAAACATGTTCATCCATGTTGATTGTCCGGTTGGATGGCCTAAGCTAGTGCCACCTGCCTATATGGTCCAGAGAAAAATGGAAATGATTATTAAAAGACTAGCATACACTCACCATTGTGGTCCTCAGACATGGTTAGTACAACCCCCTAAAGAGCCGTGAGTGATTTTGGTCCTATTTCCCCCTTCGAGTACACACAGTCAGGCACACAGCATTTCTCCTACTCTTCCACTGGCACCAAAGAACAGTCTAGGGGTTTCTTTTGGGGTTTTTATTGGGAACAATGAACTTAGGGATAGGGAGCATGGGAGACCTTGGTAAACTGTAGAACTAAGCAACTTGAGGACTCTTCACTTTTGTCTGCACTGTAGAAAACAAGGAATGTCCCACAGGATCTCTATGCTGATGGTGACCTATACTGCTTCCAGAGTTAAAAGCTACACACATCACTACTTTTCTGCAACCACCACCTGGTGATATCTACCAGGATTTTGCCTAGTGAAGGAGATGTAGACTTCATCTACCATAGGACAGTTAGCCTCTCTCCCACCAACTTCCTCCTGGCTCTGTACAGTAAACTTCTCCAGACCCGACTTGATCCCCGAACTTGAATTTGTGAATAGCCCCCGTATCACGTACCTGATAGAAGTCTGAATTGACGAGGTCAGCCTCTCTTGTATCTCCAACCCAAGCCCCACTGAAGGTGGAACAGATGGTGCCGAGGGACAGGAGAAACACGAGTGCCTGTGGGTATGGATTGTATAACTTGCTGCTGGTGGTGTAGCCTCGGTGAATCAAGCAAGGCATACAATCCAGGAACAGAGGAGATTTCAGAATGGCCAACTGAGGTTAAGGAGGCACTCCACTGGAACTGCAAGATCTGGGTACGTGGCTTGCCGGAACTTCTGATAAGCGTGAGGCCAGAACACACCGTGACAACCAGAGCTGATATAATGGATAGCCAGGACAAGCACTCGGCAGGACTGTAGAGCCAAACTGGAGCCGGAAGAGTAGAGTAATAGCCAGGGTCAGCAACGAGCAGGCGATGAGGTACCAGAACATCAGATTGGGACAAGGTCAGGAGGAAGCCAGGATCAGAAACCAATGAGCAGAAGCATAAACAGAATCCAAGAGCAGGTCAATGGCAAGCTGGGTCAGTAACAGATATACACAGGATACAGCAGGACACAGGGAATTAGCTGAAGACCAGTCAGCTCTGACAGAGAGTAAGAGCCTCCTTTAAATAGTCCGTCTGGCGCCAGAAATTGTGGGCACGCTCCTACATGTGTGCGCGAGTCTATGCTCATTTCTATTAGCAATGCACCCGTACTCATTTCTATGAGCGATATTGCACGCATGCGCATTTCTATATGCCAGTCGCCTTACAGGAATTCCCTTACACCCCCCCTTCACCACCAGGCCTAGCTGGGACCTCCATGTCTTCCTAAAAGCTTCTTCTAAGGTCCTGCACAAGGGGCACAGCAGTACTGTGCCCAAGAACACTGTGCACTGCTTCTCAGGCCTCAGACTATTTATTAGCTCCCTCACCACCTATTGGGTACACCTCCCCAGGGATTGGCTGCAGTGCCATAAATATTCAGGCTGCATGCCCCATCCACCCTCCCACTATAGTTTTACAATCCTCTAGCAGAGGGGGGAAGCAACAGAGCAGCAGCCTTTAAAACACTGAGTATTCTTAATTAATCAACCCCTGCTCCTCTGATTACAATGAAGCAAACTAAATTTACCTAGCACAATAATTTTATCCTCTGTTTCTCCTCCAGTGATCACCATTCAGAAGGACCCAGTGTTCAGCCTTGAGAACCTGTACTTCAAGACCCAATCTGAGAGATACGAAGGAGCTGTCCGAAATACTTTCCATCTAAAGAAAAAAATGAAGGACTTGGGATGGGAAGAAAATGGAAGAGAGATGGAATATGCCCACAGGTTATTTTACTAGCTGGTGATAGATTTATAAATAAACATGTTCCTTCATTTGCAAGTTTCCATTATATAGACAGTGTTATGCACATTTTAATGATATAATCTACAAATTCTCTGTGTTCTTCACTTCGTTAGAATAGAAATAGGAACAACCAATGGCTAATGGGTTTTTGCCTTGTGTTTAGCATTGGTTTGTGAAGCATTTTTGATAGATGTGGAATTTAATTTTTTTTGCTTTGAATTTTTGTGCACACTCAAGCAAACCTTGAAGTTTATATACTATATGTATCAGTGCTGTATTTTGGGTTGTGCTGCCCTAGGTAAGACTAACATCAGGCACCCCCCTTCATCTGTAAACCCCATCCTTTCCTCTTTAGGTTCCACCTCTTCCTATTAGAGCTCTATCTCAGGAATTGGTTAGAGCTCCATCTGGACCAGGAGACTGTCAGACTGTGAATCAGAGACTGTCAGACTGTGAATCAGGAGACTGTCAGACAGGAGACTGTCAGAGACTGTGGATCAGGAGACTGTCAGAGACTGTACAGGATACAGGAGATGGTCAGAGACCGCAGATCAGGATACAGAGAGGCGGTCAGAGACTGTGGATCAGGAGACTGTCAGGAGACTGTCAGAAACTGCAGATCAGGATACAGGAGATGGTCAGAGACTGTATATCAGGATACAGTTCAGTTTTGGGCACTAATTCACAAAAAAACATTGGGGAACTAGAGAAAGTGCAGAGAGAAGGGCAACCAAACTGATAAGAGGTATGGAGGAGCTCAGCAATGAGGAAAGATTAGAGGAACTGAATTTATTCTCACTTGAGAAGAGATTTATGGGGTTTATGATCAACATGTATAAATACATCGGTGGCCCATACAGTGAACGTTCTGTAGAGGTATTTACTCGAAGGTGATCACAGAGGTCAAGGGGCTCTCTTTACATCTGGAGGTAAAGAGATTTAACCTCAAAATCCAGAAATGCTTCTTCACAGTGAGTGCGGTGAAAAAGTGGAATACACTCCCTCAAGAGTTGGTTCTGGCCAACAGATTGTTTTAAAAAAAAAGGCCTGGATTCTTTCCTAAAAGGACATAAAATAACGGGATACTAAGATTTATAGGTAAAGTTGATCCAGGGAAGAGGGATCAAGAAGGAATTCTTTCTTTCCCCCTGCTGGTGCAAATTGGAACAAGCTTTAATGGGGGGGTTTTCCCTTCCTTTGAATCAACTGTAGATATAGGATAATGTATATGGAGGTTTGCTGTGTGTGTTTTGTTTGTTTTTTCAGTCAGATGTTATCCCCTTAGGTGTTGCCCTCAGCTCCAAGATGTGAGAACCTTTTTTTTTTTTTTTTTTTTTTTTAAAGGGACCTAAAAATAAATATTTGGGTTCTCAGAAGTATTTTACACTGATCTTTGGGGCAGCCAAGTGAAAAAGCTTGATCACCAATGATGTAGCTGTTTATTTTTATTATTATTATAATATATTACAGGATTTATTTATCGCCAACCATTTGCGCAGCACTTTACAACATGAGGGGACAGACAGTATTTATACAGTTTCAATACAATGGAGAAATCAGAGGGCCCTGCTCATTGGAGCTTACAATCTAAAAAGGAGGGTCAAGTGGTACAAAAGGTCATAACTGTGGGGAGTAGGCAAAGTTTCATCAACAGTAGACCCGTTCCCTCTGGCATCAGAATTATGAGCTCAAATACTGTAATGAGATTCTGTCTGCCTAATGATGGCCATACACGTAACAATCTGATCAAACAACTCTTCATGGAATCGGACAATACGATTGCATCTATATATCACTGAAAAGACATACTTTACCAAAGCAAAAGCAACCAATTTTCATTAAAATTATTCTGATCGGTCTGAACAGAGAATATGACTGTAGGATATAGATAGAATAATATGATTGGTAAGTGTACTAAGAACAAAGGTAGTGTTATTAGCAACATTACCAGGATAAAAAAAAAGCCTGGGAAAAAAGAAAACAAATGCAGGCACCACATATAAGGACATAAGTAAGCTGATATATAAGGTTTTTGTTTTTAGATAATCTAATTTTTTGCTGGAAAGTCCCAGATAGTGCTGTTTGCTGGTGACTCGTGGATGTCACACTGTCATCTTATGTCTACGAGCATTTTAAATGAAATGATTGCTATAACTGCAAACATATCAATATCCTTTCCCAATTCAGGCACTTCTCTAAGAACTTGGCTGCTCACACTGGTTTTCTTCTTTCAGGGCTCTCAGTGGAGAATACTCTCTTAACATCCACGGCGTCTTCATACGATCCCTCACTGCACTGGGTACTGATGAGCAAATCGCCAAGTGGCTGCCACTTGCCAACAACTATCAAATCTTAGGAACCTACGCTCAGACTGAGCTGGGACATGGTATGCTACTGCAGATTAAATACTTTCTCATTTATTTTTATCATAATAATCCTGTATTTGTCTCTGTGGGAAAAACATATATAGCACTTTTATCACCATCTGTAGTCATTTGTAAACTCTAAATCTGACCATACACAGAGAGAGCTGATTGTCTGTAAAGAAATAATTTGATGCACGGCTAACTGTACACTCACTACTTTACATTGTAGCAAAGTGTCATTTCTTCAGTGTTGTCACATCAAAAGATATAATAAAATACTTACAAAAATGTGAGGGGTGTACTCACTTCTGGGAGATACTCTATATATCCTACAAAGAGTTGAAGTAATTTTACTGAGACTTTTTATTATCTCACGTCTTTGTAACATACCAATGTTGCAATACAATGAACTCAAACTAAATCTTTATAATGTTAAAAACAATATCCACAATATACACAATATACCAATATGTATTAGTTTGTTAAAACCAATTAATATAGATAAAATATATATGTATATGGAAACTGAATATAGTAATATAAAACCTGAATACTTAAAGCTGAGTTCCAGCTGAAAAAAAAAAAATAAAAGTCAGCAGCTACAAAAACTGTAGCTGCTGACTTTTAAAATACAGCCACTTACCTGTCCCTCGGTGCAGCGGTGTCCTCACCACAGCTGGTTTCACCGGCCGTCTTCTTTCCATGGCGCCGACATATTTAGTGTGGGCACCCGGCTGTGACAGCTTGGGGCTTCACAGTCGGGTACCCACTGCTCATGTGCGAGAAGAGCTGCGCTTTGTGAATGGCCCCATAGTCTTCAAGGACATGTGTTTCCAGAAGACTATGAGGAGGGAGGGGGGGGAGGACAACTTCTGCTTCCAATCGCCTGGGCGATCACAGCGGAAGTGGCAGCGGGTACCTGTCAAATTCGGGTACCTGCTCCCCAAACGCACCAATCCTTAATGGGGAGCGGGGGACAAACCATTAAAGCTGAACTTCCCCTTATGAGTGGAGGTCCCCTTTAACCATTTCAAGTCCGGACACTTTTACCCCCTTCGTGTCCAGGGCAATTTTCAGCTTTCAGCGCTATCACACTTTGAATGACAATTGCACGGTCATGCAACACTGTACCCATATGAATTTTTTAGTATTTTTTTGAGACAGATAAAGCTTTATTTTGGTGGTATTTATTTACCACTGGGATTTTTATTTTTTTTGCTATGTAAATTAAAATGTCTAAAAATTTTGAAGTGTTTTTCTTATAAAATTTTGCAAATAAATATTATTTCATCATAAATCTTGGCCAAAATCTATATTTTTAGTAAAAAAAAATAACCCAAATTAGTTTAGAACCAAAAATTATAATTTTTAAACTTTTGTTTTACATATTTTTAAATTTTTTTTTATATTATTTATTTAGTTTTTTTTACATACGGTCACCCTAGCAGTACAGTGTCACATGGTGACATGGTGGGGGGTGATGAAGATTTTTTTTTTTTTTTTCTGTACAATGATTGCTTTTACACCCATAAAGGATGTAAAAGCAATAATTTCTCCTTCTCTCTAGCTGCAGTTCTGCAGCCATTGAGAACTACTGAATGAGCTGTGATGGGTCACAGCTTGTCACATGGTACAAGGCTGTTGTGAATAGCCTTGTACCATGTGACCTCTGATCATTCACAGATTTCACACGTAGTAAGCAATGATGTCACAAGTGACATCTTGCTTACTACTCTGCATGTGATCACTGACTGGCTAATCAGTGATCACATGATCGGGACCTCCGTCCGACGATCGGTGTTTCACTGTGTCCGGAGGACACAGCAGGCACCGGATCGCGGTGCTGCGTGCAGCCAGGGAGCGCGCACAAGCAGGGGCCGGGAAAGCACTGCCACCTTCTGGCCGTTTATATACAACGGCCAGACAGGAGCTGGTTAAGTAAACAAGTATTCACTTCATGCAATTCTAATAATAATACAATTGGCATTTTTGGTGAAAATATTCCTTGCAAATAATAATACTATATACAATGTAAAGTTTAATATGCACTCTTTTTCTTGAGGTTCATAGAAAAAAAAATCATTGTGACAGGGGCGGACTGACAACTCATGGGGCCCCCGGGCAATAGGTGATCATGGGGCCCCTGTGTCCTTGCCCAAACTCAAAAAAGTCTATGAAAAAGGTACCAGGGGCATCTCATGGGGCCCCCCACTGACCCCGGGCCCTCGGGCAGTGCCCGAGTTTCCAAATGGTCAGTCCGCCCCTGCATTGTGAACAGTTCTTTTGTCCTTTTGTTCAATCTAAACCTGGACTCATCCATTTATCTTACAACTTGGTATCATGTCTAGTCTTCATCTTGTAGTTGTCTGGTACCACCATACCTCCCCTTATATTTTACCCTGGGAAAGCTGTAGCGAATTTGGAATGCTCTAAGAATCTGTGTTCAGAAACCATGAAAATAGAATATACAGAACAAAATGGCTTCCGGCATGCCCATGTAAAGATGGGTAAGTTCAGGCCTTCTTGTTTGTTTCTGTGAGTCCAGAACAGTTCCAACATCTCCACCTACTCCCTGGACCCGTACGGAGTGGCTGGTCTGACGCATTGTATCACAGGAGGTCGGCTGCTCTTCACCAAAACCATTCAGAAAATGCTTTGCATTTTCTGAATGAATGCAAAGCATTCTCTGATTGGTCCAGCTTTATGTCACTGCCAGGGGCGGACTGACCATTTGGAAACTCTGGCACTGCCCGAGGGCCCGGGTTCAGTAGGGGGGCCCCATGAGATGCCCCTGGTACCTTTTTTAACTTTTTGAGTTGGCTTTTTGAATTAGGCTTTTTTGAGTTTGAGCAAAGACACAGGGGCCCCATGATCCCCTATGGCCCAGGGGCCCCATGAGTTGTCCCCCCCCCCCCCCCCCCCCCCCGGTCACTGCCCCACCTTTCCACCATGTCCAATGTAACTTTGTAAAATTATACCATACCTGAAATTCATCTTTAAAGCAGTATTAAACTCTTTATAAAACAAAAAAAGCTGTAGCCAGGTACCGCTAGTATGCACCGCATACTAGCACATGATGACAGACTTAACCTGTCCTGAGGAGCCCTCCAGTGGGACGCTCTCATTGCCGCAGGCACCTCATCTTCACCCAGCCTTCCTTCTGGGTAAGCACTTTCCGCCGCGAGGATGTCACAGCTGCTGCACAGCGCACTCTGTATTGACAGCACACTCTGTGTGATCTAAATGCAGAGTGCACTGCGCATGCCCCAGTGATGTCATCGGCTCCTGCTGATGTGACTATCCCCTAAACAGGACATGTTTAGAAGGTATTCACTGTATACAGGGCTGGTGCTAGACTATTTTGTACCCTAGGCAAGACCAGCTACTTGTGCCCCCAAATTGGATCATGCTTTGCTTTTGGGGTGTTTTTTTTGCTTTCCTCTGGATCAACTGTGGGTGTAGGATTATAACTTTTTTTTTTTTTTTTTATAATGGTTGAACTGGGTGGACTTTTGTCTTTTTTCAGCCAGACTAACTATGTAACTACGATGCGGTGCGGCACACCGCATGTGATTCACTCAGGAACAGCACCGCATTCCTGTGAAAATCGCATGTGACTTCTGTGCGGTGCAATTTGAGCCATGCATTCTGTATGGCTCAAATCTCTCCACATCTGCACCAAAATAGTGCAAGACCCTTTTTTTTTTTTGTCTTCACCAGAATCTGTGAACACCCATGCAATCCAATTCTGCACATCACACCGCATTTTGAGAACCGATTTCAGGGCTTTCTTAACTTAAAATACACGCCCATAGCGATTTGCGTGAACGGGGTGCAATTATGATGCAGTGCGGAAAGTGCACAGAAACTGGTGCGAATTCCGCACCCACATCAGTGTGAACCAGGACTCAAAAACATTATTTTTTATCATGATGCTATGGGTAAAGTTCCACTTTAACCACTTGCCGCCCAGCCACCGCCTATAAACGGCGGCAGGGCGGCGCTCGTAGGCAAAACGACATTTTAAAATGGACCTCCGCAAAACAGGTAGGGGGCGCGCGTGAGGCGCGTGCCCGCCCTGCCTGTCCCACGGGTGTCCGCAGCGGGTGTCAGCCGCCGGGTCACGGCTGGTTTTTTACCGGCCGTTTTCCCGCGATGAGCTGTTATCACTGACACAGAGCAGAGCTGCATTGTTTACACACAGCCCTGCTCTGTGACAGTTCCCCGACAAGCTGAAGAGGGAGAGAAGAATTTCTCTCCCTCGATCAGCTCCCTCCCCCCCGTCCAGCACACACCCCCGCCCCCTAGTAAAACACTCCCCTTACACAGTAAACTCTAAATATGTTAACCCCTTCCTCCCCAGTGACATTAGTACAGTATCAGTGGGTTTTTTTTTCACTGATCACTGTATTGGTGTCACTGGGGATGTCAGTGACCCCAAGTCAGTTCCCCCCCAGTGTCAAAATGTCCGCCACAGTCCCGCAGTCCCGCCATAAGTCGCTGATCGCCGCCATAAATCCCTGATCGCCGCCATATGTCGCTGATCGCCGCCATTATTAGTATAAAAAAAATAAAAAATCCCAGTATCTTTCCCGCCATTTGTAAACGCTATAACTTTCACGTAAACCAATTAATTTACACGTATTGGGTTTTTTTTACCAAAGACATGTCGCAGAATGTATTTTGGCAGAAATTTATGACTAAATTTGATTTTAGCATTTTTTTTACTGGACATGTTTTATAGCAAAAAGTCCAAAATATTGTTTTTTTTTTCCTCAAAATTGTCAGCCTTTTTTTTTTATAGCGCAAAAAATAAAAACCGCACAGGCGATCAAATACCACCGAAAGAAAGCTCAATTTGTGGGGAAAAAAAGAATGTAAATTTCATTTATGTACCGTAATGCATGACTGTGCAATTGTCCATTAAACTAGCGCATCGCTGTATAGCAGAAAAATGGCGTAAATTGCAGTATTTATACCATAGTTTGTAGACGCTATAACTTCCACACAAAGCAATCAATATACACTTATTGGGATTTTTTTACCAAAAACATGTAGCAGAATACATTTTGGCCTAAATTTATAACCAACTTTGAATTTACTATATATTTTTTATAGCTGAAAAGTAAAAAATATTGTTTTTCTTCAAAATTTTTAGTCTTTTTTTGTTTATAGCGTAAAAAAATAAAAAGCGCACAGATGATCAAATTACACCGAAAGAAAGCTCTATTTGTGTGAAAAAAAAGGGCGTAAATTTCGTTTGGGTACAGCATTGCATGACCGCGCAATTATCAGTTGAATTAGTGCAGCGCCGAGTAGCAAAAAGAGGCCTGGTCATTAAGGGGGGTAAATCCTCTGGAGGGCAAGTGGTTAAGATTACATATTTTTAGGACAAAATATGCTTCTTTTTTTTTTGTTTTTTTTTTTGTTTTTTTTGTTTTGTATAAAATGATTTTATTTTCTATGCAATCCATACAAAAAAAGTAACAAGACTAAAAAAAGAATTTTTTTCCATATTTAAAATAAAAAAAAAAGTATTACTGTAGCTAAAAAGTACTCTTTGCAATGGCCATGACAGGTGGACTTTGATAGTCAGGTGCAGAGATCTTGGCAGTTGGTGATAAACTGATCTTTAGCCTTTTGATTGTCTGACCTAAAAATAAAAAAACCTGACAGCTGTTACTGTTAATATATGGATCTCAACTGCATGTGCACTTTTAGTGGATAAGGATGAATAAACATGGTAAATGTTGTCAAGCATGTATGTTAAATGTCAAAGATCCAAGTTCATTCACCTAGCTTGTTAATTTGTTTCAGGCACTTATCTTCGAGGTTTAGAAACCACTGCCACCTTTGATCCCACAACACAGGAATTTATCGTTGACACGCCAAACATTACAGCAACAAAATGGTGGCCAGGAGAGTGTAAGTATTGTATACTCTTTATACTGTTTTACTGTTTGCAGTAACTTATGAGAATGAAGTTTCTTTCTGGCAGAGCTACAAGATCCAGCATAAAATATGCACCTATAGTACTCACAGTTTGTGTGTGTGTGTGTGTGTGTTTATACAGTGCCTTGAAAAAGTATTCATACCCCTATAAAATAATAAAATAGTATTGAAAAGCTATAAAAAGATATGAAAGTTCCTACAGACATGTCGTCGCTTTTATATACAGTGCCTTGAAAAAAGTATTCATACCCCTTGAAATTTTCCACATTTTGTCATGTTACAACAAAAACGTAAATGTATTTTATTGAGATTTTATGTGATAAACCAACACAAAGTGGCACATAATTGCGAAGTGGAAGGAAAATGATAAATGGTTTTCAACATTTTTTACAAATAAATATGTGAAAAGTGTGGCGTGCATTTGTATTCAACCCCCCGGAGTCAATACTTTGTAGAACCCCCTTTTCACTGCAATCCAACTGCAAGTCTTTTTTGGGGATGTCTCTACCAGCTTTGCAACCCTCCTGACTGCTCTGAAGATTTCCCAGGACAATGATAAAAAACTAAGTACAGTGCTATCCTTTGAAAGCTTGCTACATGTGGCAGTCTTTCCCCTTGTGAATCCCTGGGTGTGCTGATGTACTTGGGCCGCCTTCCTTGCTCCCAAGCAATAATCCTGTTCATACCATGACGCTGAATGGATGTTCTGGAGCCAGCCCAAGCCCAGCCTGAAGGCCAAGCCCCTCCTAGGCCACCGACAACCTCCTCAGCACTCCATTTTCCACTCAACTCCCCTTCTAGCATGGCTATCTCATTTATGGGTTAGCCTAACACACTACCAGGGCCTCCAAACCTGACTCCAATAAACATGCAGATTTAGGTCTCCACCCCTCATGTGCACTGGCTTCTGGAAGCTTCCATGCTCCTCCAGAACTAGGCGGAGGTGACAGTCCCAATCTGCTGAGTCACCCAGCCTAACCTGCAATAACCCAACCTTATTACAGACTCACATAGTTACCATGAGTCATACCATAATAAATGTACCTACACTAACACTAGTATATTTCTACAGGCCAGCGAGGAATCCCATCATAGTAATGGGACTATCAGAATGTATGGGAGGCTGGAAGGAACAGGCAAGCTCTAACTACCCAGAAGTGTCAGCGCCTTGTCCATGTACAATGGCTTTGAATAAAATAGTATTGAAAAGCTATAAAAAGATATGAAAGTTCCTGCAGACATGTCGTCGCTTTTATATACAGTGCCTTGAAAAAGTATTCATACCCCTTGAAATTTTCCACATTTTGTCATGTTACAACAAAAACGTAAATGTATTTTATTGGGATTTTATGTGATAAACCAACACAAAGTGGCACAAAATTGTGAAGTGGAAGGAAAATGATAAATGGTTTTCAACATTTTTTACAACTAAATATATGAAAAGTGTGGCGTGCATTTGTATTCAGCCCCCCAGTCAATATTTTGTGGGACCCCCTTTCGCTGCAATTACAGCTGCAAGTCTTTTTGGGGATGTCTCTACCAGCTTTGCACATCTAGAGAGGGACATTTTTGCTCATTCTTCTTTTCAGAATTGCTCAAGCTCTGTCAGATTGGATGAAGAGCGTCTGCGAACAGCAATTTTTAAGTCTGGCCACAGATTCTCAGTTGAATTTAGGTCTGGACTTTGACTGGGCCATTCTAACACATGAATATGCTTTGATCTAAACCATTCCATTGAAGCTCTGGCTGGATGTTTCGGGTCGTTGTCCTGCTGGAAGGTGAACCTCCGCCCCCGGTCTCAAGTCTTTTGCAGACTCTTAACAGCTTTTCTTCTAAGTTTGCCCTGTATTTGGCTCCATCCATCTTCCCATGCTGAAGAAAAGCCTCCCCACAACATGATGCTGCCACCACCATGTTTCACGGTGGGGATGGTGTGTTCAGGGTGATGTGCAGTGTTTGTTTTCTGCCACACATAGCGTTTTCCTTTTAGGCCAAAAAGTTCAATTTTAGTCTCATCTTACCAGAGCAGCTTCTTCCACATGTTTTCTGTGTCCTCCACATGGCTTCTCGCAAACTGCAAACAGGACTTCTAATAGCTTTCTTTCAACGATGGCTTTCTTCTTCTTACTCTCTCTTCTATAAAGGCCAGATTTGTGGAGTGTACGGCTAATAGTTGTCCTGTGGACAGATTCTCCCACCTGAGCTGTGGATCTCTGCAGCTCCTCCAGAGTTACCATGGGCCTCTTGGCTGCTTCTCTGCTTAATGTTATCCTTGCCCGGCCTGTCGGTTTAGATTGACGGCCATGTCTTGGTAGGTTTGCAGTTCTCTGGAATCTTTCCATTTTCAGATGATGGATTGAACAGTGCTCTGTGAGATGTTCAAGGCTTGGGATATTTTTTTTATAACCTAACCCTGCTTTAAACTTCTCCGCAACTTTATCCCTGACCTGTCTGGTGTGTTTCTTGGCCTTCATGATGCTGTTTGTTCACTAATGTTCTCTAACAAACCTCTAAGGACTTCACAGAACAGCTGTATTTATACTGGGATCAAATTACACACAGGAGGACTCTATTTACTAATTAGTTGACTTCTGAACGCAATCGGTTCCACTAGCTTTTAGTTAGGGGTATCAGAGTAAAGGGGGCTGAATACAAATGCACGTCACACTTTTCAGATATTTATTTGTAAAAAATGTTTTTTTCATTTTGCATCCACTTCACAATTATGTGCCATTTGGTGTTGGTCTATCACATAAAATTCCAATAAAATACATTTACATTTTTGGTTGTAAAATGACGAAATGTGGAGAAGTTCAAGGGGTGTGAATACTTTTCCAAGGCACTGTAAGTGTAGCATGTTTGTTACTTAAAGTGGAACTTCACTGCACCTGAGCACCAAAAACATGGCTTTGGCCATCTTGAGTAAGGGCAGATGAGACACTGTATGCATTTATGTGCATTCAGGGCTCATTCACACAGGCAGGAAAAAATGCTGCATTTAAAAGGATATAGCAGATAGTTAGTTTTGTAAGCATCTAAATGCAGCACTATAGAAATCAATGAACCCATACACACAGCTGTGTCTACATACAAATTATTATTATTATACAGGATTTATATAGCGCCAACAGTTTGCTCAGCGCTTTACAATATAACGGGAGACAATACAGCAACAATACAGTTCAATACAAGAGGTAGCTGCGTTGAGTTGCTTTGAAAAAAAAAGTAAAATACAGCTGAAACTTTTACACACTTCTGCAGCTTTTACTCATGCGTGCACACACACAAACGTGTAATAAATGTGTGTACTTTAGGCACACATTTAATGCAGGATCTTTCTTTCATGTAGAAAATATGCATCTAAATATAGGTTTTTTTAATGCCTGTGTGAATGAGCCCTTATACGTGTTTTATGCTCATACAAGTGTAAAATCTGCAGAACTCCACGCCTAAAATCTGCAGCTGTGTCCTACTTTTTTGAGTGCTGCTAAACACAACGCACATTTTCGTATGTAGATGCAGTTGTGAATATGGGCATAATGATTACTATAGTGCTGCATTTTTATACACAAAAAGATATACACTGGATGCATCTGTATTGTGTTTTTTTTTTTTTTTGTGTTTTTTTTTAATTTTTTCTGCCCATACAAATTAGCCCTTACAGTTACTAGTGTGCTTAGGCAGGCCATATATTTTAGTTTTTTCCTTTACCATGGGTGAAAGGAAAGAAAATTGCTCTTTTTTTTTTTTTTTAAGTTCCCCCCCCCCCCGCCCATCAACACAGTCAGTGTTGATGGGGAAATATGGAAAAAATATATTCAGAACTGCGCCACAGTATTTCTGCTTAAATCAAATAATTAAAAGTGCAGCTGCTATCCTACTTGATGTAAACACCAAAAAATATGAAAAATAAACTGACCTGCTATACTACCTCAAATTATGACAAGTTCAATCAAAAAGCCGACTCCAGCTGCGATCTCCGGTCATGGTTACAAACCCAGCATGTGTGTGACATCACGTTCAAGCTCCGCCCTACGTGTTTTATCATCCGTCATTCAGGGGCGAGCTTGGGTGGCTCGGCTATTTGATTGATTGAACTTGTCATACTAGTGTCAGTGGAGACACACATCAAGTTGAGTTTGAGTGTTTTTTTTTTAACCACTTCCCATCTGGCCCATGTAGATAAATGGCTGGACGGGAGCGCTGCTGAAGCGGGTGGACGTTTCTAAACGCCCCCCCACATCAATTGCCTGTGCGGGCTCCCTGGGAGCGTGCGGCACAGCGATCGGTGCCTGCTGTGTCCGGAACACAGATTGCTGAGGTCCCAATCACATGTGATCACTGATTGGCCAATCAGTGATCAGATGAATAGTAGTAAACAAGATGTCACTTCTGACACCATTGCTTACTACTTGTGAAATCTGTGAATGATCAGAGGTCACACGGTAGAAGGCTATTCACAACAGCTTTTGTACCATGTGACAAGCTGTGACCTATCACAGCTCTCACAGTATTTCTCAATGGCTGCAAGAATGCAGCCAGAGAGGATAAATGATTGCTTTTACAGCTTTTTGGGTGTAAAAGCAATCAGTGTAAAAAAAGAAAACAAAATCTGCATCACCCCCCCCCCACAAGTATTAGTGTCACTATGGTAACACTGTACTGCTATGGTGACAGTATGTAAAAAACAAAACAAAAAAAATCCCCATAAATAATAATATAAAAAAGTAAAAACAAAAAAGGTTGAAAAATTATCATTTTTGTTTATAAACTAATTTGGGTTATTTTTATTTTTACTAAAAAGATAGATAATACATTTTGGCCAAGATTTATGAAGAAAGATTATTTATTTACAAAATTTTATAGGAAATTTTGGACTTTTTCATTTATATAGCAAAAAAATTTAAATCCCAGTGATGAATAAATACCACCAAAATAAAGTTGTATCTGTCTCAAAAAATGCTAAAAAATTCATATGGGTACAGTGTTGCATGACCGCGCAATTGTCATTCAAAGCGTGATAGCACTGAAAGCTGAAAATTGGCCTGACTAGAAGGGGGTGAAAGTGTCCGGACCTGAAGTGGCTAAACAAAAGTTTTTAGATGGTTTTACACTATGCAAGCCAATGTTTCTTCATCCTGCATGTGATGTGATGAGAGAATGTGGAATGACCATTTTTAAAGGGATCCCTGAAGAAAATTGCTGCATCAGGATAAACTGCAGATCCTGACTCTCAGAGCCATATGCATAATTAGCTTGTTTATCGCATGTCAATGATTGCTACAGGCTCTGTGTGAGCCTGTGTAACAAAGAAGTATCCATAGCTGGTGCTTTTATGTTCTTCTATGCAATGTTATGTTTAAACAAATTCTAAAAAACCTTGTTATGCAATTTTATTATATGTTCTATGACTTTCACAGTAGGAAAGACCAGCACTCACGCTGTTGTCCTGGCCCAATTATGTAGCAATGGAAAGTATTATGGCATGCATCCTTTCATTGTTCCCGTCCGGAGTCTGAAGGACCACTCTCCACTCCCAGGTAACAATTCACATCTTCAGATTCAAAGTTACTATGGGGTCCATCTTAAAAAAGAAAAAAAAAAAAAAGATGATTTGCACTGTGCTGTACTGGCTTTAGTAGTCAAAAGTGGCAGAGTGAAATAAAACTGCATAGAAAAAAAACCTGAAGGAGAGCCTGGTCACATGACCTAAGTCACATGATTCACTTTCTTCCAATCACAATAGACAAAGAACTCCATGGGACTGCATGCTCTATGCATCCACACCATGGCCTCCATTTTACGAGTAGGCTGTAAAATGTGGGCCACATTGTGTTTTTTAACTTGATGATGCATAACATTGAACAGATAGTGGATAGCGATATCTGCTCTCCAACATAAATTGGCCTCTGTTTTTCCTTTATTTGTGTAGCACCCTCTTAGTTAGCTAGGGGGAGCTCCAGTTCCAATTAGTTAGAGGCATAGAGTAGCAGTCTGGGTGTGACGGCTAGCAAGGTCAAATTTGGGAGCGGAGAGGCACTGCTGACCAGCTCTCTGGGATTTCCCCCTACTCTAGAACTTTGGAGAAAGATCTAGAAGCAGTGGGTGGAAGTGAGGAGTAGCTGGTCTGTACTCTGAGAGGATCCTGGCCAATCTCCAATAGGAGTCTTGGCAAGGGGCCTCTAAGAGTAACTGAGTCTACTCAGCAGCAGGAACGTTCGGGCGGAAGATGGAGAGGAAGTGAGGTTGAAGAGCAGGGAGAAAGGGGTTCACCTCTAGACAGGAATCTTGGAAGAAGGTAAGCTTGGGACTTCACTGACCCCCTGAGAGAGGACCACCAGCTAGAAGGCCTGGTAGCAGCCACTGACCCACCAGCAATGCAGCAGAAGGACTGAGTGAGTAGACCTGCACCCCCTGGGCCAGTAAGGGGAAAGAGGCACTCTGGTGGGAAACTGGATTAGCTTTTTACCCGGGATTGTTCATCCTGCAGTGGCAGACACCGGATCCCCTGCCCAGGGAAAAACCAGTACAGCTGAATGAGGAGAGGATTCATCTGGGGTCTGGGGTGGTACTATAGGAGATGTTGGCTAGCTCTTCAAAAGAACTTTTGTTGTAAAGACTTGTACATAGTTCAGGAAGGTTGTCCTCAGTTGCTGTTCCCTTGGGCACCCCATTCAAGTTCAATCTCCTAATAAATTCCAAACAAATAAGATCAAGGACTAGATACTGTCTGCTGGATGCAAGTCTGAGTGAAGGTAATGCATGTTGCCTGGCTGTGCAGGACTATAGAAGGAGCCAAAACTTCAGCGACTCTTGAGGGCTGCTGTGTTTCTGGGTCCCCTTAAGCTTCGCACAGCCAAGCAACATGCATTTTCCACACTTGCATCCACAGTCAGTGAACAGTCCATGAGCTTGGCTTTTTGTTATTTTTGTTAGGGAAAATAACTTGGATGGGGTAATGGGGATTATGGGATGCCCAAATTAACTGAATCCCCAATTCACTGGGACAACTTCCTTCCTATTTTACAAAAAAAAGATCCTGGACTGTTCTTCTGAGGTCAGTCTTTACAGATCAGTAGACCAAAAGCCCCTTATGGACTAGGGACTCTCGGCCCTCTGAAAGGTAGCACAGATTGTTGCAAACTACATGCAGAAGTATCTCCTCTCCTCTGTAGAACTGCTCCCAGTTCCACAGCCTGCAGACACTACCAACCCTCCTGGCTGCTCTGAAGATTTCCCAGGACAATGATTAAAGACTAAGTACAGTGCTATCCTTTGAAAGCTTGCTACATGTGGCAGTCTTTCCCCTTGTGAATCCCTGGGTGTGCTGATGTACTCGCCCCCCCTTCCTTGCTCCCAGGCAATAATCCTGTTCATACCATGATTCTGAATGGATGTTCTGGAGCCAGCCCAAGCCCAGCCTGAAGGCCAAGCCCCTCCTAGGCCACCGACAACCTCCTCAGCACTCCATTTTCCACTCAACTCCCCTTCTAGCATGGCTATCTCATTTATGGGTTAGCCTAACACACTACCAGGGCCTCCAAACCTGACTCCAATAAACATGCAGATTTAGGTCTCCACCCCTCATGTCCACTGGCTTCTGGAAGCTTCCATGCTCCTCCAGAACCAGGTGGAGGTGACAGAGTCCCAATCTGCTGAGTCACCCAGCCTAACCTGCAATAACCCAACCTTATTACAGACTCACATAGTTACCATGAGTCATACCATAATAAATGTACCTACACTAACACTAGTAGTGCACCTATTTTAAAAATATGTCGTCAAGTGACTCTGTCACTAGTGGTGCACGCACCTGCAGCGGCTTTCATTTATTCCTCTACTGGCCATTCTGATCAGACGAAGCTTTGACACTTGCTGCTAATGATGAAGGTTGAGTGCTTCCTCCCTCCATACACATATTTCTACAGGCCAGTGAGGAATCCCATCATAGTAATGGGACTATAAGAATGTATGGGAGGCTAGAAGGAACAGGTAAGTTCTAACTACCCAGAAGTGTCAGCGCCTTGTCCATGTACAATGGCTTTGAATAAAATAGTATTGAAAAGTTATGAAAAGATATGAAAGTTCCTGCAGACATGTCCTCGCTTTTATATACAGTGCCTTGAAAAAGTATTCATACCCCTTGAAATTTTCCACATTTTGTCATATTACAACAAAAACGTAAATGTATTTATTGGGATTTTATGTGATAGACCAACACAAAGTGGCACATAATTGCAAAGTGGAAGGAAAATGATAAATGGTTTTCAACATTTTTTACAAATAAATGTGTGAAAAGTGTGGCATGCATTTGTATTCAGCCCCCCGGAGTCAATACTTTGTAGAACCCCCTTTTCACTGCAATCCAACTGCAAGTCTTTTTGGGGATGTCTCGACCAGCTTTGCACATGTAGAGTGTGTCATTTTTGCCCATTCTTCTTTACAAAATAGCTCAAGCTCTGTCAGATTGGATGGAGAGCATCTGTGAACAGCAATTTTCAAGTCTTACCACAGATTCGAAATTGGATTTAGGTCTGGACTTTGACTGGGCCATTCTAACACATGAATATGCTTTGATCTAAACCATTCCATTGCAGCTCTGGCTGTAAGTTTAGGTTCGTTGTCCCACTGGAAGGTGAACCTCCGCCCCGGTCTCAAGTCTTTCACAGACTCTAACAGGTTTTCTTCTAAGATTTGCCCTGGATTTGGCTCCATTTATCTTACCATCAACTCTGATCAGCTTCCCTATCCCTGTTTAATTAAAGATTACCCACAACATGATGCTGCCACCACCATGTTTCACGGTGGGGATGGTGTGTTCAGGGTGATGTGCAGTGTTAGTTTTCTGCCACACATGGCATTTTCCTTTAAGGTCAAAAAGTTAAATTTTGGTCTCATCTGACCAGAGCACCTTCTTCCACATGTTTGCTGTGTCTCCCCCCACATGGCTTCTCGCAAACTGCAAACAGGACTTCTAATGGCTTTCTTTCAACAATGGCTTTCTTCTTCTTACTTCTCTTCCATAAAGGCCAGATTTGTGGAGTGCACAACTAATAGTTGCCTGTGGACAGATTCTCCCACCTGAGCTGTGGATCTCTGCAGCTCCTCCAGAGTTCCCATGGATCTCTTGGCTGCTTCTCTGATTAATGCTCTCCTTGCCCGGCCTGTCAGTTTAGGTGGATGGCCATGTCTTGGTAGGTTTGCAGTTGTGCCATACTCTTTCCATTTTCAGATGGTAGATTGAACAGTGCTCCATGAGATGTTCACAGCTTGGAATTTTTTTTATAACTTAACCCTGCTTGAAACATCTCCAGAACTTTATCCTTGACCTCTCTGGTGTGTTCCTTGGCCTTCCTGATGCTGTTTGTTCACTAATGTTCTCTAACAAACCTCTGAGGGCTTCACAAAACAGCTGAATTTATTTGTAAGAAATTTTGAAAACCACTTTTTATCATTTTACTTCAACTTCACAATTATGTGTCACTTTGTGTTGGTCTATCACATAAAATCACAATAAAATACATTTATGTTTTTGGTTGTAACATGACAAAATGTGAAAAAAGTATGAATACTTTTTCAAGGCACTGTATGCAGGCCACTTCTTTTTAAGAACAGGGGCTTTAGGGAGATTTTTTTTTCTCTAGAAAAACCAGCATATTTCCCCTTCCATTACTCCAGTGCATCCCAAAATAAACCAGAAACACTTTTTCTGTAAAACATATAGACACAAGGATTGGGTGTGAGCATCAGTACTCAACTACCAGTGTCTAAGCAATGTATTTATATTCTTCTTTTATTCACATATATACCTGCAAGATTAAAAAGGACTATCTGTGGTGCTCAAAAGTCACCCAATTCTAGCCTACACTAAAAAAAGTTGGAGACTGTGGGGTTGAATTCCTAAAGGCAAATAGACTGTTTACTTTTCAAGGGAATTTTCCATTGGCCTAACAAATGCTGTGGAGCTCTGTTAACTTCCATCTTCAAATTACATGCAAGCAAAATACTTTTTTTTTTTTTTTTTTTTTTAACTTGCTTAACGTGATTGGGTATTCTTTCCCAATTGAATTTTCACAACATTCACTAAGACCTGGGGGACATTCCCTTATAAAATGAACAGCCTATTTGCCTATAGTAAATCAACCCCGTAATCTCCAACTGTTTTTAATGTAGGTTTGAATCCGGTGACTTTTGAGTACCAAAGATAATCTTTAGTTCAGCCACTAGATCTTCTCTGCTAAGTACAAAAATATATATGAATTCCAAATATTTAGCCATTGCCACTTCCTTTCAGGAATAACCGTTGGTGACATTGGGCCCAAGATGGCCTTTCAACAGGTTGACAATGGATACCTCATGATGAGAAACATTCGTATTCCAAAGGAAAACATGCTAAGCAGATTCTCCGAGGTACTGAAAGTGTTAGCAGTTTTATTTGTAGCATTCAAAACTGTGTTGCCAATAGGGCCCCATTTGCTAAGGGCTTGACTCCAATTAAATAGTTACACTGTAGGGCCCAATGTCCTCTGACCATCACACCTATATACTGTATGTCCAACAGTATTCACACACCTCCAAATTATTGAGTTCAGGTGTTTCTAGTGAAGGTTCCTGGTAATGCTACAGCATACAAGGACATTTTTGGATTATTGTGCACATCCAGCCTTTGAAAACAGGAGCACAAAAATAATGGATAGAAAAGGGCCTTCCCCAAACTATCCAAAGCAAAGCCCATAAAGACATGGTTTGATGAATGGTGTGGTGGAACTTTAGCAGTCTGCACAGAGCCTTACCTCAACTCTGTTTAATACTTTGGGGAAATGTTTTTCAACCTTTTTCAGTTAAGGCACCCTTTATAATTCTGCAGAATCTTGAGGCATCCCATTCTAATATGTAAAAAACTTAAACTAATACATATCGCAGCAACATCCACAAGTGTAGGTCACCCAACATTACCCACAGCTAGACACATGCAGAATGAAAAAATTAATTTAGTTTCATATTGATCTGTTAAGTTACTAATTTTGTTTTGTTGCATTCATAATGAAATTAGTTTCAATTGTTTGTTTTCAACCGGATTCAAATTTTTTTCCAGTGGATTCAAAATACTTGAATCGAATCTGAATCAAAAATATTGAATCGATCCAAAGTCATTGTGAAGAATAGCTGGTTCTATTCTGTTCAAAATTTGAATTTCTGAAGACGGTTATAGTCTTTCTACTTTTATTCTTTTCTAATCTTTTTTTTGGGGGCAAAATTTTGTTTTGTTCTTTTGGATTCGTCACTATTGTAATTCGGATACATCAAACTCTCCAAATAATGAAACTGTCGACCAAATTTACGATTTGGTTCAAAACGAACCACACATGTCTACCCACAGCTGATGTGAACCCAATGCTGATGGAGAAGGGGGGGGGGGGCAAACAAGGTTGCTGTGCAGGGACCCATGTCCTCCTTATCAACTGATGACATAATTGGTTGTTAGGACGCTAGCGGCTAGAAGGTTATAATGGTACACAATGAAAAGCTGTGGCTTTGCACAATGAAAACACATTCTTAATATTGTGGAAAGCCTTCCAAGAACAATGAAGGCTACCGTTATAGTTGCAAAGGGAATGGAAGGGCTGTCTTGTGCCTCAAAAACAACGCCTACAGTTTAAGAATGGGATACCAAACATGCTCATGTAGGTTTGTTGCCACTTTTTCAGAAAATTATGGTCACATGTGTATGTTGAGGAAACCTCCAAAGTGATTCTCTTGTTTTTATGTAGATAAAGAGGGGGGGCTACTGGATTCCCGGGTATAGTTAAAATTCCCAGTAGGGAGGTTCTTGTTTTCAAGAGACATCTCTCAGGTACACAGGGGTCACTCCTTGGCTCTCAGATAAATGTACTGGAACTCTAGAAAGGACAGCACCAGACAGGTATTAGAATCCAGATGGACTGTATTGTTCAAACATTTGTTAAAAATCCATGCATTTTGGGGATTCTGATGGCCCGTCCTCATCAGGGCTTCAAAACACCTTGATGTAAGACTTTGAAGCCCTTCTGATGGGGGCCAAAATGTGATTTTCAATGCATAATGAGAGCTATAAATTATATCTGGACTTTACTACTACTAACGAACAAGTGTCTGGATACAAAACTCTATCCATGTGGTGTAACATTCTACTCAAAAAAATTTTACATTTCATAGCATAAGATGTGTTCCAAGAAAGGTGTGGTTTGTTTTTTTTTATCATTTTTGGTCTTACGCCTAAATCCTGGAAATTTTGGTTTGACCTTTTTCTTAATCACCAAGCTTGCTGAGATCCATGTTCCTGATGGTCCTATTTTGCATACACAATTTAAATTAAATAACACAAACATACTCTGCCCTGTGTATGCTGAATAGTGTAGGGAGGTGTTAGAACCCCTGTCTGTGTACCAGCTCTTATAGGGACAGAAAGTGAAGGGATACACAAAATTTTGGGTTGTCCTCCAAAAGAGGAAATGAGGGAATCATTCCAATGGAGGCACTTGTTCCAGGGAAAACTGTCCAGCAGGGCATTTCCCCTCTCTTTGAAGAGTTTTCTTCTTGCTTTGGTTGTGAATATGGAACAGGAAGTTATGGAAAATCTCCCCAGTGGGGCACATATAATAAAAATACGTTTTGAACACTTTAAATATATCCAGTCTAATAAGTCAAGCCGAGAAATCTATATCCTTTTATCTCTGTGATTTCATTTAATCCTGTTAGCTGTGCTAAAACCGTTCGTTAACATAGCTAAGTTCCACAGCTTTCCATTCGCTGCCTAAGTCTAGGTTCACACTATTGCGGGTTTATGGGTTGAGTTGCGTGAAGGTGCCATTAAAAATGATTGGCAGCCCTGTGCGTACAGAACAGTGCAAGCTGCGGGAACATCTTGATAAATAGTGTGAGCCTAATGAAGCTTGGCCATGAAGTCATTGGAAGACCTAGTAGCGAAATGAAACTATACTTGTACTCCATTTAAACTTTTTAGTTTAGTTTTTTCCATCCTCTACTGGAGTACAAGTCCACGAAGGCCAACACCGCTACAGTTGTTCATATGTGTGCTCACCAATCAACACTATACATTAAGCATCCTTTAAAAAAGAAATACCTTTTGGTATCTCAGATGTTCAAAGCTAACTAGACACTGCTGGCCCTGTTCTTTATCTTCAGATGCAAACGGCTGTAAAAATACAAAGTAGGGAGAAGCAGCACAAGGAGCCAATCAGGTGTGCTATAATGCAAAGATCATATTGATTGGAGGAAAGAGAGAGACAGAGAGAGAAAATCATCTGTCTGCTACTTCTCCTTGCATTGACCAATCAAAGGTTGGGATGGGAGCAGGGGCAGACTGACAACTCATGGGGCCCCCCTGGGCAATAGGGGATCATGGGGCCCCTGTGTCCTTGCCCAAACTCAAAAAAGCCTATGAAAAAGGTACCAGGGGCATCTCAAGGGGCCCCCTACTGAACCCGGGTCCTGGGCAGTGCCCGAGTTTCCAAATGGTCAGTCCACCCCTGGGTGGGAGACCTGTATGTGAAAGTGGAAAAAGCAGCAGAGAAAGAACAGGTCCAGCTGTGCTGTGCAAATTTCCAGACTAAATGAATACAAATTCTTTGGCAGGTAAAATGGCTGCCATATATGGGTTTCATCGTTTGTTAGGTTGTCTACCTGGGGATCAGGTTTAAATATTTTCTTACATAACACTGACAGGATATACCATACTGTTTGAATCTCTCCATGACAGGTTCTGCCCGATGGCTCCTATGTGAAACGTGGGTCCGACAAGATCAATTATTTCACTATGATTGCAATACGGGTTGCAATGATCGGCGGTGAGGTTGTGGATTCGCTGATGAAGGCATGTACATCGCGGTGAGGTACTCTGCAGTCAGACGTCAATCAGAGTTAAAACCCGGGTATGTACATTACCATGATGCTTACAGAACCCCACCAAGCAATGTGTGCCACAAAGCCTAACCAAATCAGGCAACACATTTTACGGACAATCCAGCATTCTGTATTCTCTGTAGACTACGGTGAAGCCCCCAACTTTATAATGGAGCTGTTCTGTATTCCTAACACCTCTCTGGAGTGACAACGCTGCTGCTAGATGTATTACAGTGAGTAAGCGTTGTCACTCTAGGATGGGAAGTGTAACTGGTTAGAACACCTGGTGAAAATAAAGGGGAAAAAAAGCGCCTTAGCCTTGGTTCACATATGTGCGGGAAATGAAGTCACTCCTGTGCATTTCCCGACCTGCAATGAAATCGCGCTGCATTCATGCGATCTGCTGGGGGGTGTCAACGTTTAATTAACGACACCCCAAAAAGAGGTGTTTAAGGCTAGGGTCACACCTGTGCAGTTTGTGCACATAATGCAGTGTGATTGCCTGAATTGGATTGCACAGGTGTGAACAACCATGCGATCCGATTCCAGTGCTGCAAAAAAAAAAAAGAAACTTTTTCATGCGGGTGCGGTGCAGATTTTTAGCCCATATAAAATGAATGGACTCAAATTGCACTGCGAAGAATCACATGTGATTGGAATAGGAATGCGGTGTCATCAGTGCCACCCCCTTGAAAAATTCCGCCTAAAAGCCTTTTTGCCGCGCGGTAAATACGCCCCTAGTGTCCCACATCGCACAATGCTGAACACAGACTTAAAAAGTGAAACCACCGCATCTAAAGCTAGGTTTACACTTATGCAGTTTGCATTTGATCCGTTTCTGCAGTGCTGTTTGTGGTGCATTTTGTGTTTGTTTGCATGTGGTTTTGAAGCGTTTTGCATTTTTTTCCAACTTGTTGCTGGGCAGATCTAAAAATGTAAAAAACGCCTAAAAAATTAACCACATACTTTTCTGCAGCATCTCTATTGAAGTCTATAGAACCACAAACGCAAAGTTTTGCGGTTAAAGTCCCTGACCCTTTCCGAAAAAACAAACCGGTGAAAACGTGGAATGTAAACCTGAAATCAAGTTAAATCGACTGCTGTTTTTTTGCAAAATTATTATTATACAGGATTTATATAGCGCCAACAGTTTGCTCAGCGCTTTACAATATAATGGGAGACAATACAGCAACAATACAGTTCAATACAAAAGGGATTAGAGGGCCTGATCCTGGGAGCTTACAATCTAAGAGGGAGGGGCTAGTGGTACAAAAGATAGTAACTGTGGGGGATGGAATGGTAGGAAGAGTAGAAGATTCCATTATTAGCTGAAGGCAGGATAGGCCTCCCTGAAGAGAGAGAGGTTTTCAGAGATCACCTAAGCGATAGTCTGATAAATTGAGGTAGAGAGTTCTAGAGGATGAGGAAAGCTCTGGAGAAGTCCTGGAGAGGAGCATGGGAGGAGGAGACAAGGGAGCTAGAAAGCAGGAGGTCGTGCAAGGAGCGGAGAGTAAGGTTTGGGTGATATTTGGAGACAAGATCGGTGATGTAATTTGGGGCAGAGTTATAAATGGCTTTATATGTTATTGTTAGTGTTTTGAATTTTATTCACTGGGCAATGGGAAGCCAGTGGAGGGATTGGCAGAGAGGGGTGGAGGACACTGAATGGAGGCCAGTGGAGGGATTGGCAGAGAGGGGTGGAGGACACTGAATGGAGGCCAGTGGAGGGATTGGCAGAGAGGGGTGGAGGCCAGTGGAGGGATTGGCAGAGGGGTGGAGGACACTGAGTGGAGGCCAGTGGGGGGATTGGCAGAGAGGAGTGGAGGACACTGAGTGGAGGTCAGTGGAGGGATTGGCAGAGAGGGGTGGAGGACACTGAGTGGAGGCCAGTGGGGGGATTGGCAGAGAGGAGTGGAGGACACTGAGTGGAGGTCAGTGGAGGGACTGGCAGAGAGGGATGGAGGACACTGAGTGGAGGCCAGTGGAGGGATTGGCAGAGGGGTGGAGGACACTGAGTGGAGGCCAGTGGAGGGATTGGCAGAGAGGGGTGTCAGATACAGAACGGTTGGCTGGTAAGGTGGATGAGTCTGGCAGCAGCATTCATGATAGACTGAAGAGGGGATAGCCTGCGGTAAGGTTGGCCAATGAGGAGGGAGTTACAATAGTCAAGGCGAGAGATAACATGCAGTGGAAAAAGCATAGGTGTGAACTTAGACTAAGGACCGGTAAGCTGCAATATAATATTTTGTTCTTGTGTTTAAATATACTTTAAGGTCCAGTAAATTTTTATGGCCAGAGTATGATAGGAGGCCAGAAGGTGTAGGGGCCCCCCTTGTATTCACTAGCTGCGGGGGTTCTTGTGCCAACCAACTAGGTTCTTCAAAGTAGGAGATGATACAGCAAATGATTCAGTTGACTTTTTTTGGCTTCATGTTCCAGAAAATGTAACTAACTTGTGTTTTCAATTTTTTTAGAGCCCAAGAAGCTAAAATCCTTGATTACCAAACCCAGCAACAAAAGCTGTTGCCTCTCCTGGCAACTTGTTATTCCATTCATTTTATGGCCAAACACATGAATGTATTTTACAACGAGACCTTCAAAGAGATTAGGGTGGGGAATTTTAACTCTCTAGCTGAGGTAAGTATATGGTTGTTCCATTCTTAGGCGGGCCATACACTATACAATTGTCCAATTTCTGCCCAGTTTTCTTTAGATTTACCTTCAACTATGTAGTGAAAAGGCCTGCCTAATTGGATACAAGTGAAAGTGTTGTTTAGGTTTGACCTCGTATTATATGGTTTTCAAAATTCAAAATTCTCAAGAAAATTGTATAATGTATGGCCAGCCTTAAACATTGCAGTTCATATGGCAGCCAGACACCGAATATTTTATGAGATCACAAAGCTGCTGCCGGGTGTGCCTATCCATTCATGTGCCAAGGTGTAGCTCTAGGATGTTGTATATGAACTGTACATATTTGTGTGTTATGGCCAGTTCACACTACAAAAATGCCCTCCAGATAGGTTTTTGCTTAGGGCCAGTTCACACTCCATGCGTTTCAGTTGCTTTTTTTCTGCATCCAAAAGGCACAGAAAGTAGGTGATGTGGTTGTCAATGTCATAGTTCACATCTCTGCTTGTAGTTCCAGTGCGTTCCAGTTGCAGAAAAAAAAGTAGAATAATCTGCATTTTTTTCTGCACAGAACTGTACTGGAACACGGTAAAATGCATCAGAAATGCACCGGAACGCCCCAAAATGCACATGTCCCAATTTAAATTGAAGAAAAAGAGAGGGGAAAAATGAACTGGAACGCATCAAAAACGCACCGGAATGCATCAAAAACACATTCAGAACTGCATAAAGAATGCATCTGGTTTTTTATAGTGTGAACTGTCATTACAGTTCACACCACACTCCATTCAGGTGCAGTTTTGATGCAGTTTGCTATGTTCAAGTACGGTTCTGTGCAGAAAATATGCAGCATGTTCTACTTTTTTTTTGTGCACTGAAAACTGACTGGAACTGACAGCACTAGTGTGAGCTAGGGCCATTGCAATACATGGAAAACACTGTGCATGCATTTTTGATGCAGAAAAAAAACCGCACTGGACTACATCTGGTGTGAAAAAAGGGGTAAGACCAGGGGAAAGATCTTTCCTGTTGGTGGTGGTGAGGTCTACTATTTTATGGTTTTACAGGTTATCTAATTAATTTTGCAATAAACATTTACATTATTATTTTCCATATTAGCCGCGGTTTGTCCTCATTGGGACCCCTTGACCTTAGAGATCTCTTTCCCTGGTCTTCCTCCTTTTTTCCTCTATGTCATAATTGATCCCGAGGACATGACTGTGTCATTCACATGTGAGTTGGCATTCATATATAATTTTCAGCATCAGGGATTTGTTGGTTGATACCCCTCTGATGATTATTTATACTTAGCCTAGGGACATCCCGGTTTTTTACTATTTTGTTACTTATATCTGGTGTGAACCAGTCCTTAGGGCCAGGTCACACCACGAAAATGCATTCCGGATACGTTTTTGCTTACAGTTCACACCACATGCAGTTCCGGTGCAGTTTTGATGCAGTTTGCTATGTTCCAGTATGGTTCTGTCCTGAACATATGCAGTATGTTCTACTTTTGGAAATATTTATAATGATCATATATACATGAATGTATGTGTTCTATTTCCTAATTAGATCATGAATGCATATATACAAAGGACCTTCTATATTACTGTAGTATTCTATGCACTTGAATGACATATGTATCAAAAGCAAATATAAGTTTCATCATATATATCCTGCCACTTACACTTATGCTTCGGGTAAACCAGAAAACTTTTTTAACCACTTGCCCTCCAGAAGATTTACCCCCCTTCCGGACCAGGCCATTTTTTGCGATATAACTCTGTGTTAATTTAACTGACAATTGCGCGGTCATGCAACGCTGCACCCAAATAAAATTTATGTCCTTTTTTCCCCACAAATAGAGCTTTCTTTCGATAGTATCTGATCGCCTGTGTGTTTTTTAATTGTTTGCGCTATAAACAAAAAAAGACCGACAATTTGGGGAAAAAAACCCCAATATTTTTGACTTTTTGCTATTAAACATGTCCAATTTTAAAAAATTTCGGCCAAAATGTATTCTGCTACATGTCTTTGCTGAAAAAAAAAATCCCAATATGTGTAAATTAATTGGTTTATGTGAAAGTTATAGCATCTACAAATGGTGTATATATACTCAAATTATTTTTTTCTTAATATACTAGTAATCAGCGACTTATAGCGGGACTGGGGCGGCCATGTTGACACTGGGGGGAACTGACTTGGTGTTACTAACATCCCCAGTGACACCAATACAGCGATTAGTGCTAATAAAAAGCACTGACACTGTACTAATGCCACTGGGGTGGAAGGGGTTAACATCTGGGGCGATCACACGGTTAACTGTGTGCTGTTTCACTACTTGGGCTGTGTGTGTGCTTCACTGTAAGCACTCTGCTATGCAGAGCCATACAAATCAGTGTGCAGGAGCTGACGGGAGAGATCTGTGTTTTTATACACATGTCTTTCCTGTGTCGATAATACTGGGCGATCACTGGGTGAAGGCGAGTAATCACCGGCCGGGACCCCGTGATTGACAGCCGAGGTCGCGAATGGAGGCGTGGGTAGAGCGCGCAAACCTACCCAGAAATGCAGAATCGCGTATATATGTGATTTTGTGCACCCCTGCCGCCCTGTAGCAGTATTTCTATATAGGGTGGAGGGGAAGCGGTTAATTTAAATGGTGTAAAGGAAAAAAAATGCCCTTTAATTATACCAAACACCCAAAATGCATATGGTCACCATTTTTTGCCATGGGTGCAAACGATACTGCTTAGTGCAACGAAAAGGCACTTTATACTCAAAAATATATAGATGTTTGGCCATGCTGGCATGTGAATTACTGTGTTTGATTAAAAAAAACCTGCTGTAATATTAGGACATTTATTATAAATTTATATTGATGAATTGCTTTGGGATAGGTGACAGATGGAAGTCTAAAGTGAGTTTTATCTTACATTTTGCGTACAACATGCACATGATAAGTAAACCATCTTGGGGATTTTTTTTTCATTCCAGCTCCACGCTATTGCTTCTGGCCTAAAAGGATTTTCTACAGAGGTTTCCTCCAGTGGTGTGGAGGTTTGCCGCAAAGCCTGTGGAGGTCACGGCTACTCTCTGTACAGCGGACTGCCGACACTTTACACCAGGATTGTGGCTTCATGTACTTATGAAGGGGAAAACACCGTCCTACACCTACAAGCTGCAAGGTACTACTAGTTAATGGTCTCCTGAAATGGAAAACAAATTCTGCATTTTAGATTTAGAATATTTTTTAGAGAGTAATAAGCCCAACTGCAAGTGACCGTAAAGCTAAAATCCAAATAAGTGTAAAAAAAATTCCCGGTGAATGCAAGCATGGATTAATTTAAAATATCATTGCATTCAATTTCTTTTATAATATAAATACCTGATTTTGGCCTAATGCAATCCTCTGTGTAACTGCATTCAGATAGGGAGAGGGAGAGTCAGAACCTAGGACCAGTCAGGTGTCCTGCATTCATATGTGCTGATTAGGAACATGCAGACAGGAGGAGAGAGCAGAGGGACAGCCTCATCAGTCTGTTGCTACTCATTCCCTGTCCAGTCACAGGCTGAAGTCAGATGGGTTTCTAGTTGTATTGCATATCTGTGGTGTAGAAAAATCAGGTCACCAGGGCGTTTGAGCTGTATAGCAGAGCTGTACAGCACTCAGGACTGAATAGACAGAAATACAAACCCTTTCATATGTAAAACAGCTCCCATATACACTCACCGGCCACTTTATTAGGTACACCTTGCTAGTACCGGTTGGACCCCCTTTTGCCTTCAGAACTGCCTTAACCCTTCATGGTATAGATCCAACATGGTGTTGGTAGCATTTCTCAGAGATTTTGGTCCATATTGACATGATGACACTCAATTGCTGCAGATTTGGCGGCTGCACATCCATGATGCGAATCTGCCATTTCACCACATCCCAAAGGTGCTCTATTGGATTGAGATCTGGTGACTGTGGAGGCCATTGGAGTACACAGAACTCATTGTCATGTTCAAGAAACCAGTTTTAGATGATATTTGTGACATGGTGTGTTCTGTCTCTCCAATTTAAGCATTGATAGTGTGATCTCTGTAACTTACAGTTGTGATGAGATAGCGATAACTCCAATCTTAGTTGAATATCACAGGCAGTGACTCGATCCAGATGACACCTTGTAGATCTTGTGAAGTTTATTCCATAAACTGAGAGATTCTTACAACGATGAGCATCGGATAGGTCAAAAGATCATAATGTGATCTACTCATAAGACATGAGGCTTGAAGCTGAGGTGCATTACTGGGAAAATGAATAAAAGGGTGGAGCTATATATACAGCATGAACTAAACCATAGGAAAGGGAGGAGCAGAGACAAAATACAAAGAACACTTAAAGGCATATGACAGTCATGTGAAGCATGACATGGTGCATTATCCTGCTGGAAGTAGCCATCAGAAGATGGGGACACTTTAGTCATAAAGGAATGGATGGTCAGTAACAATACTCAGATAGGCCGTGGTGTTTAAATGATGCTCATTTGGTACTAAGGGGCTCAAAGTGTGCCAAGAAAATATCCCCCACACCATTACACCACCACCAGCCTAAGCCATTGATACAAGACAGGATGGATCCATGCTTTCATGATGTTTATGCCAAATACTGACCTTACCATCTGAATGTCGCAGCTGAAATCCAGACTCATCAGACCAGGCAACGTTTTTGCAATCTTCTACTGTCCAATTTTGGTGAGCCTGTGTGAATTGTACCCTCCGTTTTCTGTTCTTAGATAACCGGAGTAGCACCTGGTGTGGTCTGCTGCTGCTGTAGCCCATCTGCTTCAATGTTTGATGTGTTGTGTGTTCAGAGATGGTATTCTGCATACCTTGGTTGTAACGAGTGGTTATTTGAGTTACTGTTGCCAATTTCTATCATCTCTAACTAGTCTGCCCATTCTCCTCTGATATCAACAAGGCATTTTCATCCACACAACTGCCACGCACTGGATATTTTTTCTTTTTCGGGCCATTCTCTGCAAACCCTAGAGATAGCAGTGTGTGAAAATCCCAGAAGATCAGTTTTTGAAATACTCAGAACAGCCCGTCTGGAACCAACAACCATGCCACGTTTAAAGTCACTTAAATCCCCTTTCTTCCCCATTCTGATGCTCGCTTTGAACTTCAGCAAGTTGTCTTCACCATGTCTAGATGCCTAAAATGCATTGAGTTTCTGCTGTGTGATTGGCTGATTAGCAATTTGTGTTACCAAGCAATTGAACAGGGGTACCTAATAAAGTGGCTGGTGAGTGTATGTGTGTATACCTGTGTAATTCGCTGTTTACCTGGAGTTGAGTTTTAAAAGTTTCTATAAATATTCCATTGAAATTTTTTTAAACTTGCTGCAATGGCCCACCATTTTAGGCTACGAATGGCATAGCTATCCACACTAGTACTAGGTAGAGGGTCTGCTGCGTTTAGGACAAAATTGAAACCATTGCCTTTACCCCACATCTTATTAGTTCTAAGAATCTCTGGAAAAATGTTACAGTTTATTCAACAAATGTTCCGAATTTTTCTTTAAGCAGCTTGTAGTTTTATTGCCCATTTAACTACCATTTTTGTTTGTACTTCTTAGGTTTTTGATTAAATGTTTTGGTGCTGCCCAATCAGGAAAGCCGTTACCACACACCACATCTTATCTGTCTACCCCGCTCTCCAGTGGATGCCAAGCAAACACACCCTTGGACTTCCTCAACCCAGATGTGTATATAAAGGCCTATGAAAGCAGGGCATACAGGTTAGTAATCAGGCTGAGCTATCTACTACTACTACTACATTTTACTACTCCTACTACACTTTACTTTTACTCCTACTACATTTTACTCCTACTACACTTTACTACTACTACTGCTACATTTACTACTACTACTACTACTACTACTACTACATTTTACTCCTACTACTACTACTACTACTACATTTTACTACTACTACTACATTTTACTACTACTACTACTACTCCTACATTTTACTACTACTACTACATTTTACTACTACTACTACCATTTTACTACTCCTACTACATTTTACTTCTACTACACTTTACTACTACTACTGCTACATTTTACTCCTACTACTACTACATTTTACTACTCCTACTACTACATTTTACTCCTACTACTACTACATTTTACTCCTACTACATTTTACTACTCCTACTATACTACATTTTACTCCTACTACACTTTTTACTACTCCTACTACTACATTTTACTCCTACTACTACTACTACATTTGACTCCTACTACTACTACTACACTACTACTACTACTCCTACTACATTTTACTCCTCTCCTACTACTACTACTACTACATTTTACTACTACTACTCCTACTACATTTTACTACTACTACATTTTACTACTCCTACTACTACTCCTCCTACTACATTTTATGTACTACTACTACTACTACTCCTACTACATTTTTACTCCTACTACTACTTTTTCCTACTACATTTTACTCCTACTACAATTTACTACTACTATTACTTTTACTCCTACTACTACTTACCTACATGGATTTTACTCCTACTACTACTACATTACCCATTACTACTCCTACTACTACATTTTACTCCTACTACTACTAAGTATTTTACTCCTACTACATTTTACTACTCCTACTAAGTGTACATTTTACTCCTACTACATTTTAATCCTACTACTACTACTACATTTTACTCCTCCTACTACTACTACTAAATTTTTACTACTACTACAGTTTACTACTCCTACTACTACATTTTACTACTACTACTACTCTTACTACATTTTAATACTACTACTCTTACTACATTTTACTACTACTCCTACTACATTTTACTCCTACTACTACTACATTTTACTCCTACTACACTTTACTCCTACTACTACAAAATTTTACTCCTACTACTACTACTACTACATTTTTTACTCCTAAACTACACTTTACAAGTGCCTACTACTACTACATTTGTACTACTACTACATTTTACTCCTACCACTACTACTACTACATTTTACTTTTACTACATTTTACTCCTACCACTACTACTAGTTTTTAGCGCTCCTACCACTACTACATTTTACTACTACATTTTACTCCTACCACTACTACTACTAACACAAAACTACTACTACATTTTACTCCTACCTCCTACTACTCACTACTACTACTACTACTACATTTTACTCCTACCACTACTACTACTACTACATTTTAATCCTCCTACTACTACTATATTTTACTCCAGAGTTCATTGTTACAGTCCACAGCTTCTTTTAATGCAGAATTAAAGTGTATCTAGACCAAAGAACAAAAGTGGAATATATGTAGCTTACCATGGGCCCTTGGATGTAGTGGAGGCGCATTCTTTTCTTTTTTTCCCAGACCTTTTTTCCATTATTTTCACCTTAAGATCCTTCTAGCAGCACACTTCCGGTACTTGAGTCACAATGCTCCTTAACCTACATGGACTGCTGCCACAAGTGTATCAAGATTGTTAATTCAAACTGACTATTTTCCTTACATGAACTTAGGAACTGAGTCCATAGTTTTCATCCTTGGACTCAGCCACACTACACAAATCTCTTTCACCATTTGTTTTTTTTTTTTCCCTTAAATGCTTTTTGAAGCACAAGAAGTTATCAGCTCATTTAGAATTCTGGCAACCCAACAGGTATTTTTTGCACATATTGAGAAATATAAAAAATGATTTCAACTGTATATTTCCTGGATCAAAAAGGAGCAAATAGAAGACGTTTTCTGTTAGGTTTATATGTAGGTTACAAAGCTTACACAGCATGAGAATGTCAGTGAAATACCATTATGAAAAAACAAACAGCATTATGCAGGCCATACATGGGTCGAATTCCGAACAAATTTTCTTTTTAAAATCGTAACTAAGATTTTTCTTTCAAATTTTGCACCATTAGTGGGCTGCAGCATCGGTCAATTTTCATGCAAGCCATTGAATTTGAGTGATTGGACAAGTTGGATTTTTTTTTTTAAATCTAACGATTTTCTAATAAATGATTGGAAATATAATCCAAAAAGAAATCAGCATGAGCTGTGATCTAGAAAGAAAAGAAGATTCCAAGCCATGAAAATTATTTTCTATAGCAACACGAGGTGAAATTAAAGGCTTGGTTGGTCGAATTTCGAAATCAATGGGTGACACCATTGGATTACAAAAGGCGCTAAATTTCTGATTTTCTAAAGAAAATTTGTTCAGAATTTGACCAATGTATGGCGTGCATCACTCAGTGAATTGCTAAATGCAATTCAGCTGTACTAGAGTCAGAGACTGCCAACAAAAAAGGTATTTTATAGTTCTAGATGGGGGGCCTGGTAGGCCAAGTGAGACCCTGATTTCTTCTATATCTTGGATACTCCAACAATGCAGTCTTCCTGCCATATTTCCTGACACTGTTCCTGCCCACTTGGGAATCTGAGCTGTTCTTGCTCACCTTTGCACAATTCAGCTCCTTCTGTTACCATCTCAGTGAGGAAAGTGGGAACACCTCATTGTGGTCAGAGTTGGTGTGCAGACCCAACAACTAGGAGGTGCAGAGATCTCATCACTGGAGAGATATATAAGAAATTGTCATATCAGAAACATTTAACAAAAATATAATGTATATCTTTTTTTTTTTCTTTTTGGTGGACGGACACTTTAATGTCAACTTTGTAAAAATAGAATGCAGCTATACTTGGCAAGTTCCTTTTCAAGGTCTTCTGCGTAGAACTATTGGTGACCTTTATGGTTTTTATGTGAGTTAGTGGTCTAAAAAAAGCCCGTCTGTGCTCCAAGTAGCACAGGTGCCTGCTTTCACTGGTTCACCCTGTAGACACAGCTTACGGGAAATGCAAAACATCAGTTTATCGCCCTGAACTAAAGAAGTGGCAATTTAATGCCACGAAACACATTCTCCTTTTTTTTTTTTTGTGAAATAAAGCAATTCGATGTTTGGTAAACCCAGATGATTCTGATCTATCCAGCACATATCAATGAGCACCTCTGTTATTCTGACAACCGGCGATAGGCTTTTGTAGACCTCTTCTATCTTGCCTAGTTCAGCACCCGCCTAAGAACCTCGCAGAGGACTCGGGCTTGGAACTCATGGCATCGGGAGCGACCTTTACAATCCTGTTGGGCACAGGGTGTTCTCCACCTGCTCAAACAGACGATTGCATGTTTCTGCCCTACAGGGTTATGGCAACCACAGCAGATGTTAGTCATTTTTTTCTTTTTCATCCTATTGAGTAATCACTATATTTGAGTCAGTTACTACACTATAAGGGATCTCCTGCCTCCATCTTTTCTTTTCCGGTGGACAACCCAAGTTGCCCCATTGGTCTTTTTCCAGCCAAACCCCTCAGACCTCTGTGGACCACCACAACTCAAACCCCCCTCATGGTTTTTATGTTTGACTACACTTTTTTAACCAGTCCTTTTATTACTACAGAGCTGCATATTATTTCTGTAAAACAAAATCTGTATACAGCAGTTGTCCTGCTTTGCTGTTGAGGTTGATGAAAGGAAAACTATTGAGTTAGATTAGTGATGTTTGTGTTTTTAGAAGACAAGTGTCAGTATGTCAATGTGTATAAAAGTCCCCAAGCGTTGAGGTTTCCCATAAAACCTTCTGTATCATCTAACCTATCATTTTAATATCTGATACTCTGGAGAGGCAATGAATTATGGAACCAAAAAAAATATCTCCCAGCCAAAATGGGTGATGGGGGCAGGTTTATTGTACAATTACACTTCCTATTGCTTAAAGTCACTTTTATGCATTGATATCCTCCATTCACTGTACACATCAAACCTGGTAACACAGAGTTTTAGGTAAATCATATTGTAACATGCGTGGCAGGTGTGGTGTGTTTTTTTTTTTTTTTATGTAATTCAAAGTACATTACATTAACTTGAGGTCTGATCGGTTGGTTGCAATGTCTTTGCACGCCACTGTTGCTCTTTGCAGTGGCAGTTTGAACAAACATGGCAGTCTATAATAATAACAATGTATTATATAATACTTTCTTTTCCAGGCTTATCGCAGCCGCAGCAAACAAACTACACCGTTTAGTACAGTCTGGAGCGGAGCAATATGTGGCATGGAACAGCACGTCCGTAGAGCTTGTGAAGGCATCAATAGTTAGTATCTACTATCGTAGCTTTGTAAATTGAGCCTATTGTTTGTTGAAGTCTTACGCAAGATGAATAAGCTAAAAACACCAGGATATATATGCTTATTTCAAAAAAAGGAAAGCTATTTTCTGCAGAGCCCAATACGATTTGTCATGTGGTTTAAAAAAAAATCCTTATTCTTCTGTTAAAGCTTTGTGAATTGAGCCTATTGCCTGGAATAACGTCATTGCAGGAGCGGACTGGCAATTCATGGGCCCCCCGGGCAATAGGGGATCATGGGGCCCCTGTGTCCTTGCCCACACCCAAAAAAGCCTATGAAAAAGCCAATTAAAGGTACCAGGGGCTATCTGGTGGTCATGCCCGAGACTGTTTCGTTTTTGGTCTCGTGTGTTTGGCCTCCTTTTCACCTTGTTCCATCTCTCCATCCGCCGAGATGCTCGGTATGCTTTGCTTCATTGCCCCATACCAGGCCTCTTGGCTCATTATTTATTTATTTATTTATTTATCGAGTTTATATAGCGCCAAAGGGTTTGCTCAGCGCTGTACAATAGAGGGGGGACAATACATGAAACAGTACAGTAACATCAAACAGCACACAAGGGGTAAGAGGGCCCTACTCTTTCGAGCTTACAATCTAGGAGGGAGGGGGTAGAGGTACAGGAGGAAATGGCTGTGGGGGATGGAGTGGAAGGAGGAGGGAAGGGCAGCGGCTGTTAGGTGAGGGTGGGGTAGGCTTCCCTGAAGAGGTGGGTTTTCAGGGAGCGCCTGAAGGTGAGGAGGGAAAGGTGACAGTCTGATGGGTTGGGGTAGTGAGTTCCAGAGGATGGGGGGAGGACCTGGAGAAGTCTTGCAGTCGTGCGTGGGAGGAGGAGACCAGGGAGCAAGATAGAAGGAGGTCCTGTGAAGAGCGAAGGGTACGGGTAGGGTGGTATCTGGGAATCAGGTCGGTGAGGTAGTTAGGGGCAGTGTTGTGAATGGCTTTATAGGTCAGAGTGAGACAGTTTGAATTTAATGCGTTGGGCAATGGGGAGCCAGTGGAGGGAGAGGCAGAGGGGGGTGGCAGAGGTGGAGCGGCTGGTGAGGTGGATGAGTCTGGCAGCTGAGTTCAGGATGGTCTGAAGCGGGGTGAGTTTGCACTGGGGTAGGCCGGTGAGGAGGGAGTTGCAGTAGTCAAGGCGTGAGATAATCAGGGAGTGAACGAGTAGTTTAGTGGTGTCTGGGGTGAGGAAGGAGCGTATCTTGGAGATGTTCCGGAGGTGGAGCCTGCATGAGTTTGTGAGAGATTTGATATGAGGTTGAAAGGAAAGGTTTGAGTCCAGAATGACGCCAAGGACCTTGGCTTGCGGGGCGGGATTGATGGTGGTGTTGTTGGTAGTGATGGAAAGGATGGGGGGGGGGGCACGGGAAGGGGGAAAAGACGAGAAGCTCGGTTTTGGAGAGGTTGAGTTTGAGGAAATGGAGCGACATCCAGTCAGAGATGTCGTTTAGGAGGTGAGTGATGCGGGCGGAGAATGTGGGGGTGAGGTGAGGGGTGGATAGGTAGATTTGAGTATCATCAGCATAGAGGTGGTAGTTGAAGCCGTGGGAGTGTATGAGTTTGCCAAGGGAGGAGGTGTAGATGGAGAAGAGAAGGGGTCCAAGGACAGAGCCCTGGGGGACCCCAACAGAGAGGGGACTCATCAGCAGAAGTTGGCTTCCTATCTGTTTTTATCGGCCACTAGAACAATTGCTCAGGCCTGGAAGAGTCCGTTTGTCCCTCTTCAGGGGGTGCGGGATCGTATGACCACTATGATGCTCAACGAACAGATGTCGAGTATCCGCAACGACTCCCAACATAAATTTTTGAAAATATGGGAGCCGTGGTTGGAATATGCCTTTCCCTCACTCTCCCCGGCTAGTCTGGGGATGTAATGGCGTTTCGGTATTGGCGCTCTTGGACCCCTGCCCCTTGCCCCTCCCTTTTTTTTTTTCTCTTTCTTTTTCTTCCCCTCTTTCTTCTTTTTTCATTCTCTCTCTGTTTTGGTGTGACTGGACTGCTGCATTTAGTTGTTATAGTCAGTTACAGTAATGTTTTGTAACTTATGTGCCATTGATAGCCTCTGCGTGGGGCGTACCTTTTGCCCTGTTGGCATTAGAGCACCGTTTTTCCTTTTTTTTTTTTATTTTGCATTTTTTTTTATCTGTGCAATTGATAGCCCCTGCGTGGGCGTGTTTTATTGCCTCTCTTTTATACTGTTTAAAAATTAATAAAAACCATTGAAATAGAAAAAAACATAAAAAAAAAGGTACCAGAGGCATCTCATGAAGCCCCCTACTGACCCCGGGCCCTCAGGCAGTGCCCGAGTGCCTGAATGGTCAGTCCGCCCCTGGGTCATTGGTATCTTCATTGTATGTCTCAGAAGTAAAAATAGGAAGTTCCAGTCTGATCAATATCATGATGTAGCGCCCTATAGTTCTAGCTAGGATTTTTTCTGTGAGTCAGAGGCTTGTTAGAAGCCTGGGGTGAGTCAGCCTGGGAGTGAGGTTACCTCAGGACAAGCTGGGAGGCTGTACAAGTCAGGGCTTCTGGAGCCCTCCCACCCTTCTGGAGAAACTGGAGGCACTTTCTAGAAGAGGGGTGGAGGAGGCCTGGATTTGCAAGTTTTGGGGAACCTGGTCAATCACCAGTAAAGAGGCCTGGCATGGTGACTAGAACAACCCTTAAAGCGATCCCAAAGGTTTGTGGGGGGGGTTTTTTCTGTAAAATAACAAATATGTTATACTTACCTGCTGTATGCAGTGGTTTTGCACATAGCAGCCTGGATCCTCTTCTTCTTGGATCCCCGCAGGCTCGCCTGGCTCCTCCTTTCTGTCGGGTGCCCCACAGTAAGCAGCTTGCTATGGGGGCACCCACTGCTCCGTGTGTCCATTCACACCACCCCCTCTCCTCATTGGCTTACTAGCTGTGATTGACAGCAGTGGGAGCCAATGGCTCCAGCTTGCTGTCTCAGCCAACGCGGAGGCAGGGACTGGGACAGCCGAGGCTGATGTGCACATCGATGGATCGCGATGGGGCTCAGGTAAGTATTGAGGGGGCTGGGGACACTGCTGCACACAGAAGGTTTTTTACCTTTGCGCATAGAATGCATGAAGGTAAAAAATTTCAGCCTTTACAACCGCTTTAAATGTGAGAGAGACTGAACAGCAGGGTTGTTTTTAGAGTGGAAAGTGGACTGAAGGAAGGTGCTGAGTGTGGAGCCTGGGAGAAGGACTACCTACAGACTGGAGCAGTACAGAAGGATCTCCACTGCCCTACAGTCTCCTAGGGATTACAGCCTCCCTGCAGTGAATGAGCCAGACCAGCGAAGAGCCTGAAAAATAGCTGCAACCCATTAAGATACAGGAAAAGGACATTGTGAGTTCTTCTACACTCCTTGGGCCACAGAAGGGAGAGAAAGCAGTCAGGTGCAATACCCAACTAGTTCTCTCATCTGAGACTACCCTGCTGTAGATCTTGGAAACCCTTGTCCTAGGATACCCTCAAGACAGCTGGGTGGATGAGGAGAGTTTGATCTGGGGTCTGAAGAGGTACAATGAAGGTAACTCAGTACTCCCTAAAGAGACTGTTGCTGATTGTGGTCTACATTTTTATACAAAGTTTGGTAAAAAGTTGTCCTCAAGTATTGCAGTTCATGGGGCATCCCATATACCCTTAGACCCCATTCAAGTTGTTAACCCCTAACAAAAAAAAACACAAAAACAAGCTCAAGGACTGTTTTTTATTGACTCTAAGAAAAGTGCGGTACATGAGTGTTACTTGGTTGTGCAGAGCTTAAGGGTACCCAGAAAATCCATTGGCCCTCAAGAGCGTAGCGCTACAAATTTCTTGCCATGACGCAAGTTTTACAGACCTGTTAGTGTGCAGCCATAGCGTGAAGTAGTAATCTTAATATTTTTTCAGTATGTTTGTAAGGTGGTTTTGCTGCATCAGTGTTATTACACTATGCAGCACAAGATGGCAATATTAAATGTCCTTCACCGTAAGGACATCGAAAATAAATTAGAACCATTCTTCCCAGGGTCCATCTCTTTCTTTCTCTCTTCTCCTCTCTCTGTCTCCCTTCCTTTGCATGTTAAATATGCAGGTTTTGTTTCCTTGCAGATCTGAGCTGCACAATGGTTGAGCCCAGGGGCAGACTGACAACTCATGGGGCCCCTGTGTCCTTGCCCACACTCAAAGCACACCCAAAAAAGCCTATAAAAGGTACCAGGGGCATTTCATGGGGCCCCCTACTGACCCTGGGCCCTCGGGCAGTACCCGAGTGCTCGAATGGTCAGTCGTCCCTGGTTGAGCCTTGATCATCTGATCTCACTGCTAGTCTACCAGGCAGTATGCAACAAAAAACAGCAGACTCCTTAACCTCTTCTGACGTGAAACGACCACAATATTCTTGGTGGCCATAGACCATGTGATTTTTGCCTAGGCTTTAGGTTTTTTTAAAGTAAATCATGCTGAAATGTTCTTTATTGATCCATGTTACCTGCTAATTTTAATGCCAGAATTTATTTTCAGAATTCCTATCTATCTTGGTGTGTTCTTTTGATTTGTCAACCATGGTGTGTTGTCTTTCAGGCCCACATACACTACTTAATTGTGAAGACTTTCTTCTCTGCTGTGAACTCCCTGTCGACTCAACCTGAAATTAAAACGGCTCTCAAGCGTCTCTGTGACCTGTATGCTTTGCATGGAATATTTACAAGTGCCGGGGACTTTCTGCAACATGGCTACTTGTCAGGGAAACAACTGGACCTGGCCACTACAGCCTATCTTGGCCTGCTAGCAGACCTCCGGTGAGTAAAAAGTAAAATAAAATGGACATTGCTCAGATAAAAGAGAAACTTCCTCCTATATTCACAAATAAGTTTACCGACTCACCTTTTATATATTTCTAGGTGCAGTCCTCATAACTATTATATAAGAATCAAACAAACCTTAGGCTAAGAGAAGCTCAGAGATCCAGGTGAATGAACTTATATCGTGTATTAAAATACATATCAAAAATAATAAAGTACAAAATATAACAGATGCTAGTAAACCAATTCCACCATTCACCATATTTTTATCATGGTGGAGGTGATTTATAAGCATCTAGTATATTTTTTTGTATTCTATTATTTTGATACGTATTTAATAAATTGATATAAGTTAATTTGCCTGGTCCTTTTTGAATGTAGCTCACTTTCTTCAACTTACGTTTCTATTAGCCTAGGTTGACCATTTGGAAACTTGGGCACTGCCCTATATAGTAGGGGGCCCCATGAGTTGCCCTGACCTTTTTCATAGATCAGGAAATCCTGGGCAAGGACACAGGGGCCCCATGATCCCCTATTGCCCGGGGGCCCCATGAGTTGTCAGTCCGCCCCTGTTGGTAACTATATAGTACAATGGTTGCCATGAGGGCATGGCTGGCAAAAGATCAGGAAATCCTGGTATGGGAGATTACATAAGAATATTGGTTTACAAGTGTTGTAAGTAGTTCTTATGTCCCCACCCCCCATTGTGTACAGTAGCGTGATTTTACAATTTATTTTCCAGGAAAGACGCTGTTTTGTTGGTCGATGCTTTAGACTATACAGATCAACAGCTAATATCTGCTCTTGGGACCTATGATGGGAATGTGTATCACAATCTGCTTGAGTGGGCTCAGAGAAATCCCAACAATAAAGAGGTAAGTACAAAGGAGGTCAGTAATAAATGTGTAAGTTATGAAGTCGTTATGATACATTGAAATCTTGCTTTTATCTCCATCTCCTGTACTTTTTTTTTTTTTTCTATGTTCACATTGCATATGGCTAGTATTACTACAACTGCTGAACTGCTAATGTCAGACGTTCAGTAGAAGAATCTGCAATGTGAAATTTGAATATTGAAATAGAAATTTGAAAGAGCTGTGGCTGCAATACTCTTTTCCTTTCCAGCACTTGAGACTCGCAGCTCTGCAAACTAATGCTGGTCCTAGATTGCAGTTATATTGTTCCAGCAATCTGTGGACTACCCAACACCTCCCTCTTATGGTAATGAAAAAGAGGGGAGGTGTTCTCTTGTCTTGTCCTAGAGTAAAAATGCTGCACTTGTAACCTCCATATGACAGATCTTGATGATCCTGACAATTTAGGCTGAGCCATGCTGTTGCTTAGCTATGTCATTGCAGAAGTAGGGTGTAAGGTTGGAACTTACTTGATGGTCAATTACACCTAAATAAAACTGGGTTTGATTACCGTGAAGGAAACGTTAGCTTTGTAAAGTCATGTTAAAACATGCGTTTTATAGCCAGAATAAACAAAATGCTCAGTGAGCGCTTAGTAATAATAGCAGCTAAAAGCACGAAAAAGGCAACCAGAATAAAACCTCATATAATATTATAAAAGAAAGTGCAGCGCTAACAATAAAACACAAATATCAATCCATAGGGTAAGCTGAATGGTTAATCCCAGTCAGGCCAATGTCTAAAATGGTGACAGTCTGTGATACATGATGGATACAAGATATATAGGTGACTGTACGCTCCACGTGGCAAGGTGATAAAATGGTTAAAATGCGCACTCACCAGATGCGTATCTTTGTGTATACGCAAATAATCATTAACCAGAGGTCCCCCTCATGGGATGGATGAGCTGCACCGCTAATAACGGACTCTCCCCCTCTTGGTATTGGTCTGGTTACTGGACGTCACTCCTGGGATAGCCTCGAATGCCACCGTGGAAGTCTCTCAGACACACAGCTTAGCTGAATCGTACTGGACCTGGTATGTTCCTCTGGTAGTAGCAGGCTGATGTCAGCAGTATGGAAATACTTCCTATGCCATGGAGTATGGGCTCTGGGGATGAATTGTTGGCTCGCAAAGAGTCAACAAAAAATAATAGCCCATAGTGTAGTAATTTCGATAAAATAATTTATTAATCCACGTGGGTGCAATAATACGATAAAATCAAAAACTGGTAAAAAACATACACTGACCGTACATGAATATAAAGGAGGCCACCGGACCTATAACAGGAGTCGGTGGCTGGACGTCACGGCGTTATGGCCCCTTGGATGCGTTTCGTGCAAAGCACTTCCTCAGCAAGGAATAGCCATCTATCTATATGGCTATCCCTTTTATCATATTATTGCACCCACGTGGATTAATAAATTATATATAGTGAACTCGGAGTAGAGCTATTCACCCTGAGGTCATCACAGAGGACAAGGGGGCGCTCTTTACATCTGGAGGAAAATAAATTGAATCTGCAAAATACAGAAAAGTTTCTTCACAGTGAGAGCTGTGAAAATGTAGAACAGACTCCCTCAAGAGTTGGTTCTGCCCAGCTCAGTGGATTGCTTTAAAAAAGTCCTGGATTCTTTCTTAGATACACAGAATATAACTGGATACTAACATTTATAGGTAAAGTTGATCCAGGGAATATCCGATTGCCTCTCGGGGGATCAGAAAGGATTTTTTTCCCTGCAGGAGCAAATTGGATCATGCTTTGCTGGGTTTTTTTTGCCTTCCTCTGGATCAACTGTGGGTGTAGGATAACTTTTTTTTTTTTTTTAAAGGTTGAACTGGATGGACTTTTGTCTTTTTTCAGCCAGACTAACTATGTAAAACTACAGTATGTAAAATGGTTCTATAGACTTCAATGGAGACGCTGCAGAAAAGCATGTAGTGCGGTTTTTGACTCATTTTGAGTTTTAATCTGCCCAGCAACAAGTTGAAAAAAGAAAAAAAAAAAACGCATGTGCAAAAAGCACTGCAGGAACGGATCAAACGCAAACTGCACAGGTGTGAACCTAGCCTTAAGCGAAGCCTTTCAGAATGCATCGCATACCAGCACATTATGACATTACCTCGCAGGGGAATTTTTTCTTTTTTCTATAAGCTGCGGCTTAATACCGCTTTAATGTTCTTAGGCTAAATTGTAAATGGGGGAAATATGCTATGTCTATAGATGGAGCTGAGGCGCATATTTATGTTCCTATGATATTTAGCACCATCTACTGGCTTTCTTTTTTTTTCATGAATACATTTTATTTGGCAGATATTACAGCCTGAGAACATTCAATTTTGCCCTATTCTCGCAGAACAAAATTACCTGCAGTGTCAATGGATGAACAACTATGTGAATTTTCTTGTAGATATGCCACTCTGTAATGTGGGAGTCTACCTACACTCTGTAATGTGGGGGTCTACCCACACTCTGTACTCTGTAATGTGGGGGTCTACCTACACTCTGTAATGTGGGGGTCTACCCACACTCTGTAATGTGGGGGGGTCTACCCACACTCTGTAATGTGGGGGTCTACCCACACTCTGTAATGTGGGGGTCTACCCACACTCTGTAATGTGGGGGTCTACCCACACTCTGTAATGTGGAGTCTACCCACACTCTGTAATGGGGGGTCTACCCACACTCTGTAATGGGGGAGTCTACCCACACTCTGTAATGTGGGGGTCTACCCACACTCTGTAATGTGGGGGTCTACCCACACTCTGTAATGTGGGAGTCTACCCACACTCTGTAATGTGGGAGTCTACCCACACTCTGTACTCTGTAATGTGGGGGTCTTTTCCCTTCACGCTGTAATGTGGGGGTCTACCTACACTCTGTAATGTGGAGTCTACCCACACTCTGTAATGGGGGGTTCTACCCACACTCTGTAATGGGGGGTCTACCTACACTCTGTAATGTAGGGGTCTACCTACACTCTGTAATGTGGGAGTTTACCTACACTCTGTAATGGGGGTCTACCTACACACTGTAATGGGGGGGTCTACCTACACTCTGTAATGTGGGGTCTACCCACACTCTGTAATGTGGGGTCTACCTACACTCTGTAATGTGGGGGTCTACCCACACTCTGTAATGTGGGGGTCTACCCACACTCTGTAATGTGGGGGTCTACCAACACTCTGTAATGTGGGGGTCTACCCACACTCTGTAATGTGGGAGTCTACCCACACTCTGTAATGGGGGGTCTACCCACACTCTGTAATGGGGGAGTCTACCCACACTCTGTAATGTGGGGGTCTACCCACACTCTGTAATGTGGGAGTCTACCCACACTCTGTACTCTGTAATGTGGGGGTCTTTTCCCTTCACGCTGTAATGTGGGGGTCTACCTACACTCTGTAATGTGGAGTCTACCCACACTCTGTAATGGGGGGTTCTACCCACACTCTGTAATGGGGGGTCTACCCACACACTGTAATGGGGGGTCTACCTACACTCTGTAATGTAGGGGTCTACCTACACTCTGTAATGTGGGAGTTTACCTACACTCTGTAATGGGGGTCTACCTACACACTGTAATGGGGGGTTCTACCTACACTCTGTAATGTGGGGTCTACCCACACTCTGTAATGTGGGGTCTACCCACACTCTGTAATGTGGGGGTCTACCCACACTCTGTAATGTGGGGGTCTACCCACACTCTGTAATGTGGGGGTCTACCCACACTCTGTAATGTGGGGGTCTACCCACACTCTGTAATGTGGAGTCTACCCACACTCTGTAATGGGGGGTCTACCCACACTCTGTAATGGGGGAGTCTACCCACACTCTGTAATGTGGGGGTCTACCCACACTCTGTAATGTGGGGGTCTACCCACACTCTGTAATGTGGGAGTCTACCCACACTCTGTAATGTGGGAGTCTACCCACACTCTGTAATGTGGGAGTCTACCCACACTCTGTAATGTGGGAGTCTACCCACACTCTGTAATGTGGGAGTCTACCCACACTCTGTAATGTGGGAGTCTACCCACACTCTGTAATGTGGGAGTCTACCCACACTCTGTAATGTGGGAGTCTACCCACACTCTATAATTTGGGGGTCTACCCACACACTGTAATGGGGGGGTCTACCCACACAACTGTAATGTGGAGTCTACCCACACTCTGTAATGTGGAGTCTACCTACACTCTGTAATGTGGAGTCTACCTACACTCTGTAATGTGGAGTCTACCTACACTCTGTAATGTGGGGGTCTACCTACACTCTGTAATGTGGGGGTCTACCTACACTCTGTAATGTGGAGTCTACCTACACTCTGTAATGTGGAGTCTACCTACACTCTGAAATGTGGAGTCTACCTACACTCTGAAATGGGGGGTCTACCTACACTCTGTAATGTGGGGGTCTACCCACACTCTGTAATGTGGGGTCTACCCACACTCTGTAATTTGGGGGTCTACCCACACACTGTAATGGGGGGGTCTACCCACACACTGTAATGTGGAGTCTACCTACACTCTGTAATGTGGAGTCTACCTACACTCTGTAATGTGGAGTCTACCTACACTCTGTAATGTGGAGTCTACCTACACTCTGTAATGTGGGGGTCTACCTACACTCTGTAATGTGGGGGTCTACCACACACTCTGTAATGTGGGGTCTACCCACACTCTGTAATGGGGGGTCTACCTACACTCTGTAATGTGGGGGTCTACCTACACTCTGTAATGTGGAGTCTACCTACACTCTGAAATGTGGAGTCTACCTACACTCTGAAATGGGGGGTCTACCTACACTCTGTAATGTGGGGGTCTACCCACACTCTGTAATGTGGGGTCTACCCACACTCTGTAATGGGGGGTCTACCTACACTCTGTAATATGGGGTCTACCTGCACAATCTAATAGACTTGTGTTCATTTAGCACTTGTACTGCATAGTTGTTGGTAGATTTAAGAGGTCATACAACCAGAATGTAACCCGTGAGGTCAGCATAAGTTAGATTTATCAATATGCACAGACCCCTGTTGGTTACTTAGCCATGGGGGAGGGAGGGGGGGGTGTTGCCTTCCTTTGAATCAGTTGCAGGTATAGGGTTATAACTTTTTTTTTTTTTTTTTTTTTTTTTTTTTTTTTAACTGGATGGACTTTTGTCTTTTTAGACTATGTAACTATGAACGTCCTCTACAATGTTTTTGAAGTTGAACCAAAAATTAAGTCCACTTCTCAATTTGCATTTCACTGCTTGATTTTTCACAGGTGAGCCCAGTGTTTGAGAAATACCTGAAGCCATATTTGCAAAGCAACCAGTCCAAGTTATGATCACAGACTTCTGAAGGACTCCGATCCAAAGACCTGACCATACAACTAGTATACCGTGCCTTTATTTTACATACAGCTTGGCCAGTCCCTGCTGAAAAGCCACAAGTGCCTGGAAGTAAAACTAATGAAATGTCGAATGTTAATGTTTGTGTAGTACCTGCTATGACTTAAGGGTGTGATTAAATTTGAAATAAAGATAATTTTCTATTTTGCTACAATAAAGTCATTTTGTTTTCTTGTTTTGAAAAGAGTAGGAAAAGGTAAAAACTTTTTTTTTCTGCTTTGTATCCAGTTAGGGGGATTTGTCTTCACTTCCTGTCCCAAATATGCAACAGGAAGTAAAATATCTCTGCAAAGTGATGGTTATTTCTTTTTTTTAACCTCCTGCCGACCGCACACAGTAGATCTAAAGGGAGGGGGCAGCAGGTGCAGGCACAGCTTTCTTCTGAGTTTGGGGTGTGTATGCGTGCGCCTGTGCTATGATTGGACAGTTTGGCAGCAAATTTCAATTGATCAACTGTGTCCAATCACACAGACAATTCTGTGTTTACAAATACACACAACTCTGTGTACAGTTAACAGTGACCTGGCTGTTTCTTCTCCCTGAAAAGCAGGGAGAAAATACAGCCAGATTAGTAAGTAAAAGCAGCACACCAATAACTTCATTGATTGCCCCCCAGATTGCTAGTTTTTGCTTACATTCACATTAAACAGACGGCAAAAGTTAGGAATTGCTTTATCATTTTTATTAGAATACTTTAAGCAGGCAGTACATTTTGTTCAATTATCCAAACTTAAAAATAACTGCACCAAAAGTTTAAATAGTCGTTCTCAATTCATATTTTTTTGTTGTTGTTGAAATTAAAACTAACGGTTTTGGTCACCTGATTTATCTGCATAGACATAGCTCTCAAACTTTTACAGAGCTCAATATTTAGGGCCAATTCACACTACATGCGTTTCAGTTGCTTTTTTCCTGCATCCAAAACGCACAGAAAGTAGGTTATACGGTTGTCAATGTCATAGTTCACATCAGTGCTTGCAGTTCCAGTGCGTTTCGGATGCAGAAAAAAAAGTAGAGCAGGCTGCCTTTTTTTCTGCACTGAACTGTACTGAACCGCGGTAAAACGCTTAAAACGCACTGGAACGCACATGTCCCTATTCGTATTGAAGAAAAAGAGAGGGGAAAAAATAAACCGGAATGCCTCAAAAACACACCGGAAGAGCATCTGGACTGTGCTTCTATGGGGTGAACCGGCCCTTAGACTAATACTGATTCATGTGCAAGGAAATATATATCTCAACACAACATTAAACACTTTTTTTTTTTTTTACCGTATATATCATTATTTACTAACTTTACTAAAATTAAAGTTTAAAGACTAAGGCAGCCCATTATACATTTTTTTTTTTTTTTCATTCAACAAGCAGGTTGAATGAAAGAAAACGCCTTGATTTCCCCCATCCACACATTCAATGTGGATGGGGGATTCCTTCCCGCTGTGGTATTGTATTCAGACAGTGGGGATACTTCCCTGCCATCAGAATACAATGGTCAGTGCTGCCAGCTATAGCTGGCAAGGCTAATCGTTCGGGGAAAAACCTGACAGGTTGGTTGCACACAAGTCGATTAACTTGTGTACAACCAGTCTGCCCACACATGGATCGAACTTCAGACGGTCCCAGCTGAATTTTGATCCATGTATGGCCGGCTTAAATCAAGACTTTAGATTTAAAACACCTATCCCATAGGGGTTTATTTACTAAAGCTGGAGAGTCCAAAATCAGACTCCCTTCTGCATAGAAACCAATCCGCTTCTAACCTCAGCTTGTTCAATGAAGCTTTGGCAATGAAACCTGGAAGCTGATTGGTTTCTATGCAGAAGGGAGTCTGATTTTGGACTCTCCAGCTTTAGTAAATAAACCCCATAGTGTTCAGTTTTTAAAACGAAAGACCGCAACCAAACAGATCTTTTTATTCAATATTCGGCATAATAAAAGCATTTGATTGGCTGCTGAGGACAATGGCAATTTTAGAATTTGTACAGACAACTGCAGTGTGCATGGACATGTTTAATTAGGGGAAAAAGTGCAGAATATTTTACAGGAATGTCATTTTTGTATTCTAAATATGTTTTAGGTGCAGTTACTGTACAGACATAAAAGAGGGCTAAGGGCTCATTTATACCATGAGGTGCATCTGAGTGCACAAGCTTCTTCTGCTCATTCCCACACATTGCATTTTCGGGCAGACCATTTTCATTTTTAATTTCAATGCGTGCGAAAAGCTCAAAAAGGTGTAGGCACAATTTCTAAAATCGCACCAAAAGGAATGGTACGGCAATACCATGCATTTGGGTGGGCTTTGAAAAATGAATGGCACCCGCATGTTTGCAAAACACAGAACATTTTTGTGCGGTGCAGGAAAATGCACGACTCTGTATGCATTCCTGGTGAGAAGCCCTGAAGAAAACATGGAATGTAAAAATAATTCCCTTTTTGTCACTGATTGTAGTAGTAAAACAAAAACATTTCCTTTCACACGGGGGGGGGGGGGGGGGGGGGGGATTTTGTTATCACAACTTATTAGTCTAAACGGAAAAATCAAATATAAGTCCATTTGCATTCATGGCCTTGATCAGCGGTTCTCAACCTGTGGGTCCCGACCCCTTTGGGGGTCGAACGACCCTTTCACAGGGGTCCCCTAAGACCATCAGAAAACACATATTTCCGATGTGTAAAGAGCAGCTACTGTGTAGAAAGCAGCTGCTGTGTTGAAAGCAGCTACTCTGTTAAAAACAGCTACTGTGTTGAAAGCAGCAGTATTGGAGGTAAAACGACACTCATGAATTATAATTACTGGATAAATAATTTTATGGTTGGGGGTCACCACAACATGAGGAACTGTATTAAAGGGTCACGGCATTAGGAAGGTTGAGAACCACTGGCCTGGAATGTTTAAAATGTTGTTCCCATTCAAAGCGATTGGGTGAGGCCTATTTACCATAAAGGTATCACTATGGACGAGGCCTATTTGTCATCATAAAGGGTCCCCATGGCCGAATGCAACACACGATGCAGACCACAGTCATTTGTAAACAAACATTTCTCAAATCTAACCATATATATGAATTATATCTTTCCTTGGCTAACAACAGTGCTAAAAACATATACTCCTGAAGGAGTAAAAAGAAAATAAATATACAGGAATCATGTCATGTACAGAGGATACAATTCTACCCATAAAATGTTTACAATCCTAAATAAGTTAATACACAGCGATAAGATGACAGTATGACGTATGATACACATATATCCCATGCAAGCTATAGGTCACTAACCTAGGCAAATTTTAACACTTTCTGGAAAGCTGAAGGGGGGAGGGGGGGTAAATCTGGTGAACTTGGCAAAAGGGAAGCTTATATGGTCATAAAAAAGTTCTTCATTCCTATTTCGGAAGACTTGTATAACTGCGTTGAATGATATAAAGGGAAAATTGCAGGAAAGCAGTAATCCTCGATTTGATCAAGACTCTTTTGCATTCCAAAAAGGAGGCGTCTCCACCGCCCGTAGGCATCTTGTAAACAACCATGTCTTCCTTGCTGCGCCATCTGGACTGCTGGGTGGGCTGAAGTCAGACTACTGACCTGTAATTGTTCTTGGAGTACAAACTTGTTCTTTAGTCGCAGCTCAATACGAGATTCTACCAGCAGATGGCACTGCAGTGCAAAACTTTATCTGTCCAAGAAAAGCAAGATTTGGGGTTGTTCCTTTTTTTTTTCAGCTACACTGAAAATTTGGATATCCCCACTGGGCATTTGTCAGAACTTTTTCTTTAACTCCATCTGAGACAGCCAGTTACACAACAGGAAGGGTGCATAAAAGGAGACTTGTACCTGTTTTTGAGATAGTTTGGTTGGAAACATGAGGTGTGCAGCTGAGCGGAGGAAAAAACATTTTAAAAAAGTGCTAATGTGCAATGGCTTACTACAGTCATATGTTTGCCTTGAATTGACTATTCTCTGTGTTGAATAATGGATATTTAAAATGGCTTTGCAGTGGGAAAAAATAATAGGCCCTATTCCGGGCTGCCGAAGCCCCAAAACATATGTTGAAGATTTATAAATATAGTGTAAATAGTGAGCGCTCCTTAAAAATAGCTGCTAAAACACCAAAAAGGTACCAAGATAAACCTTCAGATAAATCAGTAAAATAAAGGTGCAGCGCTTAATAAATATGTAATAAATGAATGTCCAATAAAAAGCAAATAAAGTATAAATTAGTCCAATACTATTAATAAATCAATTCAAGTGAGAAATCCAAGGGTAGTGAAATCAGCAACAGATAGACTTGTGACACCAGCTATGCGCTTCTGGTGAGTGCGCACTTTAACTATTAGCTGGTGTCACGAGTCTATCTGCTGCTGATTTCACTACCCTTGGATTTCTCACTTGAATTGATTTATTTATATTATTGGACTAATTTATACATTATTTGCTTTTTATTGAATATTCATTTATTACATATTTATTAGGCGCTGCACCTATATTTTACTGATATGTTGAAGATTTAACTTGTCCAGAAGGTTGAGAACCTACAGAGGACTCAACCAGTTCTCCTGTGCTCCTAATAGGGATTGGGAAAGGTGGAAATACAGCAATAGACCCTAGAGTATTGCTGTCCAATAATATTATGATGGTATTACAAGGCCACACTCTGTTCTCCTCTAGACTAAAAACAACTTTATTTTTCAAGTTCCAGCATGAACACCAACACTCTAACTCACCTCTGACGCATTTCACCCCTTTCCCTCATCTCCTTGCTCTACAATTAGGCTCCAGTAGGGGGAGCTTGAAGAGGTAGTAAATTCCACCTTCGGGTAGGTTTATAATAAGGCTTACCTGTAGGTACAGTCAATGTCTCCTAAACATGAAATATTTAGAAGATATTCACACTGGAAGCAACTGGGGATGTCACTGGCTTGCGCGCTGCGCTCTGAAGGGATGGCGTGCCGTCCCTTCAGACCTCTATGCCACGTCTGCGATTCCTGTGTGCAGAGGCAGGAGTGACTTTATTGCGGCATGGCCATTTAAACGGCTGAAGCCCACAAACCCAGAAGGAAGACCAGGTACAGATGGAAACCCTGTCAACTGTGTTTTTTTTTTTTTTAAATCAAAGAGTCTAACGCTTTAACTGTAGAGCAAGATGATGAAGGAAAGGGGTTGAAATGCATCAGTAAGGAGTAGGTTGAGTGGTAATTCTAAAAAAAAAAATAAAATCAAAACCACTCTCTTAATAAGCAAACTAAATAAATCCAATTCCCCACAGCACCATCAACACCTTCACCCCAAAAGATGTACAAAAATCAACAAACAGAAGATGCTATACAATAAAACCTCAAAAACTATGTGCAGTCCAAACCCTATAAGTCCAAACTTTGAATCAAATTCTTCTCTGAAGGCAGACTATACTGGGTAAAGATCAATAGGAGGACTGTCTCCCACCTTTTGGAAAGATATAAAAAAGCGTATGTTTTTCTGAATATTGGTACATTATTGGAGGAATTTTTTGAACACGAGAAGAATTTGATTCAAAGTTTGGACTTATAGGGTTTGGACTGCACATCGTTTTTGAGGTTTTATTGTATAGCATCTTCTGTTTGTTGATTTGAGTGGTAATTCTACTGAAACGTGAACATTAAAGCTGTTTTTAGAACAAAGCAGAACGGATTGAAGCTTTGTATGTGCTACACGAGTCTGGAGGAAAGGGTGATAGATCCTGGAAGCGCTTGCACCTGTGACTTGATGGTGGCGGTAGAATGGGATGAAAACCAGTATTATGATGGTGTTGGTAAAGACTGTTTGGTAGATTTCTACATCCCAGAGCATCACTAATTTCCTTGGTTTGTAACACAAAGTAGCACATTTAAAATCGAAGAGCACCACCACAGATTCTTAGTCCAGCTACAATTCCATTCCACAATTGGGTCAGATAGAAGATCAAAAAGGGGAATCCAATGTGTTTTAGGGGTCTAAGGGAAGCAAGGAAAAGGTAATAGTAGGTACCATTTGGCAACATCAAACTTTAAAGGGAATGTATAAGCTAACGATTTTTTTATATAAATCTATAAAAGGGATCAGTTTGATGTAAATATTCTTATGTGTTAAAGCCCATCGCTGGGATTGTTTTTCATCCCTTCCCCTCCACCCCTCAACTAATTGCTGGATGTGGAAGAAAAAAACAAAGCATTTTACTTACCCAAACCAGGAGTGACAATCCAGCCCCATATCTCCTCCCCTTCTGTTTACTTCCTGCAAAGGTTTTTCTTTGGGTGTCCATGTCACTACCTGTGTGTTGTGGACACTTTCAGTTGGATGTCTGGCAGCAGAGTTCTCTCAGGATCCAAAAGTGGACTGATGTCAGCAGAAGGGAGTTGAGGGAACTGACTGTCTCAGGCACAATCATAGCGCTGGATTAGTGACCCCCCACCTGGAAACGGTGGTTTTGAGGGACCTGGACGGAGGACTTAGATGAGTATAGCTGGATTCACAAGGTAAGGAAACTAAAAGCATGGCAGCATAAGATAGAGGAGGGTCAAAATTATCCAGGAATGTAGCTGTAATTACACTGAACTAATGAGAGCTCCCTCTAGTGGATAATAGGGATCTCTATATTTATTACAGTAACAAAAAAAAAAAGGGGGGGGGCAAACTTAAACTGTGAAGGTAACACTGCAATAACTACATTTTAAAAAATCCACTGGAAAAACGCTGTACTTTCCCTTTAAACTGCCCTAGAGGTCATTTTGAGAGAGCAGAGCCATGATTCGATCCTCAGGGGGGTGCTGCTTTGCAAGATGTCATGATGCTGGCATATGATCAACCAGATTCTGTGATATACTGCTAGAAGTTACTGCACATTAGCACTTGGTCAGTCAACAAGCCCTGGGAATCAATTCGCAACCCGTTGGCTTTCAGTCCTTTGTTCACTGTAGCATAGCAAGATAAAATATTTACAGAATAAATCATCAAGTCTAGTAACCAGCCAAACTAAAGACTGGCCATGGTTCATCGGCAACTTGAGATTTGATGTCCAACTTTATGCCTGTAGCATTCAATCTTTAAGCTTCACCCCTACATGACACACGCACAAGCCACTTGCACATCGGCATTCGGTATGAACAAAGTAGAGCAATGTTACATTAAGGGTTTGGAAGCCTACGTGAAAGCATGGAGAGCATTATTGAATGGGTGACTTCCATTAGCAGGCACATGCATGCGTGCTGGATTATAGGTCTAAGGAGTCATATTAGCAGTTCTATTCAGTCATCATTACCATTAATAAATAGGTGCCCAAAACAGCACTTTGTTTATCAGAGAACATGGGTTCAGATTAATGCCTACATCAAAGGCAATGATCAAAACGCCGTCAGTCATCTGTCTTTCTTGCAAGTCGGCAGAAAGTCCAGTTATGCTCCACTGTGTTCTCGTTGGCCCGCTCGCTCATATGGTGGACCCGGGTATTCCGGATTGTAAAGCCTTGCTTAGTGATGTACTCCATCAGATGGACTCTGAGGGAGACCTCTTGGTGATAATCACAAGGCCCAAAAGTAAAGGAAACTTGGCAATCCCGAGTGTCCATCATGTGCTTATTCCACTTGGTGAAGTGGTTGGCGATCCCCTCCAGTAAGGCATGCACCTTGGTTGTGATGGTGAGTTGGGTAATAATGACGGCGACAGGATTGGAGTACTTGGACAGTTTCCTCGTACTAGATAGTTCAACGACTTCTTCAAAGGTGTCCGTGGGGTACAAAGGTTTAGGATCGTTTAGACATTGTATTAGAGGTTCGATCTGATAAAAATCTGCTTCTTTCCGAAGCAGGTCATATTCCTTGAAGTCTACGGGAAGAGTTAGTTCTGATGTCCGAAGAAAGTTTAGAATGTATCTGAAAAGAGAACCATCGCGATCGATGAAGTAGTTACCCTGTGAGTCTCTAGCGGTGGGGAAGTCGCCACGGAACATGGCACCCAACATGGAGTCAGGATAACGGGTCAGCGTAGACAACGATGTTGTGTATACATGGCCCCCAACATTGAGTGTGACTGGGTCAGTCTTCTAAAATTGAAGAAAAGTTCTAGTTATTCCAGAGCAAGCAAACAAAACAATAAGGCCTCATGAACACTGGACTTATTTATTGCTGCTCCTGGCGTGTTTGATGGGTTTTTTTTTGCCTCTATATGCCCCTGCATGTTAGCCTAAGTGTCCATGCACACATAGGCGTTTACAGGAGTTTGGAGGCAGAGGCATTTACAGGCAGAAAAAAACTCCACTGCCAGCATGTCCCAGAAGCAGCAGCACTTAGCGCATGAGTGTTAATTCATTTCAATGGCCAGAATAAATGATTATTCTGGCCAATTAAATGAATTAACACCCAAGCGCTTGACCAGCCTAAATGCATTACATGTGTTTAGAAGTATCAAGTGTTTTTTTTCTGCCAAAACGCTGCTGCCAGTAGGAAAGGCATCTAGGAGAGATAGCAAAACATCCAGTGTGCATAAGGCCTAAAAAAGACAAAAGTAGATTGAAAACAAACTTTGGGCATATATAGGAGACAAAAAAAACATAATGCAGCTACAGTATGTATTTATTATTCACTTGCCCTACAGGGGATTTACCCCCCTTCCTGACCAGGCCATTTTTTGCAATATGGTGCTGCATTACTTTAACTGACAATTGCGCGGTCATGCAACGCTGCACCCAAATTAAAATGAAGTCCTTTTTTTCCCCACAAATGGAGCTTTCTTTGATGGTATTTGATGGTGGTATTTGATCACTTCTGCATTTTTTTTTTTTGCGCTATAAACAAAAAAGGCTATAAACAAAAAAAAAAAATTTATATTTTTGACTTTTGGCTATTTAACATATCCAGTAAAATTTTTTTTTAAATATCGAATTTCTTCATAAAATTTAAGTCACAATGTATTCTGGTACATGTCTTTGCTAAAAAAAAAAAAAAATCCCAATACGTGTAACTTAATTAGTTTATGTGAAAGTTATGGTGTTTACAAATGGCGGTATGTATAGTGGAATTCTTTTATTTATTTTTTTTTAATACTAGTAATGGCGATGATCAGCAACTTATTATGGCATTCTGACACGGGGGGGAACTGACTAACTGTCACTGACATCCCCAGTGACACCAATACAGTGATCAGTGCTAATAAAATGCACTGACACTGTACTAATGTCACTGGGCAGGAAGGGGTTAACATCTGGGGCGATCAAAGGGTTAACTGTGTGCTATGCAGAGCAATACAAAGCAGTGTGCTGGAGCTGACAGGGAGAGATCTGTATTGTTTACATACAGACCTCTCCCCCTTCAGTGATACTCGGCGATCGCTGGATGCCGGCGGGGAATCACCGTCCAGGACCCGGTGATTGACAGCTGAAGCCGCCAATGGCAGCACGGGCAGGGCAGCATGCATGTCCCCTACCCAGAAATACAAAATCACGTGTATATATGTGATTTTGCTCAGCCCTGCCACCCTGTAGCAGTTTTTCTGCTATAGGGCAGTGGGGAAGTGGTTAAACCATTACTATTTGTTTTTTAACTGCAAGTGATGAAAATACCTGAACCTGATTTGTTATCAGCCTCTTGCAATCTCCTTTACAGCAAAAATCAGCATTCAGATTTGCTGCAGTGCTCATGCACAAACAAGTGAAATATTCACAGGAGAAGTGGACAGAAAGATCGGTCTGCTGCTTCTCATTTCACTGTCCAGTCACAGGCTGGGGAAAGGACAAGAACAGAATGTTTTCCTTATCTGCGCAGAAACAAATCAGGTCTCCTGCCCAGTCAGACAAGGATGTGCAATGTAAATCTCAGGAGTGGATGGATAGAAATACAAATTCTTTAGCAAGTGAAATGCCTTCCAAATATGTACAGTATCTCACAGAATTGAGTATACCCCTCACATTTTTGTAAATATTTTATTCTATCTTTTCATGTGACAACACTGAAGAAATGACACTTTGCTACAATGTGACGTAGTCAGTGTACAGCTTGTATAACATGTAAATTTGTTGTCCCCTCAAAATAACTCACCACACAGCCATTAATGTCTAAACCGCTGGCAACAAAAGTGAGTCCACCCCTAAGTGACAATGTCCAAATTGGGTCCAAAGTGTCAATATTTTGTGTGGCCACCATTATTTTCCAGCGCTGCCTTAACCCTCTTGTGCATGGAGTTCACCAGAGCTTGGTGGATGTTAGAGACCTTGTGCTCCTCCACCTTCCATTTGAGGATGCCCCACGGATGCTCAATAGGGTTTATGCTTATCCAGTCCATCACCTTTACCCTCAGCTTCTTTAGCAAGGCAGTGGTCATCTTGGAGGTGTGTTTGGGGTACTAAGTACGGCTTCATTGGTTGTTGAAGTCCACCGCTCCCATGTTAAGGTTATAGTCGTGGACACAGAGGGGCTTCTCAACAACACCAGCTACCGTGGAAATTTGGATGGTTGTGTCTGCATGAATGGAAGATAGGATGAAAACATCCCGTTTGTCCTTCCACTTCATTGTGAGCAATTCATCATTTCTCAAGCAGGCTTTTTACCCCTAAGACAGGTATTTACAAGCAGTTGCAGAAAGCCCCGGTGATTAGATCGCATGGTGTCACATGAGCCAATTCCAAGATTGTATAAATGTCTAAATAGTGGCACACTTGTATAAGAATTGTCCACGTATACGTGGTACCCCATATGGGAAAAGGGTGACACCAAGCCCCAAACTATCTTGCCACTGCTCCCCATGTAGTCTGGGCATCTGGGGGGCTCCACGTGCCTATCTTTTACCTCGTAAATCCCAAAATTACATACATAGACTGTTGCACTCTCACAGGTCTTATACATCTTGACCCCATATCTGGCACGCTTACTGGGGAGAAATTGTTTGAATGTAAGGCAGCCAGAAAAACTAATGAGGAACTCATCAACACAGATGTTTTGCTGGGGAGTATTGTCTATCTACAAATTTCTGGTTAAGGTGATTTACGAGGGGCCGAATTTTGTGGAGCCGGTCAAATTCAGTGTCACCCCCCGAGGATGAGAGAGTGTGTTGTCATTAAAATGCATAAATCACATTATAATCTCATATCTATGCCTGGCCATAGCGATTAACATGGGCATATGATGAATTGGGTCTGGGGACAAATACAACTGCAATTCATTTTTTTTTAGTAATGCCATGTTGAGGGCTAGGCCCAAAAAAAATGTAAATTCAGAAACCGTAATGGGTTTCCATGCAAGTGGTCTGGCAAGGTTTGAATTTGGGTTGGTGGCGATAAATTGTTGTACACATAAATTTATTTGATCCACAATCAATGCATACAGATCTTCCATGTAAAAACAGCTCCAAAAAATCAAGGGGAGTAGTTAAATTTTCTTTATAGGGATGTCCTCCTGCGCTCCACAGAGTAACTAAACAAGACCAGCAGCTATCATCTATACCCTATACCTCGGGATGAAAAAAATATCTTATAGTGGATGAAGCGCTCAGCCATGAGGGTAACAAACTAATTAAACTAAATAAATAAATAAAAATAAATACATAATAAATAATAAATAATATATATATAATAAAGTGACCAGTGCTCCAAATAGATGTGCAAACAAAAATTAATAAATATATAAAAAATATTCAATACATAAATATTTATAAAGTGAAGGTGACTGGTTCTTCAAATCAATCAATGTGTAAAACAAACGACCAGTCTGCCACCCAGTGGCGTAAAACTGGTACTAAATATACACACACTAAGTGTATAAAAAGTGACAAGTGCCCAGAAAACTAAAATATATATATATATATATATATATATATATACAAAAATCCACACTTAATCATGTATATAGATAGTTAAATTTTCTGTTTCCACCTGAATACCGAGTTGGGCAGTGAATGGGGGAAGTACGGGTGCTGCAGAATTTGTGGGCTGCCAATCGGGATTGGCAAGCACATCTGGAAGGACACTATGGGCTCTATGGGCCCATTTTCGAATTCTTGGTGGCTGCGGGACACTACTTGTGCTCGCCACTGCACCAGCTTGTACTGCACTTATGCGACTCGCCACGTCACCAAGTGATACTGCAGTGCTGGTATGTATAAGACCAGGATGTACTAGGCCGCTGGTGCTCGCCAGTTCACCAAAAGGTAGAGCGGCACTAGTACTGGCACTCTGCTGCATATGAGAATCCTCATGCAATTGTACCACCTCAGCAACCTGGGAACGGGGTCGGGTACGCCTGACCTTAGCAGGGACCTCTACTCCATCGTCAGGGTGCCACTGCTGTCTACAGGTTCATATTCTGAGCCTGATTCTGTCAGTGAGGCTTCCCCTTCGCTCTCACCTGGCATGGGCAGAATCCTGTAGACCACTTCACTAGGAGTACCTTTCTAAATTTATAGGTAGCTGGTGCGACTCATGGGAAAAAGCGCACCTGGCTGTCAGGGACTGCTTGAACTGCTACAAAAAAAAATTACCTGCAAGTGCTAGCAGAGATCAGGACTGATTATGCTAACACTGCGGTTTTGTGTGCAATATATCAAGTGACAGTGATCTACTGACACTGCACTTGCTGGGAGAAGGGGGGGGGGGTAAGCTCATGAGGCTCATGTGACAGGGTGACAATGTAACAGCACAACTGGGAGACAGGTGTTACCCCATAACAGGAAGTGTCTGATCAAGGACTCTTATGGCAGGATCACCAGGTATTACTTTAATAAAAGCTGCCAAGTTCAAAAGATTGAAAATCACTTTTGAAATGACACTACCATTAGAGATTTTAGTGATTTGGTTTACAGCTACTTTAATGCAGAAGTCAATATCCAGCTGGAAGATACACAATCTACCCCATGCATCCTGCCCACTATAAATATTAGAAGAGAGCTAAACATCCCACGCACCATGTATCCCCAGTCTCCATTGTCCATTTGATCCAACGACTGATGCTTGGAGTGAACACGACGTTTGAATGCCGAGGAATGCATACACTGATCGAGAGTTCTCCCGTTTCTGTAAAAACAATATGTACCAACATAAGTTAGGGGAACATAGGAAACCTAAAAATGCTTAACAGTAAGAGTAACACACAGGTTGCCATAGCTGACCTCTTCTGAAAATGGTAGTTGCTACGTCTGTCCTCTGGCTTCAATATTTATTTCCAAAGAGTTATTTCCAAAGAATATATAAGAAGTGAAGTCAGAGCTATTAATCTAATTAATTTTTCAGGGTCAGTGATAAAGAACTGAAGCCATGATTCAGCCTGACAGCCAGGCATTTTTTGGGAGAAAATTGGAAGAAAGGTTACAGGGTTTTCTGTTTCACTAAATACTGTGTTCTTATAAATACCAGACAGGGGATAACACTATCCGCCCTCCACTAGACTCAGCAGTATTCCTTTACATGAGGACTGCATTTTACAGCCCATTCATAAAATGCAGGACTCCTGTGGAGGAATACTGTTTTTTTTGGTCATGTAGTTGTTTCTGCTTAAAGCCTAAAGCTGGCCACAGATTTCAGTATTTCAGGTACTTATATAGCGCCATCAATTTATGCAGCCCTTTACATATATATTGTACATTCACATCAGTCCCTAGCCCTCAAGGGGCGTACAATCTAAGGTCCCTAACTTACATTCATACATACACATACTAGGGACAATTTAGGCAGGAGCCAATTAACCTACCAGCATGTCACAGATGGATTAAATCTCAACTAGTTCAGCAGGAACTGGCCAAGGTTCAATCCATCTATGGGTAGGCTGGTTGTACTGAAGTCGATTGATCAATCAACTTCTGTACAACCAGCCTGTCAGATTTTTTTGTATGTGATAGCCGCCAGCAGTAATCAATGTGTTCTGCCAGCAGGGAAGGGTACCTGTCGGCAGAACACAATAGCGCTGTGAGAGGGATCCCCCCATCAACACCGATTTCCTCATCATCTATGACTTATTGTATTTATTCATTTAATCAGCACAAGGAACAGCACTTACATCAAATGAGAAGTGTCCCTGGCTGCTCTCTTAGTTGAAATCTTCTGCCCCCTTCCAATACCCCTGCAGGTTTCCCTGACATGGGGGCTAAGTGGATAGCACGCCTGCCAAGCAACTCTTGGCCATGGGTCTGAATCACAACAGGTTCCCTATCTGCATGGAGTTTGTACATTTTCTCTATGTTTTTTTCTGTTTTCTCCAGACAGCCCATGTTTCCTGCCACAATCTTAAAACATACAGGCAGGTTCACTGGAATTGGACTCAGTGATGGTAAGTACATAAAACTATATACTTTTGTAAGAATAGAGGCTGATGCCAATGATTCCATGAACTTCATAAACCAATACTACAGAAAAATGGGTGAACATAAATACCAAATAAATCTACGAAACTGAATTTTGTTTTTCAGCCAAAGAGCACTGAAAAAAAGGATTCTGCCATTGTTATCCCAACCACTTATCAATGAAAAGATAACACAACATATCTTGCAGTAGTAGTTGGTCACATTCAACTGGACTTGTTCTGGAATGTTAAAGACATTACATAAATTTCTCCAAGCCACCTCTTCAGCTCTGGTGAATGTTAGGATGATGCCCAAACATTTACATTCACACAGGTAGCACCAACACCTTACCCCTTCCCCACCTATCCACCACAACCCTTTAACTAATTCTTAAAGCAGAAGGAGGGACAGACTTGGAAATCACATGACCACTGTGATTGGCTGTCATAGTGGTCACATGATCAGGAGCACACCCCGACAGCTCCTGATCATAACTAGAAAATGGGAGCTATTGGTGACAGCTCAGTCACTGTGTTGGGAGACAGAAATCTCAGGTGCAATGCACTCATATGCTAAACCCCCCTGGAGGTATTCCCGAGTGTAGCTCGGGGTTATGTTTCAGTACCAGAAGCGGTAACCCTGAGCTTCTTGTTTTGACTGTTCATATGATGTCTGGCTTGGCATCTGCCGGTGCTGGCATATTGTTGTTTCATGTCACGGATATGTTTCTTGCTTGTTGTTTTGTTGTATGACATGCAAAAATACCTTAACCACTTTAAGTCTGGACACTTTTACCCCCTTCCTGTCCAGGCCAATTTCCAGCTTTCAGCGCTATCACACTTTGAATGACAAATGCGCGGTCATGCAACACTGTACCCATATGAAATTTTTAGGCATTTTTTTGAGACAGATAAAACTTTATTTTGGTGGTATTTATTCGCCGCTGGGATTTTTATTTTTTTTGCTATATAAATGAAAAAGTCCAAAAATTAAAAAAAAAATGTTTTTCTTAAAATTTTGCAAATACATAATCTTTCTTCATAAATCTTGACCAAAATGTATTCAGTTATCTTTTTAGTAAAAAAAAAAACAAAAAAACAAATTAGTTTATAACCAAAATTTATGATTTTTCTAAATTTTGTTTTACATTTTTATTTTATTATTTATGTTTTTTGGGTTTTTTTTTTTACATCCTGTCACCCTAGCAGTACAGTGTCAGCATAGTGACACTGTACTACTTGTGGGGGGTGATGAAGAATTTTTAATTTTTTTTTTTTTTTTTACACTGATTGCTTTTACACCCATAAAGGCTGTAAAAGCAATCATTTCTCCTCTCTGGCTGCATTCTTGCAGCCATTTAGAAATACTGTATGAGCTGTGATTGGTGGTCACATGGTGATTGGTCACAGCTGGTCACATGGTACAAGGCTGTTGTGAATAGCCTTGTACCATGTGATCTCTGTGATCATTCACAGATTTCACACGTAATAAGCAATGATGTCAGAAGTGACATATTGCTTACCACTCTCTTCATGGCCAATCAGTGATCACATGATCGGGACCTCACACGTACAATGATCGGTGTTGCACTGTTTCCAGAGGACACAGCGGGCACCGGATCACGGTGCTGCGTGATCCCAGGGAGTGCGCACGAGCAGGGAGGCCGTTTACAAATGGCCACCCGGTCCTGCACTGCTGTTTATATACATGGGCCAGATGGGAAGTGGTTAATAAAAATTACTTGATTTAAAAAAAAGTAAGTATTAGGGGGGCTGAGGGGATAATACTGCCACGTGGACTTTGTTTACCCTAATGCAGGGACAGGGGCGGACTGACCATTTGGAAACTCGGGCACTGCCCGAGGGCCCGGGGTCAGTAGGGGGCCCCATGAGATGCCCCGGTACCTTTTTCACAGGCTTTTTTGAGTTTGGGCAAGGACACAGGGGCCCCATGATCCCCTATTGCCCGGGGGCCCCATGAGTTGTCAGTCCGCCCCTGTGCAGGGAATGCATTAAGGTAAACAATTCTTAGGCTTTAGAACCACTTTAAATATTCACTTCCTCCCAATTGTGTCTGTTATGGGCCTATCCTTGCGCATGAAGGTGTTACAATACTGAGATAGGTATCACAAACTGTGCTTACCTTGTGAATAGGATGACAGGATGCTGCTTGCGATTCCCTGTGCATCAATATATTTACTGATCCCTGTAAGGAAAAGATTTAAATCTAATTAAAATAAGAAAACAGTCCACTGACAGATTCAATCAACATGCTACAATCTGCTATGACAAATCTCAATCTTTTCATTTCTGTTGCAAGATCTTTTCCTACAGTGCTGTCACAATGCAAATAAAAATATACTACAGTCTGATGGCAGTTTTCTATAGAAGACAGTTTGATCATCCTGCACAAAGATTTGAATATACAGTCCAACTGCCTTCCACAGACCTTCTGTCATGTTTCACATGACTGTCATATGCCTTTAAGTGTTCTCTGTATTTTGTCTCTGCTCCTCCCTTTCCTCTGGTTTAGTTCATGCTGTATAGATAGCCCCACCCCTTTTCCCAGTAATGCATTGCAGCTTCAAGCCTCATGTCTTATGAGTAGATCACATTATGATCTTTGGACCTATCCGATGTTCATTGTTGTAAGATTCCCTCGGTTTATGGAATACACTTCACAAGATCTACAAGGTGCCATCTGATCGAGTCACTGCCTGTGTTATTCAACTAAGATCGGAGTTATCGCTATCTCGTCACCAGGGGCGGACTGACCATTTGGAAACTCGGGCACTGCCCGAGGGCCCGGGGTCAGTAGGGGGCCCCATGAGATGCCCCTGGTACCTTTTTCATAGGCTTTTTGAGTTTGGGCAAGGACACAGGGGCCCCATGATCCACTATTGCCTGGGGGCCCCATGAGTTGTCAGTCCACCCCTGCTCATCACAACTGTAAGTTACAGAGATCACACTTTCAATGCTTAGATTGGAGAGTCAGAACACCTTCTGTAAAGCTGCACTTTGACAACACACATTACAATCTACTTATTGCTACGAAAATATTTCCCCCTTACCTCCAAAAGTGTTAGGTTTCGATCATGCGAACTTTGGTCTCTGAAGAGAGATCCACGTTCAGATTGCTCTTTAGAGAGCTTTTGACAGGTGGTGAAAGGGAATTGTAATGCCTGCTTTAAAAGAGAAGTGCAGGAATCCAAAAAATAAAATCAAAATTAGCATACAGTGAAGGAAATACGTATTTGATCCCGGCTGATTTTGAATGTTTGCCCACTCACAAAGAAATGATCAGTCTAAAAATCGAATGGTACAGGTAACAACATGAGATTAGCAGCACTACCTTTAAGAGACTGCTTCTAATCTCAGCTTGTTACCTGTATGAAAGACACCTGGTAGCCAGAAATCCTGCTGAATGATAGGGGGTCAAATACTTATTTCTCTCATCAACATGCAGATCAGTGCATCATTTGTTAGACATGCATTTCTTTTGAATTTTTTGTTGCTATTCTGTCTCTGTGTTACAATACACCGAACATTCGATTTTTAGACAGATCATTTCTTTGTGAGTGGGCAAACATTCAAAATCAGCAGGGGATCAAATGCTTATTTCCTTCACTGTACATTCTCCCCTAGACGGCTGCAATCATCGATCCGAGCTGCAGCTGTCTCCTGCCGCCTCCACACTAAAGACTGCTGATGGCTCAGCTCTCCGGCACAGAGAGATGATTGTCCGTCAACGTTCACTGCAGCTCCGGGCTGTGGAGGGGGTGGGAGTGGCTGGCTCAGGCTCTCAGAGGCGCTTTGAGAGGCTGAGCTAGCTGCTGGTCAGGCACCTGGGAAGATCCCGACATTATTGTTGGGATCCCTGCAGAGCCTGGACCGGCTCTGTGAGGTCAGCTGACAGCGGATTTTAGCCTGCTGTCTGCTAAATCTAGATCACAGGAGTGCAGAACTAAGTGCCCTCCTGTGATCCACAAGAGAAGCATTGCCAAATGAGCTTTGGCAATACATCTCCTTTTAACCCTTTAATTGTCATGCCAGGATACTATAACTATGTGCACTGCATGCAGTTGCGTGTGGCCCCATTCACTTACATGGACCGCACTCAGTGGGCACTATGCTAGCCAGAAGTGACGGGGGGATAATTCCTATCACTGCAGATGTACACCCCTGCCTACTGTCTCTGAAGCAGTAAAAGCGTGGCTCAACTATGGGGTCTTACCGCCTCCAAATAGTGTGAACAAGCCCTTAAAGAGGACAATCACATTTTTTTCAATCACTTTGTAGATTTTTTTGCTGTGTAATCCTGAATATGCATACTAATCCAGCGTTGCTCTGTTGTAATCGGACTCTCTACTGCTGCATGCCGGATCTCACACCGCCATCAATATTCAGTGGGAGATGGCCATCTCTTCCTGCTTCTTTCAACCAGACCCCTGATGATCCGGTGCAAGAGCCAACCTCTGTCCTCCTAGAACATGTGAGGTCAGTAAGGAGTAACAAGCATTCACCCATCTTTAACCCCTTGCCTACCGGGCACTTTTACCCCCTTCCTGCCCAGGCCAATTTTCAGCTTTCAGTGTTGTCACACTTTGAATGACAATTGCACAGTCATGCAACACTGTACCCATAGGACATTTTTATCATTCGTTCACACAAATAGAGCTTTCTTTTGGTGGTATTTAATCGCCGCTGGGTTTTAAAATATTTTTGGCACTATAAACAAAAAAAAAAGCAAAAAATTTGAAAAAAAAAAAACATTTATTTGTTTCTCTTATAAAATTTTGCAAACAGGTAATTTTTCTGAGGCTGCACTGATGGGCAGCACTGATGAGGCAGCACTGATAGGCACTGATGAGGCGGGACTGGTGGGCATTGATGAGGAGGTACAGATGATACTGCACTGATATGTGGCACTGATGGGCACTAATATGTAGCACTGAAGAGCACTGACTGGTCGAACCGGTTGGTGGCACTGATTGACACCAATTGGCGGCACTGATGGGCAGCATTGCTGGACACTTTTTGGGCTGCACTGAATCAGTGCCCTGATTATCAGTGAAGATGTCTCCTTTAACAGATGTCGTTTATCGGTAATACTTTTCTCACGATAACCGGCAAGTGTATTTACATGGTGATCAGCTGTGATTGGACACAGCTGATTATGTGGTAGAAGGCCGCTGTGATTGGCCTTTTAGATGGTCATGTGATCACCTGAGTTCAAAGGACACAGGTGATCACAGACAGCGAAGGGCGCGCACTGATGGGGAAGCATTCTGGAAGGATGTCATAGGACACCCTCCCGGAGCTGGATGACTGTACTGTAGCCATCATGCAGCTATAGCGTGGTAAATGGTTAATGAATTCTGACTGCATGTTGCTTTACGTGACACTAAACCCATTAAAAAAAAAATTCCATGTCATCAGTACAGATGTGTCCCCTGTAACAGAAGATTTGTGCAGCACAACTGGAAAAACATTAAATTTAAAAAATGTATTTCTTCCCTGCCCCAACCTCATCTGGGAGGGTGGCTACATTTACTTGACATGCCCCCGTATTATAAAGGAAGGTAGCCACCCTCATCAGCGCCCTCCAGAAAATGACTACTGAATGTGATCCAACTGCCTATTAATCCCTGACATAATTCTTTCTGGTTCCTCCCCCAGGTTTACCAGTTGGCAGTTTATTGTACCGACACTGACTGCATTGGTCCGTAAAAACACAAATACACTGCCCACTGATAAGAAGGAACCAGAATGAATGATGTCAGGGACACATGCGGTCACATCACTGTTGCAATGACTCATGGGTGTTGTAGTCTGGGTAGCTCAGTGCATGTGACCACAATACAAGTACATTGCTCCTACTCTGAAAGTTACAGTAAAAGAGCCATACTTGGGAGGATGCGGAGACCCAAACGACAGCTGAAAAAAAAAAATTCCTATTCTTCTAAGATGTCGTTTCTAACATTGTGCAGGATTAAGAGGTTTATGTTGGATTGTTTAGTGTCACTTTATTACAGTGATTTCCTATAATCAGCAGCTCCATCCAGTGGCCATGATGCAGTACTTTTAATGACTGAGGTATTCCAGGAAAAATACCACATTATGGCCACTAGATGGAGCTAGAAAATTGATGTATTAAGCAAAATACAGTCAGATTTCTGCCAAAGTGGGTGAATGTTTGTCCTGTTTTTTTTTTTTTATTGATAGACCACTAAGTGTTAAAAAGAGCTTAAAGCAGCACTTGACAAATTTGCTTTGAATCTAGGATCCAGCTAAAAAACTTAAAGCCAGATTTATTTTTCCTGTAGCGCGAGTTGTCAGCACCCAGGACAGGGCAACTTTTGGGTGACAAGCTTCATGGTGCGATTTGCCACACAACACTCATGACAAAAACCGCACCATGTTTTAGTCACCATTGAAAATAATGGCACCTGAGGTCAATGGGAGGCGTTTTTGCATTGAAGTCAGTGGGAGGCATTTTTGTATTGAAGTCAGTGGGAGGCGTTTTTGCATTGAAGTCAGTGGGAGGTATCATCGCATTGAAGTCAGTGGGAGGGGTCGTCGCATTGAAGTCAGTGGGAGGCGTCGTCGCATTTGAAGTCAGTGGGAGGCGTCGTCGCATTTGAAGTCAGTGGGAGGCGTCGTCGCATTGAAGTCAGTGGGAGGCGTCGTCGCATTGAAGTCAGTGGGAGGCGTCGTCGCATTGAAGTCAGTGGGAGGCGACTTTGCGTTAAACTCTATGGGAGGCGACTTTGCATTAAACTCTATGGGAGAAGACTTTGCATTGAAGTCTATGGGAGGTGACTTTGCATTGAAGTCTATGGAAGAAGACTTTGCATTGAAGTCTATGGGAGGCGACTTTCCATTGAAGTCCATGGAAGACTTTGCATTGAAGTCTATGGGAGGCGACTTTGCATTGAAGTCTATGGAAGACAGTGTGCGAGCCCAGGCAGCAGGAAGCAATTTCTAGTCGTCATGGTGACCTGGCACCTAGGATTTGACATTATTTTGCATAATGTCGTAATTCATGAATGAATGCAGAGCAGGACCTGAGTTGTTAGACAAGTAACTCAGCCCTGTAGTATACACAGGAAGAACAGATTTTCCTGTTTAGTCTTCAAAGCTCTGTGACAGATGGGCTTGTGCTGTTTATCTGGAGCATACAGAGCAGATCTCCCAACAACCACTTAGTGCAAAAGCCTGCCTGAATGGATAGATTAACCACTTGCCCTCCAGAGGATTTACCCCCATTCCTGACCAGGCTATTTTTTGCGATACGCCGCCGCGTTACTTTACCTGACAATTGCACGGTCATGCAACGGTGCACCCAAATGAAATGTATGTCCTTTTTCCCACAAAAAAGAGCTTTATTTCAGTGGTATTTGATCACCTGTGTGTTTTTTATTTTGTGTGCACACAAACAAAAAAAAGACTGACAATTTTGAAAAAAAATAAAATATATATATAATACATTTATTTTTATATAAAACATATCCAATAAAAAAATTTTGAAAAATCAAAAATGGTCATGAATTTATGCTAAAGGAAATCCCAATACGTGTAAATGAATTGGTTTATGTGAAAGTTATAGCGTCTACAAATGGCCGTATATATACTGAATTTTTTTTTTTATTTGTATACTAGTAATGGTGGTGATCAGAGACCTATAGCGGGACTGCGGTGGGCATTCTGACATGGGGGGACTGATTAACTGCCACTGACATACCCAGTGACACTAATACAGTGATCAGTGCTAATAAAAAGCACTGACACTGTACTAATTAATGACACCGGACAGGTAGGGGTTAACATGTGGGGCAATCAAAGGGTTAACTGTGTGTGTTTCATTAACGGTGCTGTGTGTGTTGTACTGTGTAAGCATGCTGCTTTGTATTGCTCTGCTACCGCCAATTCTTTTTACATTCAGCTGTGAGTAGGCAACCTCACTGACAGCTGAAACATTAAGGCTAGGTTCACGCCTATGCAGGTTGAGTTTCGAGCCGTTTCTGCATTGCTTTTCATTTTTGCACTTGCGTATTTGATGTGTTTTTGCTGAGTTTTTTTTATTTTTAATTTTTTTTTTCTTGTTACTAGGCAGATTTAAAACACAGCAAATACACAATACATGCTTTTCTGCAGCGTTTCCATTGAAGTCTATATAACCAAAAACGCAACTTTTTGCATTAAAAAAAGTCCCCGACCCTTTCCAAAAACGCACCGGGTGAAAACGCGCAGATGCGAACCTGTCCCATAGGAAATCATGCAAAATGGACTGTACTGCGTTTCTGCAAAACGCTTCAGAAAACGCTTAGGTGTGACCCTGGGGTAAAGACTGTTTAATAGTATCTGTGTGGTATCTTACTGTATACTCGGATGAGGTGAGATACCGCTTAGTGACCTGCCCTGGTTCGAAGTTCACCGTCAAACATTTGTCAGCTTCGAATGCTCCACCACGAACTGAAAAGGGGGTGATCGGCCCATTACTACTGAAGAGGCTGCACTGATGGGGCGGCGCTGATGGGGATGGTGCTGATGGGATGGCGCTGATGGGGCGGTGCTGATGGGATGGCGCTGATGGGGCGGTGCTGATGGGATGGTGCTGATGGGGCGGTGCTGATGGGATGGTGCTGATGGGATGGCGCTGATGGGGCGGTGCTGATGGGATGGCGCTGATGGGATGGCACTGATGGGATGGCACTGATGGGGCGGTGCTGATGGGATGGCGCTGATGGGGCGGTGCTGATGGGATGGCGCTGATGGGGCGGTGCTGATGGGATGGCGCTGATGGGGCGGTGCTGATGGGATGGCGCTGATGGGGCGGTGCTGATGGGATGGCGCTGATGGGGCGGTGCTGATGGGATGGCACTGATGGGGCGGTGCTGATGGGATGGCACTGATGGGGCGGTGCTGATGGGATGGCACTGATGGGGCGGTGCTGATGGGATGGCACTGATGGGGCGGCACTGATGGGATGGCGGTGATGATGGGATGGCACTGATGGGGCGGTGCTGATGGGATGGCACTGATGGGCGGTGCTGATGGGATGGCTGATGGGGGGCTGATGGCACTGATGGGGCGGCGCTGATGGGATGGTGCTGATGGGATGGCACTGATGATCAGGGCACTGTGTATCAGTGTTAATTCTGTACTCACTGTGCCCCTCCCTGATTGGCTCTCCTTCTGTGTGAGGGAAGGAGAACTGACAGCCAGAGAAAGGAATGGAATCTGTTTACAATGTGACAGCTGTGATTGGCCCTTTACCCCGATCTGTGACTGGCCCTTTACCCCGATCTGTGACTGGCCCTTTACCCCGATCCGTGATCTGCTGTGTCCAAGGCACACAGAGCGCTCCCCTGGAGGCACCCAGTAGGTCGGCCTACCAGAAATTCTCTAGAATCCCCTGTACAGCAGAGCTGAGGCTGGGGGAGGGGGAAGCAGCAAGAGGAGCCAATCACTTGTGCTGCGATGCACGGGGCATGCTGATAGGAAGAGAGAGCAGAGAGAGGAGGTCATCCGTCTGCTGCTTCTCCTTTCACTGTCCAATCACAGGCTGGGGGAAGGGACAAGACCTGGAAGAATGACTGAAACCCAGCAGAGGGAGGTCCGGTCTCCTGTCCTGCGGATAGAGCTGTGCTGTGTGGCGGGGTTGTGTAAACCTCAGGACTGGATGGACAGAACTAGGCATCTTTTGCCAGCTGAAGCTCCTCCCATATAGAGATGACAGCGGTATGGAGATCAGGAAGGATCGGAATGACAGCCAGGCACCCAGCACGTCCATGGAGGTCGGAGCTGCCCTAGGCAGACATGTACAGACGGGCTGGACTTGCTGGTCCTTGTGGTTCCCCAGCAGGTGAGGCCCTGATAGGAGCCCAGTGACAGCTCTGAGTGTCGGGGCTCCTCCTATATTGATGATGTCGCACAGCCAGGCCCCGCACCCCCTCACCTGATCGCCGGTGTCCGCTCAGCTCCCCCGGTGTAGCGATCACAGTGCGGGGCCTCTTCCCGGATCTCCTCCCACTACAACCCGCCGATCACACCAATGAGTCCCTTCGCTTTCCGTACACGTCTGCAGTCAGCCGTCGCTGATTGGTGGTCGCGCGGCAACCTTTCCCGTACCCCGCCCACCCTCGTAGGCAGGCTGTTTTGAGAGAGGTGTGACCAAGGCGTGTGTTCCCCTCTTGCTTCTGATTGGTGGCAACGCGTCAGCTGGCGTGTTCTGTGTTGTGATTGGCTGGATGCTCGGCGAAGGGCGACGTCTTGTCAGAGGACAGAGGCAAGATGGCGGCGCTGAGGAGACTACTGTGTACCGGGAAGGTGAGGCGGGGAGCCTGCCGGGGTGGGAGCCGGTGTGGTGTATGAAGGGGACTTAGTGTGTTCTGTCTCCGCAGAGCCGGCTAGCCGTCTGCTTCCAGAGGGAGTTCCACAGGAGCACGCCCGCCGCCCTACAGGTACTGTATGTGAGTGACACCCCCCTCATTGGGGCCCCCTGTGAGCTCTGACCATGACTTAGTCACCAGCTGCAGGGCCACAATGTGTCCCCTCCCTGAAAATGAGCTGCTCTCTGGATGTATGGGTCATTGTGGGTGTTTGATGGCATTAGAGACTGCAGAATGAGGATTGTCTTCAGTTAGAATTCATATCTCCTAGATTGTAAGCTCCCAGGATCAGGGCCCTCCTTTCCCTCTTGTATTGAACTGTATTGTTGCTGTATTGTCTCCCGTTATATTGTAAACAGCAAACTGTTGGTGCTATATAAATCCTGTATAATAATAAGAAGAAACGATTGGTCTGCCGGAACACCAACAATGCACTGTCTCTGGCAGCTCACCGCAACACGCCACCATTGGTAAGGTACATAAGAGTGACATTCACCCCGTAATGTGCGCTACTACTGTGCAACAGGGCCTCACTCACAGGTATTGCAGCGCACACCGGTGTGAAGGCTGTGTTTTGCCTGATGGTGATGCAGAGGCGTTCCATGCATCCCCTTACAGGCAGTCCCATTCATGTCAACTGGGATGCAGCAGCTGCATGGACCTCTCGAGTTGACATGCGTGTGGGTGCACAGCCCTGAACACAGTGTACATTTGGGGGTCGCACTCCCGCAGAGATGTCAGTTTGGAAGCCTTGTCCATGCAGCCGCTGCATCCCAATTGACATATCCAACACAACAAACACTTTTCTTCTGCACTAGGAAAGGACTCAGTAGACCCAATGGGAATGTTCTGGACTTTTCTGGAATATGCACTGCTTGCTGCCCTCAACAGACCGGGGTGGTCCAAATACACTGAATACAAATCATACTCACAATAGACATAATAACACAGGCATGTCAAACTGAACAAGATGTATGATCCAAACAACATCTGAGTCCATACGAAGGGCTCTGAGGAAGAGGTTGTGTCCTCGAAATGCGTTAGCCTGTTGGTCATCCAGGGTTCCATCGTATGGACTCGGATGTTGTTTGGATCATACACCTTGTTCAGTTTGACATGCCTGTGTTATTATGTCCATTGTGAGTATGATACCTATTTTTGTTTCTTTAATAAATTATTTTAAACGATAATGCACTAGGTCGGTGCGCCCTTTTTCTGTTTCTCCATTTGCATCCCAATTGACATGAATGGGAAACAACCAGACGGATCCACTAAAGCAGATGGTCCTTTTTGGAACACACCAAGGATGTTCTTCTCTAATACTTTCCACCAAGATGCTCAGAAACGTCATATAAAACCATCATAGTGCTTTCTGTAAAATTATATATTAGTGATGCACCGATACCGGTTTTTGGATTTTTTTTTTCTTTTTACTGGCGAGTATGAATACAGATACCTCTGCGATGTGATTTGAGCCCATACAAAGTGAATGCACTGAAGTGAATTGCATGCGATTTGAATAGGAATGCTGTGCGGTTCCTGTCCGAATCTCATGCAGTTTCCCGCACCGGTGCTGTGTGAACTCAGGTTTGTCTTAGTGACTTTGAGCCTCTGTTCACAGTGGAGCGGTGGCAGAAATCTTTTTGCATGACAAGTTCCACCATCTCTGGCTCCTGATCCCACTGTGGACGTCAACGGCTGCAGCTTGGGCTCCTCCTGCCTCTTTAATGGCTCTCTCTCCCCCCCCAACCTCCAGCGGTTCCAGCCATCCACTGGACCCCCTTCCCATCCCACTGTACTAGATTGCCAATCCCCGCTGTCAGACAATGAAAAGTCACGGGATTTGAAATCCCCACGGCTTCTTCTACTCTCCTTGCAGTGCTGACAGTAATGTAATTGGTGGCTGTGAGGACAGCCACGAATACCTGTGGCCACCAGCAACCTGTCAGTATAGTAAATGGGCCCGGCAGCCGTACCTAGCCAGTCAGAAAATTCCTGACGCTACAATTCCCACCAGCCTAAGAGCCAGTTCACACCAGAACACGGTGTGGGAAACCTTCATCCCGTTCGCTTTTCCCACACCGCACTTAAACTGTACTAGAATAAGAATAAAAGTGCAGCGCTAAGTAACATGAAAATTAAATGATCACAATGATCACTCACCCAGTGTATTATTAACAATAAATAATCATAAATAATGACCAATAAATTATTAAAAAATAAAGTGACAGTCTGTGCAAATGTAAATTCTTGATCAGATCCCATGGTGGTGCTCCATAAGGTGTAGTAAAATTACGCACTCACCAGATGCGTAATGAAAGTACGCATAATAAAACCCAGCAGTGGTCTCCTTTTAAGGGTCTGGTCAGGGGTAGAGAAAATCCTCCCTCTGGGTAAGTGGTGTTGTCTGAAGCAAGCACAGACGTAATGGGATCCAGCCGGTCAGAGGTCCCTTTAAGGGATGGATGGGTGCAGATGCCTGTGTACAGGAACTCCCTTCTCTGGTACTGAATGGCTGGATCAGGCAGACTCTATGGGTAAATAGCTCCTCGGGGGAGCATGTGAAGAGTATCCATAGTGTAGTATTTAAAATTCAATTTATTGGGTCAATATATTGATTTAACAAATTCCAGGTATAAAATCATGCAGAGTTAAATTCAAGCAGCGAAAGGTAATGCAGAGTTGTAGCAGCGTCAGGTAATGGACTAACCGTCCAGTGAGTAAAATGGCCGCCAAACCTCCACGTGGCTACGGTGGCGTGACATCACGGCGTCTTGGCCCCTCCTTGCAGTCTGCAGTGGGTGTCAGTTCAGTGCCAACGACACCACGAATGCAGTGTGTTTGCCTGCAGCCGACTGCATAGTACAGAAGCACCATGCAATCCAGTTGCTTTGTGCATGCACTGCTCTGGTCTGCCGGCCCATTCATTTGAATGGTCGTAAATTACACTGCTCCTGGATTGCATGTGAATTGCAAAGGAACACATGGCATGCACATTTTAAGCACTTTGGCTCTCATACTTGTTCACCCCTTGTGGACCAGAGCAATTTTTATTTAAAATTATATAGTGAAGCGCTTAAATTCTATACAAAATTATACTAAAATGCATTAGATTACAGGTGCAAAAAACCTCAAATCATATCACATCATGTGCAATAACATTTCCTCCCAGCAGGGGGAGTAAAAATCAGTTTTAAAATTAACACAAACCTCTAATGTGAAATAATCATACACAGTGATATACCTATAAAATATATATGTGTTCAACACAAACTAAAAGTGCATAAGTTAAAAATACAAACTAAAGAAACCACAAATAAGTGATTATCACACTCAATAACTAATATTCTTATATATCCATGTGAAAAAATAAGTGAACACCATAATTAAAAATATAAGTATAAATACTTTTTTCCAAGTACAACGGAATAAGCTTAAGTGCAAAAACAAATCCGTGCGTCACACTTAAAACAGTTGCTCTATTTAATAATAAAACAAACAATCACTAGTGCAAAACAGTCCATGCAAGTGCAACTAAGTGTGCTGGTCATAAAATGTGATCCACTTCTAGTGTGTATGGTATCCTCCAAATGGCAGCAATGCCTGCTCACCTCCCCTCCTAGACCCACACAGGGCCAAACAGCAATTTCCACCTCAGTGGTATCTCCTCACTTGGCAATCTCCTCCTTCCCGGATATCTTCTTACCTCCTAATTTGGGTTATTTTCACCAAAGACATGTAGCAGAATACATATCGGCCTGCATAGGTGTGATCCTAGCCTTAGACATCCCAGGCTTTGTATATTTTTATATTTCTGCTATGGACTTATTTATTCAGCGACAACTTTGTCATTACTTGAGTGAAAAAAAATACATACTTTTTTTTTTTTTTTAAAGGACAAACAAGGCATTTCTTTTTGTATATATTGTCTTGCAACAATTTACAAACTTTTTCACAATCCTTAAACAAACATAACAAAAGTGTAACCAAACGCTCTTTTTCTTTTTTTGAGCGGTGTTGGTTTAAATATAAATAGTGTTACTGCAGATAAAAAGTGAAAATTTTATTCTGTAATTTTGTTCTGTTTAAAATCGCATTAAAATGATGATTCTGGTACAAATCATTGCAAAATTGTTTACAAATGAAGTGCGTTTCTGTTTTTTTTAATTTACGCTTTTTTAAATGTCAAGTGTAAAAATATTTAAGTGATTCTAAAAGCTTATTTTTAAAAAAGAAAAAATAACAAACATACCTATACTTACCTGCTGTGTGCAGTGGTTTTCCACAGAGCAGTGCGGATCCTCCCCTTCTTGGGTCCCCCTCAGGCTCTCATGGCTCCTCCCTCCTGTTGGGTGCCCCCACAGCAAGCTGCTTGCTATGGGGGCACCAACTGCAGTGTGTCCATTCACACCCGGAGCTGTGGCTCGGCCCTGCCCCCCTTCTTATTGGCTCACTGGCTGTGATCGACAGCAGTGGGAGCCAATGGCTGCTGCTTCTGTCTCAGCCAATGAGAAGAGGGAGTCCCAGGATATCTGAGACTCCAGTGCACATTGCTGGATCAAGAGGGGGCTTAGGTGAGTATTAGGGGGGAATGCTGCATGCAGAAGATTTTTTGGCTTCATGCATAGCCTTTACAACCACTTTAACAAACAAAAACAAAGTTTTTACATTTTATTAATAATATAGAAATTAAAAAAAAAAATTGAAGGAAAATAATTGACTCTTCCTGACCACGCTATAGCCAAATGATGGCTACAGCGCAGTAGTCAAGTTCTGGGAGGGTGCCATATCCCATCCTCCCAGAACACGCCCCCAGCGGCCGCACCTGGCGCTCTCTGTGATCGCTATGTCCTTTGAACACAGTTGATCACATGACATGGTAAAGGGCTAATCACAGTGGCACAGAGAAATGCGGATCCGTGGGCGGTGCCATTAGTTCTAATGGCACACCACCCGCACTGGAAAACGCAACTGTACTGGGAACCGAAGTTGACGTGCGGGATGCGTTTTCAGAAGTGCAGAGACTTCGTCCCTGCGTGTCACGGGGCACGGGAGTCCATTCAAATGAATGGGCTCTCGTGCCCGAGCAGAACGCGGCCCGCACGGCCACATATATGTGAACCAGGGGTTAAGGCTGTCAGCAGATCGACCTCTACAAATTCAGCAGTGCCAATAAATAGAGAGCAATTGGGCATGTGCAGAGCAGGGTGAGACAGGGTATTACTGGTTTTTAAACAGTACAGGCACTTATTTTTAATGTTTTACATAGCTATACCTGCAAAAGGAGCCAGCCTTAAGTGATCTAGCTGGACTTAATTCTCTGACTAAAGTTCCACTTTAAAGCACAAAAACTGTAGCTGCTGACTTTTAAAAAACAGCCACTTACCTGTCCCTCGGTCGCATGGTGTGTCCCCCACAGCCCATTTCACCGGCCGTCCTGTATTCCAGGAGGCCAGCATTTTCAGTTTGGGCATCCAGCTGTGATAGCTTGCAGCTTCACAGCCGGGTACGCACTGCACATGCGCGAGTAGCACTGCGCTTCATGAATGGTCCTGTAGTCTTCTGAGACCTGTCACGTTTCCCAAAAGACTACAGGGAGGGAGGACACCTTCCGATTGCCTAGGCAATTGGAGTGGGTACCTGTCAAATTCGGGTACCCGCTCCCCCCGCCCCCCAAAGGGGCCATTCCTTAGTGGATTTTTTTTTTTTCCTTTGTAAATGAAAATAATTTCTTTGAAAATTAACTTTTTTTTGTTTTAGGTCACTGTTCGGGATGCTCTGAACCAGGCTATGGATGAAGAGCTGGAGAGAGATGAGCGGGTGTTTTTGCTAGGAGAAGAAGTTGCCCAATACGATGGAGCTTATAAGGTAGAGTGCATATGTGGATTCTTTTTAGTTTCTGCAAACCAATGGAAGCTTAAAAAAATCCAAAAGCAATATCTTCTATCCTTTCCTCCCTGTCACACATCTTCCACAAGTCTTACTTTTATTGATGCATCTGATCAAGCCTCACACCTACAGTTGAAATCTTAATTCTATAAAAGTAATGAAAATTCCAACTAGGCGAGTTAAACAGCCTTATGTTGGCAGTGTTAGGATTTGGGAACTCTACAGGGACCGTTACGTTAGAGTCTGAGATGGCTAAAACACAGATGGTTTGTGACTCTGTGACAAAATCAACCCAAAAGTGACACCTTAAGTTTGATTATTGAAATCTATTTTATATGGACAGTAACACACGACTTTGCATTGACTTGTATAAGAAGACCTATACTGTTTAAGCTGTGCCTAAGAAAGACAGGCAGAGGGCAAAGGACTAGTCACCACCAGTATTGCATGTGCTTTCCCTGCAGCCAAGCTTTTCCCCAATGCATGCTTTATTCTGCACTGTGTCTAGAAGTATATTCACTCATCTTGGTAAAGTCAGGACCTTGCTTCATCATGTCAGAACTACCCCCAATGACTGGTGATCTGATGACTGGTGGGAGAAATATTCAGGAATCTGCAAGAGAGGTGGAGGGAAGTACAGAGTCAAAAAATAAGAGAAGCAAAAAAAAAAAATAGATCCTTGCACAACCAGGTCCTCAGGTACAGCTTTCTTTCCAGCCACAAGAGCAGTGAACAGTAGTGAATACAAGATTTGTGCCCCGGCGTATGGGGACGGTAAAATTCACAATAGTATGATATGCAAGAAGGATAGCAAATAAACTGAAACACCAAGGAGTTGATTTACTAAAACTGGAGAGTGCAAAATTTGGTGCAGCTCTGCATAGAAACCAATCGGCTTCCAGATTTTTTTTTTAGTCAAAGCTTAAAGTGTTAATAAACCCACAACAGTAAAATCAGCCTCTATATGCAGTAAAGCATGCTTGTTATACTCGTTGTGGAACCTAAGGGGTTAATCCTCTGCATTGTGTAAAAAGGCTGCTTGATCCCTCCTTCTCTGCCCCCCCCTTTTGTTCAAATGACCACCTGATACAAACTGGATCCGTGGCCCCATACACATGCTCAGTTTGTTGTGTATTGCTAGAGGTTTTTTTTTCTTGGGAGAGTGCATGTGATCAGCACAGGGCCAATCAGCACTGTCCAGACAGAGGTCAGGGGATTTCCATCCCCCTAGAGAAAACTCCTCCTACAAGCTTTAACCAGTGTTCTGCTGAAGTCACAAGACTGCTCTAACTGATGAGACAAGGTATTTAGCAGTTTATATTTGCTAAAATAAATCCATTTTCATGTTTTCATGTACTGTGTGAGACCAGATATAGTGAATGCAGGGTCCTGGGTTTAGTATCACTTTATTTGAAGAAGCTGAAGTTAGACATAGACTGGCTATCAGCTACACCAGATGTTGCACTCTCCAGCTTTAGTAAATCTCTCCCAGTGTCATGTCAATGTACTTAGGCTTGTGGCTCCAAAATCGGCCGCAGAGGGAAGATGAGGAGAATCCTCAGCTGTCAGCAATGGAAACACTAGTGAAAAGTGTGTAAAGCTGCAGGATAGGACTGAGATCCAGAAGATTGGTCCATGATTGGCAACAGGCACTAGATAGTGAGTGATTATAGGATGAAGACTAGGTGCTGGGAAGCTGTCAAAGCACTACAGCGTGTACTCTTAACCACTTTCTTACCAGTCTTTAGCCGAATGACGGCTACATCACAATCATCTGGTCTTGGGAGGACGTCATATGACATCCTCCCAGAACGCGCCCACAGTGGTGCGCACCCACCGCAGTCTATGATCACTGTGTCCTTTGGACATACAGTAGCTAAACAAATGACATGGTAAAAGTCCAATCACAGCAGCCTTTTACAAGTAAATACACTTGCTGGTTATCGGCAGTACTTTCCTCACACTGTCACAGGAAAGTACTGCCGATAACCAGCAACTGTCAAAGGAGACATCTGCACTGATTATCAGTGCCCAACAGCTCTGCCCAGCACTGCTGCCACGTGCCTATTAGTGCCCATCAGTGCTGCATATCAGTGCAGTATCATCAGTACCTCTTCATCAATACCCATCAGTTCTGCCTATCAGTGCAGCCTAATCAACGCACATAAGTGTTTTGCTAAATTTTATAATCAAAACCAAAAAAAAAAAAAGTTTTCTTTTGTTTTATACTGCAAACAATGAAAAAACCCAGTGGTGATTAAATGCCACCAAAAGAAAACTCTATTTTTATGAAAGAAATAACAAAAATTTCATATGTGTACAGTGTCGCATGACCATGGAATTGTCATTCAAAGTTGTATTGGCACTGAAAGTTGAAGAGTAGCCTGGGCAGGAAGGGGTAAAAGTGCCCAGTTGCCTACACATATGAAATTTTTTCTTTCATGGTTAGCAAGGATTCAGCAGATTGGTCTATGTATAGCAGAAATCTGCAGAGTGGGGGAACCTGGCAATACTCGGAGGTGTCAAAGGCACTAGGTGCTGAATCAGCAGCTTGAATTATGAATTTAGAAAGTACAAAATCTTGATGTACCGCTGAACGGTTATGGATCAGGGACTGGCCGCAAAGAGAAGGTTCAGTATAGGGAGAGCTGTCAGCCTCCGGCAGAAGGCGCTGCATGGTAAAAGAGTCCAGTCCTCTGTGTACACTGAATGAAGTTCCAATGATTTGTCCCTGCCAGGGATGACAAGGGGCAGTGAATGATAGTAATTGTTATAGTAGGACAAGATATAGCACATATGGGTATCACGAAAAGGCTGAAGGCAAAGATAAAAAGCACGCAATTGCAGCTCTCAACATGCATGCTATGCAGAGTGCAGAGCCACTCTATCAGTCTATGTAGGATAAAATAATTTTATATAAAACTCGCCAATATATTAAAAAAAAAAATTCCCCAAAGAATAAACAATATAGTATATTACTACAAAAAAGTGGGAGAAAATAGGATACCTCCTTCTCAAAAGAAGAAGACTATTACACATAAAAGTCAGAGGGAGTAAAATTAAAGGGACTGTTGCAAGCAAGTGTCCGTAAACTTAGCCTCCCTGGCGGTATTCCCGAGTGTAGTTTGGGGTAAAGTTTCAGTACCACAAGCGGTAACCCCGAGCTACACTCGGGAATACCATGCGGCGCTGCTCCGCGATCCCTCGATCACTTACCTTGTCCTGCGCTCCCGCGATGTCCCTCCTGCAGTGTCCCCGTCAAAGTAATCGGGCGGATGCCGGCATCTGTCTTCTGGGTTCCGTCCCCTGTGAGCGTCGGGACGTACGGGGACGGAACGGCGGGAAATTTGAAAATGAGAAAAAGTGACATTCATTAAAATCACATAGTATAACATTCCTGTATCAAACCATTTCACATACATTGTGTCCCGAGTGCTTTGTCCTGTGCCCTGCCTGCATTTTTACTGTTCTTATTGCCTGGAAACTGAGAAACGTCCATGGCGTCCAAAAAGCGTCTCTTTAGGTCAAAAGCGGTTTTAGACCAGCTAGAGAACAGCGATAGTAAATCAGAACCACTTGCAGAATTGAGTTATAATGATTCGTGGGGAAATTCGTCATCAGACACTGAAAACGATTCTGTGACTTTGCTCAGTGATGTGCGAACTTGGTGCTCCTATTTCAAATTTCAGTGTTTTTGGTTTGATTATATTATTGAATTAAATTTATTATTATTATATTATTATTTTTTATGATTATTTATTAAATTATAATTTATGATGTCGTGTTTCAAGTTTCATCCTACCCGGGATGTTTACTAGACTCATGTTCGGACAGATTTCAGTGAGTTATTCCTAAGAATTACAGGCCTACAATATAAAACACCAAATTTCCATGCAAAATAATGGTACCGCTTTCAGCACCAAAAATCTGAAATAATCATACCGCCAGGGAGGTTAATAAAAAACATAAACATTGTAACCAGATCTACAGTGGAACTAAGCTAAGCCTAAGTGGCTGTGAGAGGAATAAAAGGTACAGCTTTTATCCTTTTTGAATATTATACAGCTGTGACTTTTAATGATTTCTTGTGCCCGGGCACTACTGTCTTTGTATTCACTTGACCTTCTGGCTCTATCCCAGGTATATATTTGAGATCTCAGCCACAGGATCACTCCTTGGTTTCCCTCTAGACTGACCAGTAATCTGATAGAACCAGTACCATACAGTATATATTTTTCAGTGCCATCTCCAAACAAATCTTTCACTACAAATCTTGTGGGACTAGCAGTTGTAGGCACAGTGCCGTAGATGATCTCAAGCTGCAAATATACAGCTTTGAGGCTGTGTGGCACAGGAAGCTTTTTTCAGGAGTAATTTTAAGACCTAAGGTAATCTTTTACAGCAAAAGAAACCTTTCTAGGTGTTCTCTATCACATTGTACTTTTTGAGTTCAGGCTCCTTTTTAAAAAAAAAGGTGCTCAGTATGTTTTATATCCAGAAAATATGCAATAACATTTTTTTCTTCTTTGCTTTAGGTCAGTAGGGGCCTTTGGAAGAAGTATGGTGACAAACGAGTTATGGATACTCCTATATCTGAGGTAATTCTTCTGTGTTAGAAGATATAGCTGGTTAAAATGTTTTAGGGCAGTTTCCATCTTGGAGTGCTTCCAGGTCCCTGCAGCTGTGCCATGTTCAGAGATGAGGGTGGAAATAATTAAAAATGTCTGAGACCAACTGGAGCACAGTCAATCCACTAATACATTTTCATTTTCTAAGTTGTGTAGAAAAAGAGAGAAGCTGATTGGTTATGTGTAAGGGTACCTGTTGAGAAGTTCTCAGAACTTCTTTAGTGTCACAGTGATCTATAAATGGAGGATAGGTGATTGATGGAAAGGTCCATCTATTCATAGATCACATTTCATTCCTAGAGGCTGTAGTTCGGGTTCTGTGAATGAAAGACCTGGGAAGTCTGGGTATGGTTGGACACTCTTGATGGAGTGACTCTCACAGCTCCCTCAGTTCTATTAACCCCTGCCACTCCATTGAGAATTTCCGCTAACAGAGGAGATGTCAGTAAAAGAGACACATCCTACTGATTGCCTGTAATGTCCTTGTATTTTTAACTAAACTTTATTTACTAGACTTTTGATGTTTAGTTCACCAGTAACTGGTGTTCTTAGCAATTTTTCATTACAGCATTCCTGTATCTCATCCATTGGTTTCCCTGTTGAGTGCCTTTCACATGGGGCAGACTCCGTTGAGCTCAGCAGGGGATCTGTTCGCTGATCAGCAGAGCAGGCAGGTATTTGCAGAGTGGATATGGACAGAGCCTGCTCTGTTCTATGGGTGACTAGGAGTAAATAGATTCCACTGTCCATTTTACACCCATCTGCCCTCTGATCTGATCTGCCTAGATGGAAGAGGACAGATCTCCTTCCATTTTTTTTTTTGCGGACCATTTACACCTACCGGGTTATGGGGATGAATGGAACATCCAATCAAGTTTGCCTGAAAAACTGACGTGCGCGCTGCGCGTGCGTGTGCGTGTGTGTGTGTGTGTGTGTGTGTGTGTGGGGCCGTAGTGTTAAATTTCTGTTACTCAGTTGGTGTTAGTTCCTTTTACAATGTATCAATGGATAGGCAAGATGTTGGAAGAAGAGGCTTTTATCTGCTTTTCTGACCATGTTTCTTGTAGATTGAGGAACCAATGAATCATTAGGCTGCTGTCCTGTAAAACTGTTAGGGAAAGTTTGTTAATTTTAACATTTCTTAAAATAAAGTAGAATAACCAAGAGCTGTTTGCAGCAGAAGTCCTTTCATACTTACAGGTAAAATTGTAATTTTGTCAGCTGCTGAATTGGGGTGTCAGTGTTGTGTAGCAGGTTTATCAGAAGCTGCCAAAAAGTAATGTTCTTATTTTATTTCATATATATTAATGCTGACTTTTTCTTTTTGATAGATGGGATTTGCAGGTATTGCTGTTGGTGCTGCTATGGTATGTGTCCATTAAAGTTCACTGACCTCCATTTGCTTTGGCTTAGATATTTTTATAATACCTCTTTATATTCCTGCAGGCTGGGTTGAGGCCAATATGTGAGTTTATGACATTTAACTTCTCCATGCAAGCCATTGATCAAGTCATTAATTCTGCTGCTAAGACCCATTACATGTCAGCTGGGCGTGTCCCTGTTCCAATCGTTTTCCGAGGACCCAATGGATCATCGGCCGGTGTGGCTGCCCAGCACTCTCAGTGCTTTGCCGCCTGGTATGCGCACTGTCCAGGACTGAAGGTATTGAGTCCTTGGAATGCTGAAGATGCTAAAGGTTTACTGAAAGCTGCAATCCGGGATGACAATCCAGGTGAGTAGTCTGACCGTGATTCACAGGTACTTCTTTTCTATATCGGTTCTGTAAAGTAATTTTAAATTGCTGTCTTTGTTTACAGTGATTCTATTGGAGAATGAGCTGATGTATGGTGTTCCATTTGAACTGTCCGAAGAAGTTCAGTCTAAAGACTTTGTTATTCCTATTGGTAAAGCAAAGATTGAACGGCCAGGTATGCACATCTTATTTCTGAATATTTTATAGCATTGCTGCCCTTGCATATGGCCATATGTATAAAGGAAGTTTTCCAGTGTCTGCTACTGATACACAAAACCTTTGCTCACCAGTATGGTTATAAACTCACATGAAGGACACAGGGCACCTTTGTAATTAACTATTATACATAAATCCTTAAATATGATGGCAGTTCTGTCACTCTGGACATGGTGGCTGTAAAGGGAAATGGGGATAAATTGCACCCTTAAAGAGACCCCGTCACTACATTGTGCCCTGATTACTAAGCACATGCTTGCAGTCTGTACACGATGATGTATTTAAATTAGTGCTGTCTGTTGAGAAGAGTTATCAGTTGTCCGTTTTTTTGACACTTAGTGTTCTAGCCTCAGACTTCAGCAACTCCCCCCCAGACCCCTATCTCTTATTCCTGTTAGTAGATCAATGGTGAAAGCTGCTGGATGGCACCCCAATGTCAATGTGCATGTACAGTAGCATTCATTTCCAATCTTGTGAAGGTGGGAGGATGCAGGGGGCCCGGAAGTCTAAGCATGAGCAGTACTTATAAAGAAGGAACTGTGTACATTGTGCGTATCTCATGTCTATGCTGTACCTACAGGCAGTCAGATCACTGTGGTCGCTCACTCTCGCCCTGTGGGTCATTGTATAGAGGCTGCCAATGTACTGGCTAAGGAAGGAATTGATTGTGAGGTAAGAACTTAATATCTGCATAAATAACCATTTTCCCAAAATTTCTTTCAGGACAGCACCTGAGAGCTCATAGATCCTCTCACCAGGTGACAGGAAACACCTCCCAAAAAAAAATCTTTAAATGGAGGCCTCTTCCCACTTCTCCTGTTTCAGCGTTTCTTCTGCCCTGGATGGAACACCTTGGTAGAGCTGAGATCTCTCAGGGCTGTCCTGTGAGAAAAATGTCTCCTTTTACTTCCTTTTTGTTTTCCTTTTGTTGAGGCTCTGGTCCTCCCAGTTTGCCCCCTGCCTTTCTGTGCTCGGGGAGAGCCTGTACTGGTGGGGAGTGCCGCTCCAATTTTGTGTACAGAGGCATGCTGCAGCTGGGCAGGAGTTCGGTCTGGTTACGGGACGTGTGGAGGTGGCACCATATTTTTGGTGGCAAAGGAGAGCCTTGGCCACGTCCAGAGGATACGATGTGTTTGAAGGAACAGTACTTCGGGTCAGGCACGCGGCATCATTTCCACCCGTAAGTGCAGGGAGAGGAGTTTCGACTGAACTGGTGCCTATCTGTGGTTCCGGTCCAGCGCAGCAGCATTTTTTGGATTCCGTAAGCGGCCTTCTATCTAGTGTGGCGCTCAAAATAAATAAATAAATACATATAAATACAAATAAGTGACCAATTCATATAACAAATCTTAAAACACCCGCAACTGGCATCAACTAAAAATTGATCAACTGTCCCAAATAAATATCATGCTTAAAAATGACAAATTGGTGACCAAATAGTGTAATAGAGGATGCTTTTGTGGTTAAGGCATATGTCCAGCTAAAATATTTTCTCTAACAGTTGTACCACTTGTTGTTGCATATAATGATTAAACTTGAACACTCGGTCCTTATCCTTTTTGTAGGTTATCAACTTGCGCACAATCCGGCCAATGGACATTGAAACGATAGAAGCCAGTGTTGTGAAGACCAACCATCTGGTCACAGTAGAGGGGGGGTGGCCTCAGTTTGGTGTAGGAGCTGAAATCTGCGCCAGGATTATGGAAGGTATGACTACAATAAAGATGTGTACTTGCATGCCTTTGAAAAGGTCTGCTAAAACATGTCATGGTGCAAGCAACAGCTGGAGTAAAGCACGGGACTAAATAGATTGTTTTTTTTTTTTTTTTCTCTTTAGCATTTCCCATTAGTTATGTGAAAAATGAAAACTGGAATCTGTTGTATTACATATTTTTTGCGTTCTCCATTTCCTCCAGCCTATAATACTTACCTACTAATGCTATGTGCACTTCAGACACCCAAGCAAGTGCAGAAGATGGATCGATAGATACACTATATTGGCAAACCCCTCCAGATCATTGGATTCAGGTGTTCCGTTCACCTCCAGGGCCACAGGTGTATAAAATCAAGTACCTAGGCATGCAGACTGCTTCTAAAAACATTAGAACAAAGAATGGGTCGCTCTCAGGAGCTCAGTGACTCCAAGCGTGGTCCCGTGATAGGTTGCCACCTGTGCAATAAGTCCATCCGTGACATTTCCTTGCTACTAAATATTCCACGGTCAACTGTTAGTGGCAAAACAAAGTGGAAACAACTGGGAACAACAGCAACTCAGCCACCAAGTGGTAGGCCACTTAAAGCGACAGAGCGGGGTCAGCACATGCTGAAGCACACAGTGTGCAGAAGTCGCTAACTGTCTGCAGAGTCAGTAGCTAAAGATCTCCAAACTTCATGTGGCCTTCAGATTAGCACAACAGTGCATAGAGAGCTTCATGGAATAGGTTTCCATGGCCGAGCAGCTGCATCCAAGCCTTACATCACCAAGTACAATGCAAAGCATCGCATGCAGTGGTGTAAAGCACGCCGCCACTGGAGTAGTGGAGACGTGTTCTCTGGAGTGACGAATTACGCTTCTTTGGCAATCCAATGAACGCGTCTGGCGGTTGCCAGGAGTACGGTACTTGCTTGACTGCATTGTGCCAAGTGTAAAGATTGGTGGAGGGGGGATTATGGTGTGGGGTTGTGTTTCAGGGGTTGGGCTTGGCCCCCTAGTTCCAATGAAGGGAACTCTTAAGGCATCAGCATACCAAGATATTTTGGCCTATTTCGTGCTCCCAACTTTGTGGTAACAGTTTGGGGATGGCCCCTTCCTGTTCCAATATTACTGCACACCAGTGCACAAAGCAAGGTCCATGAAGACATGGAGGAGCAATTTTGGGGTGGAGGAACTTGACTGGTCCTGACTTCAACCCAATAGAACATCTTTGGGATGAATTGGAGCAGAAACTGCGACCCAGGCCCTCTTGTCTGACATCCATGCCTGACTTCACAAATGTGCTTCTGGAAGAATGGTCAAACCTTCCCATAGAGACACCCCTAAACTTTGTGGACGGCCTTCCCAGAAGCCTTTATGTTGTTATAGCTGCAAAGGGCGGGGCCAATTCAATATTGAACCCTACGGACTAAGACTGGGATGCCATTAAAGTTCATGTGCGTGTAAAGGCAGGCCGACCAATACTTTTGGCAATATAGTGTATATGGTTGGATGTTTACATGCACATAGATTTTACATTCTACACAGAAATACACAAAACCCTTGATGCATTTCCCACTTGCTAACTTATATATTTGATGATTTGTATATTGGGAACCTACAAACCTGCATGCCTATTCACTTCACCCAGGAAGTATTTATTTCATTGCATGTTAACATTTTGAGATGTAAATTCCAGGTTCTTTCTCCTGTTTGGTTTTATTTTTGCAAAGGTAGGTTTTCAAACTGGTTTTCACAATAACTTGTCATTCAAAGTGTCTGCACGTCACACATAAAATTTTAGTATCTTCAGGGTGGAGTCTCCTGGCTGCATTCAGGGAGATTTCTTCTTTTTTCTCTGTTATATGAACCTCTGCCTTTATCACTGTTTATAACAGTGTCATGATGGTGAAGGTAGGGCCAAGTCACAAACCACAGGGGCGAATTACCATCCTGGCATTTATTTTGATATATCTGCTGTAATAGTTTCTACAGCTGTCAGTGGCAGTAAAGAAAATACTGACTCATAAAATACAGGTCAAGCCTTACCTTCTACAGCTCCGGTGCTGATAAAGGCAAGAGGTTTTGTGGCCCTTCTCAGTAGTAGTGTGAAAAATGCTTGCTTAATCTAGGTGCAAGGAATTCCATAAAACTCAATTACACCTGGGGCTGGTTCACACCAGATGCAGTTCAGTGCATTTTTTTTTTTTTTTTCTGCATCAAAAATGCATGCAGTGTTTTCCATGTATTCCAATGGCTCTAGTTTACACCGGTGCTATCAGTTCCAGTCGGTTTCTGGTGCAGAATTAAAAAAAAAAAAAAAAAAAAAAAAAAAGTAGAACATGCTGCTTTTTTCTGCTCAAAACTGTACTGAAACACAGCAAAATGCATCAAAACCACCAAGGAACAGTGTGGTGTGAACTGTAAGCAAAAACCTATTCAAAACGCAACCAGAGTGTATTTTTGTGGTGTGAACTGGCCCTTAAATTCTACGTTGAGCTAAAAACTTTCTTTTTTAGTTTTGAATAGATTAGGGAAGGATTAGAGCATAAGTCAGGTTTTGTATTCCTATACAGGTCTATGGAAATACAAAACTCATTTGAAGCAGGTTTGGAGGCTAACTGCAGGTCAAATGTACCTGTTGATAAATTCTGAATGATCTCAAAAGTGGCTTAAAGTAAAATTTAACAATATCCATATTCTTCCCAAATAATCCATACACATCCACTACTTAACCAGTTTCCGACCACGCTATAGCCAAAAGACTGCTACAGCGGGGTCGGCTAGTTCTGGGAGGGCATCCTTCAGACACAGCTGATCACATGGCTGCGGATGGGCCCAATCACAGCCGCTTTTACCATGTGACCAGCTGTGTGCAATCACAGCTGATCACTGGGTCAATAGGAAATGCCGGTTATCTGCAGTCCTCTTCTCACGCTGACAGTGCGTGAGGAGAGCCAGTAAGCGGCATTTCGCAGGGGGACATCTACACTGATCATCAGGGCAGTGATCAGGAGTGTGCTGGTGAAACCATGTAGCCCCATCTGTGCTGGCAATCAGTGCCGCCTATCAGTGGTGCCCGTCAGTGACTCCTCATCAGTGAAGGAGAAAAATTACTTATTTACAAAATTTTATAACCAAAACTAACTTTTTTTTTAATTTTGGGTCTTTTTATTTTTTGCTAAACAAAAACTAAAAAAACCCAAGTGGTGATCAAATACCACCAAAAAGAAAGCTCTATTTGTCTCAAAAAAATGATAAAAAGTTAATGTTGCATGACTGCACAATTGTCATTCAAAGTATGGGAGCACTGAAAGCTGAAAATTGGTCTGAGCAGGAAGGGGATAAAAGTGACTGGTAGGCAAGTGGTTACACATTTTTAAAAGGGGCCCCTTCAGTGTTAATGCCATAATCTGCACAGCATACTAGCGCAGTATTCCATATTTAAAGTGGTTCTAAAGCCTTAAGGTTTTTTACCTTATTGCATTCTATGCATTAAGGTGAAAAACCTTCTGTGCTGGACAATCCCATGTGTTTTTTGTTTTTTTTTTCCTTCAGATGACTACTGCTTTAATGGCTCAGTAATACTATTTTATATTCAATTTCTTTGTTTTTTTTCTGTCTCCCTGTAACATTCTCTATGAGCTTCAGAAATACTCCTTTCAGAGCAATAGAAGGAATTTTTTGAGTTAAAAATACATGCTTGAATAGAATTGATTCATAAAAAAAAAAAAATAAGTGGCAGTAAACTCGTTTTATCTTGTACCTATAATAAGACTTACCAGTAGGTACAGTAAATATCACCGAAACATGAACCAATTAGGAGATATTTACATGTGTAGCAGCCGGTGCCATCACTGGTGCATGCTCACTTCGCTCTCAGTGTATGGCATGCCATCCATTCAGGGAGCTGTGCCATGACCGTGACTCCTATGCATGCATGGGCATCATCGTAGTTTGGCCAGAGCCTGTGAACCTGGAAGGAAGTCTGGGTGAAGATGGATTCCCTGTCAGCAATAACAGCGTGCTGCTGGATGGATCCCCTTTTTTTTTTTTTTTTTTTTTTTGGGGGGGGGGGGGGGCGTGGGGGGGGGGGGGGGGGGGGGGGGGGGGGGGGGGGGGGGGGGGGGGAGAGTCTGTCATAATGTGCTATCATGTGGTGCGGTACCCTTGCTTACTGAAACTGTACCCTACTTTACAAAAGAAAATCGTTTTTAATGTCTCTGCTGCTATTGAAGAGTTCCTCTAGCTTCCTGTCTTGTTTAAAGGTCATTATCTTTTGCAGGTCCTGCATTCAACTATCTGGATTCCCCTGTCTTCCGTGTAACTGGTGCTGATGTTCCCATGCCTTATGCCAAGACCTTGGAAGAAAACTGCATACCCCAAGTAAAGGATATCATATTTGCAGTTAAAAAGACACTAAATCTTATCTAAAGGTGTATATACTGTATATAAGTCATTTAAAGGTCATTTACATGTTATTCTAAAAACCATCTGTGCTGACATCTATGTCCCATTTTGCTTTGGAAAAACTTTTTATAGGAAGAAAGCATTTCATTGTATGCTAGGCAAGTGACAAATCAGTTAAATCCCTGAGGGTGCTCCTGTATTAGCGGCTTTGCCCAGTGGCAGCATAGCCTCTTCCAACACTCCATCCAATCTGTCCTTCTCATAGTGAGAGATGTTTTAAAAGATGGACAATATTTATTACAGTAACTCAAGTACTGCTGTATAAAGCGGTTTCTCTCGCGATCTGTCCTGGTGATGAAGGAATACACACATTTGTTCCTTTGTACCACAATAAACTTCAGTATTTGTTTCTTTGAGTCTTGTCTTATTTTACAATAATGGTTTCTACATATTAATATGGTTGAGTACACCTTGGCCCTTGACAACTTTTTCTTTGATGCAGTTGATTGAAAAGTGGGAAAGGAATTCACAAGAGTGTTGTGGGCACTGAAATTGTTAATGTGTGTGACAGATTCATGCACTTGTTGGAATATGAATCTGTCAAAGGAGATGACAGAATATTCCATACTTGTCACATTGTCCTCTGTGCAGTTCAGCATTATTGAATTGCCACACCGTCTAATTATTGATATTCTGTAATTAGTGGGTGCACCGAAATGAAAATTCTGGACCAAAACCGAAAATTCAGGATGCACTTGGCTGAAAACCAAACGGACTGTTTTTTGTTTTTTTTTTATTATATAATTGTATTACATTTTGACTTTTGACTTTAATATGAATTTAAATGAATCTGAATTTTAAAAAATAAAAATGGGTGGGTGTGGGGGGGGGGGGAATGACTACCTTTTTTATAAAATATTAATTTTTATTTACATACAAATTACCTCCACCTCCAGCGCTCATCTGAGCCGTCCTTGTAACTGATTTGGGGAAGGGTCCGGTGGGTTGAGGTCATGGCCACATCATGTAAAAATAGCCAGGCTATTGAGGGCAGGTGCTGGACTTGAGTAATGGCTGTGGAGACCTAGTGGTGTCCTCAGAGGCTACATTACTACAGCATGCCACTGGCCATATTAACCGTGAGAGCAGATAATTTTTCCGCCCATTATCGGCACCTTTTTTGTTTTTTTGCCAAAATGCAGATAACCCTATTTTCGGCTGCCAATATATTGGTGCCTCACTATATATAATGACATTGGCCAGTATCCCTGGCTGGCAGCTGAATGGGGGTAGGTATATGTGATTGGTTACTAGGCGGTCACATTCTTGAAGTGGGGGTAGTAAGAGCGTCATTAATTTGTTGCACATGTCAGCACTGTTACAGAAACTTGCAAACGCTTGCCTGCATTAGGCACATATACTTTTAAAGGGACCTGCTACCATGTATTTTTTGTAAATGTCTGTGCAATGACATGGTCTTTGAAAGATCAGCTCTACTGTGTAACTGGCTGCATTGGTCCCCCCTACCATCTGCTAATCCTGCCAGTAACACACTTCCTGTCCTAGGGCAAAAATGCTCACTCACCATGCTGTATGGAGGAGCAGCCTTTTCATCCTAGAGAACACCTACAGAACATCTCCCTGTCTCCTAGCCCATGGCTTAGGTGGGACTTGTTCAGTAGTTCTCGTATATAGTATAGAACAATGCTAACTGGCAAAATTCAAAAGTTTTTTTTTTGCACTAATTGAACAAATAAAAACAAACAAATGGTAATATGTCCTAACTGTCCTCATTAAAAAAAAGGCACATTTATTGCTATATGTATGCTTATTAGAAAGATCCCTTCCTGTCCTGTGAGTGCACAGAATGTGAGGAAAAACGTACCCACTGGAGACACCCAGTGAAACCCAGCAAAATGTATAATCCTTCCCTGGTCTGGCAACAGTTTGATTGTAAAACATAGTTTGAGTATTGCTGTAGTTTAAAAAAGTGTTGATTTGCAAAACTAATTGAAATTTATAGCTCTTACTGTAAAGAAGCCTTTTTCTGTGTGGATGTTCACCTTTCACCCTTCTCCCTAATGTGACTGTAGATAGCTTAAAATGTTTTTTTACTGAACTATGTGGGTGGTCCTTGCATTTTTTTTTTTTCTGCCTTTGTAAAGTGTATTTATTTTATAGTTTTGGATAGTGGTGAGGGATTGGAACCTCTCTTCCTGTTGATCTCTGTCCCTGGGTCAAAAAGTGAGCGAGAATCCAAGATGTTATATTTGTCACCAGAAATGGAATAGAAGAGTAATTGGGGACACTTAATTTTGGTGACAGCTTGTAGCGGACATTGCACTTCAGGCAGGGTCTGCATAAGCAATGCAACCCCCTTACTGATGCTGCATAAGGCCCCAGGCATACTAGGTTTTTTTACCCTGGTGCATATGGCTTTGACCTTTAGCTGCTTGAGGAGAGGGTCCAGATTGTAGACTTCTTGCATCAACGACATTCATTTCTGGACATATTCAGCGCTAAACATTCATAGGGCTAGGTGCACCGTCCAGCCCCACCAGCTGTCATCCTCTCATACAGTTTGACAGGCTCCTTGCAGTGGAGCTGGAAGGTACACACAAATGCCACAGCCCCATGCACCGGTGCTAAACACTCAGTGGGCAGGGGCCTAAGGCTGGCCATATATACAATTTTCCTTTAGATTTACCAAGACCATATGAGGTCAAACCTAAACATTTTCAATTTGTAGGTATTCAGGCAGGCCCTTGCACTACAGAGGTGAAAGTAAATCTAAAGTAAATTGAGTAATAACATTGTATAATGTATGGCCTGCTTAAAAGTGCATAAAATAAACTGTGAAAGGAAAATAGTTTAATATACTCCCCTTTTCCCCACCTTTCCCCTAGTGCGGTGGGTGACATAATCTTCCTCCAACAGGATCCCTGGGAGTAGCCCAAATCTCACAAGACGCATCAGCATAGGTTAGGATCATCTTCTCATGAGATTTGGCTTTACACACACTGCTCAAAAAAATTAAAGGATCACATTGAAAACACATCAGATCTCAATGGGGAAAAATCCCCTGCTGGATATCTATATTGATATGGATTGGGTAATGTGTTAGGAATGTAAGGATGCCCCATCGTTTGATGGAGATGAAAATTACCAACCTACAGAGGACTGAATTCAAAGATACTCTGAAAATCAAAGTGAAAAAATGATGCAGCAGGCTAGTCCATTTTGCTGAATTTTCATTGCAGCAACTCAAAATGGTAGTTTGTATGGCCCCCACGTGCTAGTATGTATGCCTGACAACGTTTGGGTACGCTCCTAATGAGACAACGGATGGTGTCCCAGGGTATTTCCTCCCAGATCTGGACCAGGGCATTACTGAGCTCCTGGACAGTCTGAGGTGCAACCTGGCGGTGTAGGATGGACCGAAACATGACATCCCAGAGGTGTTCTATTGGGTTTAGGTCAGGCGAGCGTGGGGGCCATGCAATGGTATTAATTCCTCCATCCTCCAGGAAATGCCTGCATACTCTCACCAAATGAGGCAGGGCATTGTCGTGTACAGGAGGAACCCAGGACACATTGCACCAGCGTAGGGTCTGACAATGGGCCCAAGGATTTCAATCCGATACCTAATGGCAGTCAGGTTGCCATTGTCTAGCCTGTAGAGGTCTGTGCGTCCCTCCATGTACAGTTGTGACCAAAATTATTCAACCCCCAATGCTGTAAAGGGGTTTAGGGACTATAGTGTACATTTGGAATTGTATTCAGAATCAAATCCTACAAGGACGTTGTAACTACCCAAATGCAACTAAAATGACATCAATTGTTTATGTAATACAGTAGTAAATGGTTCTTATGTGGTTTCTTCATTGCCACAATTATTCAACCCCTTAAAGACTACCACTCTGAAGAACAGAGGTTCATACAGGTGCTTTCCATCAGGTATTGAAAACACCTGTGGATGTCACCGAGCAGCAATCAAGCATAATAAGCACCAATTAGGCAGCTTTAAAATGACTGTGATACTCAGCTCCTTCTAGACATTTACTGGTGTGGTTACAAACATGGTGAAGGCAAGAGAATGGTCCAGGAAGACAAGAGAAGAGGTGATTTCTCTTCACAGGAAGGGCAATGGCTATAAGAAGATTGCAAAGATGTTAAAACATACCAAGAGACACCTTAGGAAGCATCATTCGCAAATTCAAGGCAAAGGGCACTGTTGAAACGCTACCTGGTCGTGGCAGAAAGAAGATGCTGACTTCGACTGCTGTGCGCTACCTGAAGCGTAGAGTGGAGAGAAGTCCCCGTGTGACTGCTGAGGAACTGAGAAAAGATTTGTCAGATGTGGGTACAGAAGTTTCAGCCCAGACAATAAGACGCACACTGCGTAATGAAGGCCTCCGTGCCAGAACTCCCAGGCGTACCCCCTTGCTGTCTCCAAAGAATAAGAAGAGTCGACTGCAGTATGCCAAAAGCCATGTGGACAAACCACAAAAGTTGTGGGATAGTGTTCTGTGGACTGATGAAACAAAATTAGAACTGTTTGGGCCCATGGATCAACGCTATGTTTGGAGGAGGAAGAACAAGGCCTATGATGAAAAGAACACCTTGCCTACTGTGAAGCATGGTGGAGGGTCAATCATGCTTTGGGGCTGTTTTGCTTCTGCAGGTACAGGGAAGCTTCAGCGTGTGCAAAGGTACCATGAATTCTCTTCAGTACCAGGAGATATTGGATGGAAACGTGATGCAGTCCGTCACACACCTGAGGCTTGGGAGACGTTGGACCTTTCAACAGGACAATGATCCCAAGCATACCTCCAAGTCCACTAGAGCATGGTTGCAGAGGAAAGGCTGGAACATTTTGGAGTGGCCATCGCAGTCACCAGACTTAAATCCGATTGAGAACCTCTGGTGGGACTTAAAGAAAGCAGTTGCAGTGCGCAAGCCTAAGAATGTGACTGAACTGGAGGCCTTTGCCCATGAAGAATGGGCGAAGATACCCGTAGATC